CAAGATGGATATCGGCCAGGAAAGATACCTCAGCTGATGCTCGGCTCATGCATTGTCTTGGGTGAGACAAGACGGTCGGCTGAATCAAGACGGTGGTCGGCTACAGATTTTCTCCAGCCGAGAGTCGGATAGTGCATTGTCTTGGGCGAGACAAGAAGGTTGGCTGGATCAAGACAGTGGTCGGCTGCAAAGCTTTTCCAGCCGACAGTCAGATAGCGCATCATCTTGGGTGAGACAGAATGGTTGGCTGGGCGAGAATGTCTGGGTCAGCCAATCATCCCACGCACTGCCTTGCCCACCTTGTGCCGCCTTGCCCGCCTTGTGCTCGGCCGACTCAATCACCTTCCATGAGACAGTTGCGGTCGGCTGAGGTCAGCCCATCCCATCCCATTCCACGAGACTGCACGTCGGCTGTACCATGGTCATCCATGAGACAGCTGAATGGGCTCCATGCCATGGGTATGGGTTTTGCATGGGTATCATGGGTACCCTTGGGTATGGGTACTATCATGGGTAGATCTATGTGCAGTTCATGGTACTCATAATTTTGCATGGTATGGGATGTGTTTGTCGGTATCATACTGGCCAGGTGAGTTTCACTGACTGCATGGTCAATCACAACATTGTTGGAGCTTCCACTTTTGCAAGCCAGGACACATTGCTTAGATGGGAGTCACTTACATGAGGGCAGTTACTGTACCTATATTTCCAACATATATGGATATTCAGGTGGGACAACCACAACATTTGGGGAATAGCAAGGCTGTATACACAAATAAGTCTTACACATCACAACACAAAATGTATAGTGATACCATGGGCAGAACCCTCTAAAGCTCATCATATTGGATCACCCAGATGTAGTGGGATTACAATGGTCAACATTGAGCAGAACAAATGTATCTCAGGGTATACAAAAATTGAACTGAAACACAGACAAGATGTTGCATTGTGTCATGAATATGATAATGTCTGTCAGACTAGCCCCTGAGAAGAGGATCATATTAGAATTATTTGAATTTATTTCTTGATCATCATCACTGAATCCTGTCTTATGTCACAGGCTTCCACTAATATATGATAAGTGGGGCCAGGGGATGAATGTGACCAGCCAATTATGCAATTACTTTCATTCAAGCCTAGTTAATACATTGCCAGGTGATAAGTGACACAATAAGGAGCATGATGTCTTATAAAAAGCATGATCATAGACCTACTGTATTCAATGGCCTGCCACCTGCATGTAACTGTGGCCACTGGTCACTCTGCTGAAATCCTGGATTTAGAAAATTAACTAACAAGGCATCTATGCTAAATGTAGTGCTGGAACTGCAGGTCTAGGCTCACCTCAAGGGGTCCATGACCAGTATTCATACTGATTTTTCAAAATTCTAGAGTGGCCCTGTCACATGTACCTAGCAAGAAATTAAGTATACAGTATTACTGGCTGTTCAGCATGGACAATTGCATGGTAAGATTCAGTATGATAATATTTTGTGCCAGTATAGTATCTCAGCTGCACTGGGCTACCAAGCGCATGGCACTGCATTTAATTGAGCATAATGGTACATACACTGTAATGCACTTGTTGTTGTCAATAGGACAACCTCAATAGTCTGTGTATCATTGGTTGGAGCATAACAATAAATGACAAAATCTGTCTTCTGGTTACTTATAAGAAGACAGGATGTGGCATAGGCAGGTCTTGCACAAACTTGGTTCCAGTCACTCAGGGTATTGCTTGGGTCAGGAGAGCTAGATAGGTAGATGAGATGGACAAGGAGAGAGTTAGGTTAGAAAGAACAGTGCATTGGTCTAACTACAATGTACAGAGTACTGTGGTTGTTAGTTGTGGGTCAAGATAGATGGTTTGTGGAGCAAAAGTGTGTCTTCCATGAGCAAGTTGACACTCCTTATATTCCTGCAGGTTGGCCTTGCTGAATCATCCTCATAATCATAAGTTGAACATTATTGAATGTTTGAAAATGGACTCAAATATATAATGCAATTCTAGCAAGTACCAACTGTATCTTGAAGGCTGACATTACGGAAAGGGAACACTTGTCAACTTTCCCATACTGCTATTGCAAAGTACTTTGAAGCAAGCTTCAGGATCACCATATAGCTGTTGAACTGTGAGAGAAACATAGCACAGACTATCTAATCAACAGTTGCCAAATTTTACCACAGAATTATTACCACAGAAGTCCATGGGTTGCATGGGTACATGGGTCAGATTTTGGCTACCCATACCCATACCCATGCATACCCATACCCATGACCCACATGGGTTATCCATACCCATGCAATGCACTAGTGAAGGTTATCTTTGCTCTACCGCGCAAGCTCCCTGCGGTGCAAGGCGGAGGGCCTGCACCTCCATGGTGGCCACGGGGTCCGCTCGCGTATGTAGAGTGGTACACTCGCTTCGCGCCTGCGGCTGACCCCTCCCACTTGATGTATTCGGTGAAGAAACCGCCGTCCTCAAGCAATGGTCTGCTGCAGGGGAAGATTATTCCCCTGTCACAGATCCGGCAATCCTGTCAGCTTACACCCATTTTCCCTGGCGGTCCTCGCGGCACTGTTCCCGACTCCTGGTCATCGGAAAATGTGTTAGAAATGGCTAGTACTTTCTACGTTAACAACTGGGGTGGATTGTATGCATACCAAACACTTTGGTAGCCTCTAATAACAAGTACAGTTAATCCCATGGTATCCGGCGCTAATCGCACTGCGGGCGTCACACACGTTGTTCACAAGCCTTATCAAAGACCACGTCTCTGCATAGAGTCTTCAAACTGTTTGGCAAGCTCTCTGCTTGGACTCTGCTCCCTCGATCTTCCGCACCACCCCGTCAACCTTCCACCATGCCTGCTCTCACCTCCGCTACAGTCTTCTACATGTCCACCTTCCTTCCATCTTTCCGCGATGTCTGCAGGAATACGGTGGCTTGTCGTAACGCCCCTCGGCCAGGTTGCGCCAATCATATCACTCTCGTCGCTGTATCCCGTTCAACCGGGCTGGGTACGCTATGGTGCTATGTACATTACACAGCTCTCTTGTGCTGCTGGATACTGACACCATCATACTGTCAGTGCCCCTTATCTCACGTATGCGGCACCCCACAGAGCTTGCCAGTGCTGCAGCCCGACCAGGCAGACATTGTGATCTCACAACCCTACATCAACGCAGAGCTACCGCGAGACTGGGAAGACGGGTACATCTTCCTCGGAGGGGTTCACGCCTGGCACCGAAGTGTGGGGTTCCCGCTGTGTCTGCGGGAGGAGGGAAAGAAGGCGGTTGTGGAGGTCTTTCTCTACTATGAGGTGTGTCATTATTTCTTCCCAAATGTTCCCCGACACTCAGGGCGAGCACACAGAATTTCCATGGGCCGATGATCCTGCCCCTTATGTGCCGCATGTACGACAACCACATCGAGTTTCCGTTCTGGCAGCCAGTTACGGAGCAAGCCCTCCCTTGCCTCAATCGCTGGAAGCGCGATCCTGACGTGTTCCCCGTCCTATTCAAAATGTTCAATGCCGAACAACGCAAGTGGCTGCCCATCCCTTCCATCAACGAGCTCATCTGCATCCCCCTTCCCTTGACCAACGTCATCATGATCAAGTACGCACAAATCTCTGCGACACCTTGGCACCACATGTACGGCTTCGGAATCGGACCCCGGGCTTCACGCCCATTGAGCAACCTGCTCGCCCGGATGTACGGCCTTCGGTACATCTGGCCGACAGGCTTCCCCCTCCCACGCAGCCAGATTACTTTGGCGCCCACCATAGTTACGCGCGGCGCATGCAACATCCGTCTCCTTGTAACCCTGTCGGAGGGCGAGCCGGGTTACACCATGGAGAATGTGGAGGGTGCTGAGACCGAGGACTGATCATGGGTATTGTAGTGCCGTCTCTTTAGCGATGTACTGTACCATATGTGTTTGGATATACATTCTATTGAATTACTCTACTCGTTGGAACCGCGCTGTTTGAAACCGTGCGTCTCCAGTGCGGGATTCTACGCCTACAAAATTGGGGCCCGGGGGCGCCAATGGGTCCGGTGTTCGGCGCTAGTGGTAAATTAAAAACTTCTCACGCCTTGTTCAACGCTCTCGCATCGCTTTCAAACTCTCTGAAAACGCTTTCTCTTCCTCTTATCCTCTTCACCATCCACCTGTCCACCATCATGGCTTCTTTGGATCCTCGTGTTCAATTCCACATCTCTACGCTCATTCCTTCCTTCAGCGATGTTTGCAAGAAAGTCAAGCGGTGCCCCCATGTGCCGAACGGTTCCCTCAACCACCTCACGGTGGTTGAGATATCGAGGACAGGTCTGGGGACCCTGTGGAGCCATGTGAGTGACAAATTCCATGATGAGTCTTGTTGGATACTGACAGAAACATACATAGTGCCTGAGGACTGTTGTTTTTGTTGTTGGTTCCCTTTATTGTCACTGAGGGCGAAGCCCTATGTAGACATTACATGCGAAGGTCTGGTCTATGTATTCGTGTCCGTTGTCGCGTAGCATCGCCGTCCGCCGAAGCTTCGGGCTGGTGGGTTTGTGTACCGTAATATATGCAATGAAATGGACTGGTGGGGAGAGGGAAATGGAAAGTTCGGAGTCCGAGGTTTGTGGTCCGTGCGCTGCGCGCAATCTCTGCATTAGCGTGTCCGTCCATCTCCAGCCTTTGCGGCCTTGTCCGGGTCCGAGTCCTTCAGCGTCAGGTCTCCGTAGGCGGCCGCGAAGCGGCCGGTGTCATGAATGTATCGGAAGAGGTGTGTGAGCAGGTTTGGCGCATTGAGAAGGTCTTTTATCGAGCGAGCTGCAGGACCTGCGTCGCGTGCTAGACGGTCTCTATGTTCGTTGTGGGCCGGACACTCCATGAGGAAGTGGTACACCATCTCGCGCGTGGTACGGCAAGACGGGCACAAGGGTGAGTCTTCCTTATGGATCCTAAACAGGTATTTCTGAAGCGGAACATGCTCAGTGCGAAGTTGAATGAGAATACTCGCCTGTCGTCGGGGCAGTCTTCCTGCCAGTTTTCCGTATTGCTTCGATGGCATCTCTGGGTCTATCCGATCCATCCTCGCCGCTCGGGGCGACTCCCTCCACTCCGCCTTTGCCAGTCGTGTGAACCTCTCGTTATGCATCTGCCGCACTCTGGCAAGACTGGCCGGGAGCTTCTCCTGCAGCCAGCCTGGGAGGTCCTTGACTGGGCTGCTGTCTCCTCGCACCGCTTTCTTCACCTCCACATCCGCCAGCTCATTCCCGTCAATGCCCTTGTGTCCGGGGACCCATCTGAGTGTTAGGTCGATGTTAGGATGTCGTCGTTCGAGTCGCTCGATTGCGCCCAGGAGTCTGTCGAGCATGTAATGCGCCGGGTGAGGTTTCCTATTCTTTGATGCGTGGAGGCATGCCAAGTTGTCTGCCGCCGCGGATGCTTTCGCGCACGAAATCTCCCAGTGTAACAGCGCGATGCCCAGGTTCAGTCCCACGATCTCTCCCTCGTAGACTGTATGTCTCGCTGATGGCCCGAGGTGATATCGCAGGACTTTGGGCTCGCCGTTTGGTACTACCAGTACCGCTGCCGCTCCGACTCCATCGTCAATGTCCGAGCCATCTGAGTATATCCTCCATCCTTCTTTCCTTGCCCAGATCTCTTCGTCAGCTGCCGCGTCTTCCTTCGAGGGTGCGATTGAGACTCTGAAGGGCGGCCGCCAGCTTGGGGGAGGCGTACTGCCTCGATCGTCTCCACGTCCTTGGGGTCAAGGTCGTATGCGCCCAGAATCTCGTGGAGAGGGCTGCGGTGTCGTTTGACCCATCGCGCAGCTTGCTCGACGTGACGGTGGAGGGGTGAGAGGTCGGTAGTGTGCATAACCTGGTAGCTTCGTGCATTATCAACTTATCAACCAACAGATGGAAGGGGAGAAGGTTCAGGTGCGCAGTTAGGGAGTCAGTGGGCATTGATCTCATCGCGCCCGAGATCATGAGGCAGGCTTGACGGTGTACACGCTCGAGCTTTCGGATTACTCCGACAGACCCGTAACGCTGTTTGCGGCCTTCCATTTGTCGCTGTGGGACAAGCCATACACTCGCCGCGTACAGCATCGCAGGTATGAGCATCTGCAGGTACAGGGACTTCACATGTCTCATCGGGATCCCATGTTTCGGGCGTGCAAGGTGGCCGAACTGCATGAGCCATGTCGTGCCCTTCTTCAGGGCATACTCGGCTTGCTTTTTGAAACACAGTTTACGGTCTATCCAGACCCCAGGAACTTAGCGTCCGCCGAGGGTTGCACTGACCCATCTGAGAGGTCCAGCGAGGGACCCATGTCGTCGTTCGCAAGGCTCGGGTCAGCGTGCATGAGGCATAGCTTCGAGATCTCGAAGCGAGAGTTCCGCGTGCGGGACCACTCCTTTGCGCCGCCTGCGCGCTCCATGTAGCTCCGTAGGGTCGAACACGTCGCGTCCAAGTCCTTGCCCACCGCTATTGTGGCTACATCATCAATGAAGCCCAGTGTGAGCTCTCCCCTTTTCTTGTCAGCACATTCCAGTAGCACCAGATTGTAGACTTTGTACAATAGGACTGAGAGTGGGCATCCCTGATCTATCCCACTTAGGATGACGAACAGGTTCAAGACAAAGTCGTCAAACGACAACCATGTCTTTCGGCCATGGAGCTTTTCTCGTAGCCAGTCGACGACTGCTTTGGGTACGCCACGCATACGGAGCTCATGGAACAAGCGCTCTGGGATAGCACTGGGGAATGCTGCCTCCACGTCCAAGAACAGGACAGAGGCGACCTTCTTTGCCCGCCAGGCATCTCGGATCGTCTTGGTCAGTAAGTGTAGTGAGTCAGTCGTTGTACGCCTGGCTCGTCCCCCAAAGTGGAGATTGGGGAACAAATTGAGTCTCTCGAACTCGTATTCGACAGTCTCGGCGACGCATGACGAGAGGATCTTGGCCATGCAGCTCATGAGCGCTATGGGCCTATACGACTTCGCAATCGAGTAGTCGTTTTTCCCCGGTTTTCGTAACACAACCGTCGTGGAGAGTTTCCACTCCTCGGGTAGTAACGCAAGTCGAATGTAGCACGGAATAGGGACCGAGAATTGGGACCAATAGATCCGCGCACCTTTTGTAAACCTCGTTAGGTATTCCATCGGGGCCTGGGGCTTTGAATTCCTTGAGGCGGTTACACGCTGCGTGGATTTGGTGGTCCGAGATGTGCGCAAATTCGAAGGCGGGGGCGGGTAGTGCTCAGTATTAGGGTCTGGGAGTTCGAGGTCAGGAGGGGCTGTGGGAAGAACATCTCATAGAGGACGCGACTCTTCTCCTCGTTCTCGTGTTCAAGGTGGGCGCTGCCCGGGCGATGTAGCGGCGGTACCCTACTCTTGCTGCTGTCAGACGATCCTGCGCAGATGAACTTCCCTATCGTCCAGACTGACTTTGCGTCCGCCTCTTCGAGCCACGCCTCCCAGTGCGCCTTCTTGGCTGCGCGTACCTGGTCGCCATAGCGGTTCCGTATTTTCCGGTACTCTGCATGTATGGGGTGCCTAGGGAACTCGCGTTGCTTGAATGCGCGTCGTCCCTGTCGCCCGACCTCTTTCCGCATTGAGTTGAGCTCCTTCGAGTACCATCGCTTGGCGAAGGGTGGCGGTTTAGTCCCGGGACTGTCTCCTGGATTGTTTCGGTGAGTGTACTCATGAGCAGCGAAAGTGTCTCATTGAAACTCTCCTTCGTGTTTAGGCAGCCGTTGGGGATAGGTACATCCTCCAGCCGGATTGCGAGCTCTGTTCGGAACTCATTCCAGTCAACTCTCCTAAAGTTCCGGAATGTGCGGGGGCTGATCGGGGATGTCGAGTAGGAATGTCGTGCGGATGGGGAAGTGGTCCGTGTTGGGAGGGCGCAGGTCCGCGGCAACATCACATGACAAAAGGCAGTCCTTCAGGCCTTCCGTCGCAAAGACATTGTCTGGGCGAGTAAGGTTTTTAGTACGCGAAGCTACGAGGGTGGGGATACCCTGCGGGAGGAGCATATGCATATCAAAAACACTCAGCATGTCAATAAGCTTGTCTGCTTGGTCCAGGGCTTGGTTCGTGAACAAGTGGGAGTTCCGCTCATCATCCCAGCACGGGTGGTGACGGTTGAAGTCCCCGAGCCAGAGTATGTGGCGCTTGGGGTCCTCGTCCTCGTCTTGCAGCAACTTTCGCGACTCCCTCGACAGGACGGCTTGCGCAAGATCGCTATCCTGGGGGTTGTACACGTTAAAGATGTGGATCGTGGACGTGGCTAGGCATAGGGTGACAGCTGTGATATCAGGGGAAGCAACTGGGATCGCTGTCCAAATATTAGTAGATACGCGTTTATTGATTAGTATAACAGATCTGGACGTAGCCTTATTATCCTTGTGTCCAGTAGGGTATGTCACGATCCAGTCGGAGGCAGCGCGGGTGTTATTTTAGTGATCTAGGTAGGGTTCTTGCAGGGCTACAACATCGAAGTCGGTGATGTCATGGAGCAGGGCCGACTGGGCAATGTTGGACTTGTTCACATTCGCCTGACAAACCCTTAGTTCTCTAGGTTGTTCCATCATCGTTTACCTTGTCGAAGTAGTCCTCACTTGTCGCCGACACGCGCGAGCCGGGGCACGTCGGCGGCAGGGAGCGGCTGGTGAAGCCGCCTTCGCCAGTCAAGGTGGACTGGCGACGACCATCCGCCGTGCGGAAGCTGGACGTTCGCGGCCGGGTTGGGCCAGCCGCTACACCTGGGTTCGAGCCCTGGCCGGCTCGGGTCCAGCCCTGGTCCTGAGTACGCTGACTCGGGCTGTCGCGACGGTGCGGTGGAGGGTCACGCAGACGGGGGTCGCGAGCTTGGGGATCAGGTAACGGCTCGTCGCTCCAGTCACCTCCAAGGCGGCTCGCCCTCGACGGGTGCATGTGTCGGTGAGTCGCGCCAGATGTCTCTGCACGTGGGGCCTCCGGAGGTCTCTGGGGTGCTGCAAAGTCGCGGAACGGGAATGTGGGCACGTCGGGCACGTAATGCTGCTCCCAGGATGCCGGGTCGTCAGCGATGGGGAAGAATCGATACTGCTCCAGCGTGTTTGCACGCTGGATCTTCCGGTTCGCCTCGATGAAGGCGGGGCAGTAGCGGGACCAGGAGGTGTGGCCCGCTTCATTACAGTTGACGCAGTAACACTGGAACGGGCCTGCCGGAGTGTCGCACTTTTGTGTCGTGTGCTCGGGGACGTGCACATTCCGCACTTCGGTGTTCCCTTGCAGTCGAACGCCATGTGGCCTGGTTCCAGGAGCTGGCACTTCATGCAGCGCCGGGCCTCCTTAACCAAGCGCCACACATTCATCTTCCGTCCGAGGTACGTGAGGCCATTGACGATCACGTCATTGGCCCGTCTTGCGTTGCTGAACTTCGCAATTGCATAGGCCGTTCTCTGATTAAGCTTTCTTTTGTCAATAGGTTTAATCCAGTGTACGACCATGAGGTCGCGTTCTTTCCATCCGTTCTCTTTTTTGAGCTGTCTGTACGCCTGTTCGCTCGGGACGAACGACATCGGCATGCCCTGCCAGACGACCGCATAATAGCGGGCTCGTACTGTTGCCTCTAGGCCAAACTTGCCAGTGAAGGCCGCCAGATGCTTCTCCAGCCTCAGCCAGGTTACCACCTCTTTGGAGCTTAGCTCATACAGGATGCCCCCGTTCTTGAGCTTTTGCGCGGATACGAATCTCGCGCCCCCTGGCGCAACCATTTCTCCCTCGTTCGCCATCATATCAAGAGCAAGGTTGGCCTTCGTGACCAACTCCAGTTCTGTGAGTGGAGTTCCATCCTCCCTTGTCCTCGACTTCACATCAATCAGCATCTGACGCCCTTTGACGCTCTCCCGCGCCATCGTCGTAGCATGCGTGATTGGCAGTTGGTGCTGGATTGCGGCCGCATAAGTGGGCCATCCTCCAGTACCAACTGGCTGGGCACCTCCCGAGTCCATCGGAGCAGCATACTCCTGGACAGGTGGGGGTGCCTTCCATGCCTCTCGTGTCTCTCTCAGTACGTCCTCCCATTCTCCTCGTCGCTCATCCACCATCTCCAAGTCCTTCGCCAGCTTCGTCTGAGACACAGCTAATTTGCGTACCTCCTCTGTCAACCTCCCCAACGTTCCATTGAGCTCCGTCGTCCACTTCGTCTGCTTGTCCGCCATCTCCTCGAGGCGGTCGATCTTGCCCTCTCCTAGTTCGCCCGGTTCACCATCGTCCTTCTCTGCAATCCGCATGAGGATGGGGCGTATGTTGTCCAAGACTTTGGCCGCCGGGCGGTTGTCGCGGATAGCCTCTGCATAGGTGGCGAAGGCGTATATGGCCGCCCGTACAGTCGCCTGATTACTTGTCTCTGCAGCAAACCTCAGTCCCTCCACCAGCGCGCCCAAGGAGGGCTGCGACTCCTTTGCAATCAGGGCTCGTCGTAGTAGGACCTCCTTCGCTTTCTCGTAGGTGTCTACTGTCTCTCTCTCTGGCTGTGTATCAGTCTGCAATGCTGAGGGGGTCGACCTCATATTCGGTCGCTCGCCGGCGCCTTTCGCGACTGTCGGTGACGCCGCTGTTTTCGCTGCCTTAGACGTCAGTCCACTTCTTGTGGAGTTCGACATTGAGTCTCTACTGTGTGTAGAGTTCTAGATTTATTGCCTAGAGAGCCTGTAGTGGCTCTTGCCGCTGTCCTGACGTCCGTTTACCCCTCCCGTCAGAGGTTCGGACCGTGGGAAAATTGCCAGAGTATGAGCGTTAGAAGCAAAGAGGGATCCCTGAGGACTGTAAAACCCTGCCGTACCTTGCCCAGCAAGTTGCAGCCGAACGACGATGATGTTGCCGCGGCGCGCCCATCCATCAACGCTGTACTGCCGGAGGAGGGCCCAAACTGATTCATTTTTGTCGGCGGCATCGAGGTGTGGCACAAGAGCCCCGAATTCCCAGAGTGCCTTCGAGGGACGGACGAGATAGGAATAGTGGAGGTATTCTTCTATTACCGGGTGAGTTTGTCAGTCTCTGCGCGTATGTTTACAGGGCTCAAAGTAACTGGGCAGGATCATGTTGCGCCCATCAAGCTGCCCCTCATGTGCCGTGTACATGGGGACTTGGAGATAGAGCTGCTGTTCCGCCAGCCGGTCACCGAGGAGGTCATTCCATGCCTCAATGGCTGGAAGAGGGATCCTAAGGAGTACCCGGCACACTTCGAGATCTACAACGTCCAGCAAGCTAAGTTCATTCCCCTCGGGTCCGTCAACGAACCCATTCACATCCCCCTACCCCTTCGGCACATCATCCTCGTTAAATACAAGAGTATCTATGACACCGTGTGGCCCCTCTACTGGGCTAAAGGGATCCACCCTTCTGGCGCTCTGGGCGGAATCCTCGCCAACATGTACCTCCGCCTGTCCATCTGGCCGGTGGGCTTCGCTTTCCCTAGGACCCGCATCAAAGTGTTGTCCATGGTCCGGGTTGAAGGCAACCACCGGCCTCACGTCTTCACGCCAGCAGAGGGCGATCCGGACTGTACCGTGGAGAGGATGAACACTGGAGAAGATGAGGTCTCAGTGGATGCGGACTCTGATGTGGACACGGATGTGGACTCGGATGCGGACACGGATGTGGACTCAGATGCGGACACGGATGCGGACACGGATGCAGAGGATTGGGATGGTGAGATGGCTGTCAGCGACTGAGGAGATCTACATACTTGTACATCCCAGTTCCGCCTTCTCTGTACCCTTTTTTGTAACTACCTGTGTATTGCTTATCATGAGGTCCATGTAGTATTGTTTTTTGAACGATGTCCTAGTGTACAACTACGAGAATGCAAAAAGAATACATGTGTATAGTTGAACATGTATTCTATTCATGCCGCCATCGAAACACCCTTTTGAAAGCTTTGTGACTTTCTTGTAAATGCCTGCTATTAATCTGAAGCTTAGCGCTGTGCGTCTCCAGAGAGCCGCTGTACACTGTCAAGCGTCTTCTTGTTCCCTTCTCTACTTCAACCGTTGCTCAATGTCTTCACCGCTTCACTCTGAACTGTGCTTTCTCTTCTCCATGTTCGTACCAAGCTTCCGGCAGATATGCAAGGCGACAAGGACATGTCCGTGGCACAGTCATCAATCACATTACGGTGGTTCTGGTGTCTACGGAAGGGAAGTATCTAGGGACATTATGGGACTTTGTGAGTCATATTTATATTACTCTGGCCATCAGTACTAACCCGCGGTCAGTGTCCGGTATACAATAAAGACCGCTGTGACACCGTACGAAGTCTGATCCAGCCACGTCCCAATGAGTTGAAGGCTGCCCGTCCTTACCTTGCTGTGTTAGAACCTTCCGACCGCGAGGACCGCCTGATCTATGTTGGGAGCATTGAATCGTGGAACCGGAGCGTTGGATATCCAGTGTGTCTGCAGGGAGAGGTGAGAAAGGGAGTGGTAGAGGCTTGCATTTACTACGAGGTGCGTTACAATCATTTTTGCCTACTAGTAATCGTACACACAGCTCACCAACGTTATAGGACCGCCATTCACCTATGACCCTACCACTCATGTGTAGGATATATGACGAGGAACTTGAGCTCCTGTTTCACCAGCCGATTACCGAGCAGGCATTCCCTGTGCTCAACCCTTGGAAGCATCATCCGGTGCAGCCCAAGTTCGAGGTCTTTGACGTGGAGCGTGAGGCTTTCGTTCCGTTCTCCCTGTGGGAACCACTCCGTCTTCCTCTCCCCCTGCGCCGCATCCCAGTGTTCAAGTACGCCAGCGTCACCAACATACATTGCCCGCAAGACATTGCCCTAGATGTTGGTGATCTCGGCCCTATTTCCAGCATGAAGGTTGAGATTGGCACAACCTTCCGTTCATATGGCCGACAGGCCTTCCTACGCCCCGCACCTGCATGCACTCCAAGAATGTTGTGAAGAGCCGCGGGTACCCGTTTCCGGACGTCTTGGAGGGCCCCTTGCAGGGCCAGAAGGTATATGGTGAGGAGACCATGGAAAGTGGAGAACTAGCGGTGGAGGAGATGCCCAATGGTGGCGAGAATGGCACTGAGGAGCGGGACGAGGTGCAGATCTGGGAGGTAACCTCCACCGGCAAAGAAATTCCGTACGTTCCTGACAGTGCTGGGGGGTACACTCGTGGGGCTTGAGATGCATTAGATCCACTCTGTGACACTGTATATATCATCATAAACCTGATCATGTTGAATCTTCATTGTGAAAAATGAATGGACGGCTGGTGCTGTGATGGCATTTTTGTGTTGACGTGAAAATCACACCAATGAGATATGAAGTCCAGAGTGCCTCATGGAAAAACTCTTTTATTAGATATGAGCTATGGCCACGAATAAGCTAAAGGGGTGGGCATCTACAGAGTGTCACAATAGACTCTCAGCAGGGCCAAAGCCGGTCTCAAGTGTTTTTTAAGACTCAAAGTGCATTCCGATACTTAAGAAAGAATCAAAGTCTGCTTATTGGTGCTTTGAAACATGGGCGTTTGCTTGGGCAAAAAAGGGTTTTTCCTGATGTCCCAGGCTGAATGCAGTACCTCGAGGACTTCTGTGTAGAAATTGTCCACAGATTCCCTGTCCATGACAATCTTTACTTTCTGCAAAAGACATACATGAGTATAGAGCACAGAAATTGAGAAAGACCGACCATATACGCTGTGCAACGCTTAATGATCTCCGCAGATGTCAAATGACTCGTCACAGCTTCTTCCAATGTGTGATACTGAAGGGGACGGTACAGGATGATGGTGACAGACGTGTCACCATGCATCGTAACGCCGTTGAAAGAGACGGCAGCCGATGTCTTGCCAGGTGGTGCAACAGCTACCCCACCGTTCATCACGTCACTGATGGGCGTGTCCAGCGGATCTGTCCTCTTTCCCTTCCCACTGGGCCCCTGTTCCAGGTGCGGCAGGCCCATGAGCCCCACTCCCTAGGGTTTCGGGGATTGTTTGCGATGGCGCAGCCCCAGGCAGCCAGTACCTCTGGGCTGGGTTTGGAGTTGCGCTGATGGCGATTCTCGTTCACAATGCCAATGATGTAGCCTAGGATGGGAGTGTCGCCCTGCGTGACCATACAGCCGCACTGTAAAGTGTTCAATTACACCGAATGTAAAGATATATCAACTCACCTTTCTTGCGGCATTTGGAAGGGTTTGACACACACAAATTTCCTGGCATACAATGGGACGTAGGGCAGATCCCATATACATGAGGTATTCGGCATCACTACGTAGCCCCTTATTCGCCGTATACTCATCGTAGACGTAGAACACCTTGCGGAGGCCAGACTTCTGCCCTAAAGCCTTGAAAGATGGTGCCAAGATGTCCTTGACACCGCTGTTAACACCGTCATGGATGCTGCTGGGCATGGTGTTGAGAGACAAATATTAGGATGCCATGAACGTATGCACCTCTGGTCTCTTGCCGCCGCTGTGCTTCTATCTACCTGATAAGCACCACATACCCAGGGCAAGAAGTTGCCTCTTGGTCAGCAGTTCCATCCAGTACGTTAAACACCGTTCACTTGAGCGTCTGGCTTCCTTATTTGGGTTCGCAACTCATTGCAAACCCTTTTATGGAAACTCGCAACATGGAACATCAAGCGTATATGGGATATCCTTGGAAGAAGTACATACATGAGTTGCAAATAGACGGCGCTACACTATGTATACAGCACACTGCGGAATGTACCACCCGGACCATATGGCCCAGATCCTACTGCGAGGTTCAAGACCCCCCGCCGCTCACGTCTCCACGTCATGTTGCCCGCGACCCATCTGACATTGAAATACACACGGAGAGCAATCTCGTCCGGCAACTCTTCGCGGCGAGTCAACACAGCTTCCTGTGTAGACAGGCGTCCAGGGCCCTTACGCTTCCGGAAGAAGCTCTCCGGTGGTTCACGCCCGTAGATGCGTGCGTGGTGCTGCACCATTGAAGAGATGGTCTCCCTGTAGAGCTTCTATCTCCCATATGGTAGACCCTGCACATCATCATCACGATCTGTAAGCCACTTGATGAATCTATCAGTACATGTACCAACATTGAAGCATGCCTGCATACTTACCATGAAGTGATCGTCTTCTTCCCACTGCCTCAACGTCATACGGCTTCCGGCGTGTTGTACAAAGCTCGTGAAGTTGTCGCGGGTGTATACGAGCATGCAGCTTTGCATGCGCTCACCAGTACCGGGAATCTTCAGAACACCATAATCATCGTCTCCATGAGTTGCTGGAGTGATCATGCTGAGGACGAAGCCATGCAGCACAGGGAGGTGAGGGAGAGCCTCCAAGAGCTATGTTTCACGTCAATCGCAACATCCCATCTCCACAAATTGAAATACACACCTTATCTATGTTGTACATGAACTCCTTCACGCTCTGTGCCACAAGGCAACAAAAGACCATGGTTTCCTGGGCATCACCTTGCCCAAGTGTGTTAGCGGCATGGACGGATGCGTACTTGAGACAAAAGCAAAGACGGGGTGTTGTGACCGTGCAACTGGGGGATGTTGTCACTCGTGAAGAGACGGTATCTCCCTCCGCTTCACGTAGCACGCGACTCATTGCACTTGTGATGCCAAAAGTGAGGTCTTCCTCAAAGGTTGGTGCTATCACGGTCGCCGTGTCACGCAGCCGCCACCAGTCGATCCTGAACGTACGAAGATCTCACACATTTAGCAGTGCGTCCCCTTCACAAAATGTGTATGGCCCACTCACCTCACGCAACATAGAAACACGCCCCATCGTTCAAGCTCCAGGTTGCCTTTAGCCTTATACTTCCACGTCAAATCGACTGTCAACTGCAGCAGATCGTAGGTCGTCTTGTCCATCCTGGCGAGGTCCTGAACGGCATAACCACCTGAGTTGGATGTGGTAACCGACCTAGGTAAAGTTGAGCTTACCTCGGTGATGAAACCATCCTTGTCGGAGCGGTCCCACTGGGACTGAAGCTCGTGGATCTGCGCAAGACAATGACAGAGATGATTGAACTCGTTGCCCTGTGAACCAAGAGTAGTCTTGAGCCATTGCAAGAATTCTGGGCGCACAACTTCTATTGTTGGCCTGGGAGTGATGGCGGCCAGCGATGAGACCATGACACCGTGCTTCGTATTCGAGCCAAGTGGCTCATCTAAGCCTGCATAGGAATATGGCACTTGAGAGCTCTCTCCCGAGATGGGGGATTGAGGCTGCGCGATCCTGTGCCTGTCGGGGAGGGATTGACCTGGGGATTGTATCTTCACTTGCGTGTGGTGATGAGCCTGGACAGGTGTGCTCGGTCAATTAGAATCGCCGGAGTCCGAGCCGCTCCCAACTGGTGTGTGCAGTGGGTCGTCTGTGTCCGAAATCAGCTCGGTACCGTCACGGCGTATTGAGCGCGTATCACATGCAGGGTGTCGGACTGGCCTATTCTCGTCGTCGAACAGCATGGTGTGGAGGCTGGAGGGTCGACGTTAACTGGTTCGGGGGGATGTGGAAGCTGGGAGTGAAGCATTATGTTAGCCTGAAGGGTGAGGTCATGGGAACAGCATTCAGACAACAGCGACAACTTGAACTGACCTTCAAAGATCCCACTACATGTCTTTGGCGGCCTTCGTTCTCAATGTCCAGAGTCCACAAAACTGGAGAGACGGTGACTCCTCACAGGTCTGTCGATCTCATAAATGACGAAATACTTGCCCCCTGCACTGAATGTCTGCAACTCTTAGAATGTCTATGCCATCCGCGTATGCGGGCTACACCCTTGGCTATGCCTCTGGACATAGGTGCCAGGTTCGCAATGTGTTGTGAACCCTCCATATTAGGGAATCTAAGCGCCGGAGTAATTGGAGGGCGTTCAGCATCTCAGTCCTGGGGGGAAACTGCTCACCGACTCAATCCTAGCAACAGTGATGCTGCACAAGCCCTCAGATTATCAGTACAAGATGAGTGAACGGTGCTGTAAACATGTACACTAGTTGACGCTATTGAATGAGGCGTGTTACATACCTTTAAAACAGTCTATGCTGGAGTTTGACTGACTGTACTGCATTCACCGTCTGAAATAATCGTCAAGGTGTGCACCATGAGACAGTGAGGTGTTGAAAGGGCAGTCTCAATGTAGCGGATAGAAGGCAAGTGCCCTTTACCTCATCTGTCATGGAAGCACTGTCAGACTTGGTTGCGAGCCGCTCAACGCCCGGTTTAGTGCACTCTGCACCAGATCTGTGCCATCTCTACGCCCACTTGCCTCAGTTTTTTTACAGGCAACCCCCACGTAGGTGAGTACATAAACTATTCACGGTCATGGGTCAACCGTTAAAACACGAACATCATTTTCACAGACGTCGTTTGCCCAGACCCACAGAGACCATGAAACCCTCCTTGACACTGTTTGTACGCCCGGGTGGTGACAACGACCGAACCTGCCCAGCATGCGACAAGGAGTTCCACACAAGTCAGGGGCTCATGGCTCACTTATCCAGTGCAAGGTTGTGTGCTTGGTACCGCAAGGGCAAGAATCGAGAGCTCAACGCGTTCAGCCTTCCGAAGGTCGTCGAGTCTCCGGCGCAAGCGGTCGCCAACACGCAGGTGGTGGATGGGGAGGTCAACGACTGCAAGGACATCCTAGAGGACAGAGATTTTTTCCGCTTTGAGCTTCCTGATGCGCCGCCGCCACCTGCCGACACTGATGCTGGCTCATCAGGCCAGCCATCCTCTAGCATGCGAACGGCAGGCAACTCACGGCGCAGACCTTGGACATTCATACTGATCCTCGACAACAATGAGGATACAAGGCTTTCCGAAGAGAATAAAGATGCAGGGGCGGTCATCAGAATAGACAAAAGCATTACGATCCCTGAGGTACGAAGGTATCGTTCTTATGATGGACGGGCCTGAAACGCTTCCAGTGGCGCCCAATGTGGCAGTTTTTTCCCACAGGTACAGTCATTTGCCCCCAGCTTACCATGTATAGTTAACATTTGTTATGGTCAGTTAGCGGAGTTCAAAATTTTCAGACTCCCAGATGACGCGACTTGCACCAACACCACCAAACAAATGCTGTGGCTCAGTGCTTTGTCCTGGGGTGAGGGCCCAAGAAACACTTCGAGTGGCACCCAATATGGCAACTGGTGAGCATGTCATGTGACTGGCAGCCAGGCAGCTCACTGCTAGCGCTCACACTTATAGGCTGCCCCATAGCCCTAGTTAGTAACAATTGTGAATGGACTTAGTATACTGATCTGATAGCCCTTCATTCAGAGAGTATACACTATCATTATTGAGTAGCTAGAGTGGCTGGCTGGTCCAGAAAATGCAAAATAAAAAAATCCACATGTGCCTCTGCAGATGTCAAAGTGCCTATTTGTGCCTCAGATGTGTTCCATATGTCTGTAATGACATACATATGTGATTCAGACACTGTACAACTCAGTGGGTGCTGCACTACAGCCAAAATCAGCCACAATGAGCCATTTGACCCTCTTTTCACATGTTGTAGTCCATCTACATGGTGTAGTGATGTCTATGATAATCCCAAGCACTCAGATTCTCCTATTGGGTACTTCTGTATATTTGACAGATTTTCTGCATTTTTGTGACCTCCATGGGCACCACATCTTGTCCTACTTCCTCTTTGGGCAGGACACCTACTCTATATGGTAGTTGTGGCATGTAGCTGGCATATAGACACATAGACACAATCTGGGGATATATAATGGCCATCCATACATATGTATCCATGCTACTATGATGTCAGGCTTTGTATGCTGCAGAGACACTGTCTGAAGTGTGATCATAGGCTTATATGAGCTCCCTGAATGTGAATTTCACTGTGTTATTGAGTATACTGCCCTAGTTGATGCAACAATTGTATCATGGAAGGCTATAAGGATTTGACCTCATTCATTCTGAATATCTTCTGAATATTCCGCTTTTTTTTTCAAGTCTATACAAGCCCTCTTGACACAGTAACAGTCTGCGCTGACACCGCTTACTAAGCGCTCATTAAGCGCCCATTGCCGAAGCGGACTTGTATACAACTGCAGCCCTGCATTTCTCTGCAACTCAGGTCACCCAAAAGGGATTTTGGAGCAATGTCATTGGTTGAACCACTGGCAAACCTTGCCTTCTAAGGGAATCATTCAATCTCAGCCGAGTTTTTTGATGGCTTGCCCAATGTGGTCAGCAGCACTGTCTAGACTCTGACTAGAGCACATTGAATGTGGAGAAATCTCGGAATATTGACTCCCATGCAATGCTCCTTGCACACAGGTATGGAGGTCCATATTAGGTATCCCAGTGCTTGTTCACAGTGTACTGACCAAGGCAAGTGATGCAGAGGCATATGTACAAATGTTGTTTTTCATTTACTGCCCTTACTGGAGAGTCCTACAGGCTGACAATCTTATGCAGGGGTCTATGGCTACCAGATATGAAAATCACCATATATGGTAGATCCTTGCCTGTTTGGGAAGTTGATGATAGATCACCTTTACAGTGTTGCATAAATGGCAGGAAAATGAGCAAACATTAGATAACACTATTGTCCCATTGTGGGTTGATAGGACTTATGTGTGATGCTGAGTACTTGTGGAGGAGATGGATAGCAGAAACACAGAGTCTGGTGCAATAGGCTCAGCCACATGCCATGTGAGGTTCACTGTCCACAGGTCAAAATTTTGACCTGTGGACGAGTCATCTTGCAGTGTAGTCTCCCAGACTCCACTGAAATATGCTGTTTAAGGGAATTAGCCTCTGACTGGCCTTGCTGTATTTGGCCAAAGGCTCTCAAGTCCATGTATCTGCTGTACTGTAGCCTTCACAAATACAACAAATCCCCAAAATATTCTCTCTGATAGGTATGATGTCATAGAGTCTGTAGCTGCTGTGACTTGCCCATCAACTTCAGTGGTTATGGCACAATTCACAAAACTCAAAAACCCACATATGCCTCTGTACACATGAGTGCACTGCTTTTAACCTTCAAAGTGACTCTATCAAAGCCTGTAGACTGCCCATTGATTCTCTGACATCTGGGATCTGCTATATAGGGAAGCTGGCCTTCCAAAAATGGCAGTTTCCATTCAGCTGCTCAGTCTGGGCTCAGAAAATGCTGATAAAATCTGGGAATATTATGTACAATTGAATTAATCCATGATGCCTGCTGTATGTAAGAAATTGATTCTGTATAGAGTCCTCAGAGTCTATAACCAGCATGCCTTGCTATATATTCATAATCCAGAAAAGAGAACCTCTGTGGACAATTGCAAAGTGATTCCAAATATGAATAGGTTGTTGTCTCTGAAACACATTTGATATGACCTGTATAGACCATGCACATAGTCCACACAGCATGAGTGTGTCTGGAATGTGCACAGCACTGCTATGAGTGGGGAAATATTGTCATAACATGCCTGTGTTGACTTCCCACTACTGAATGACCATGTATTGAGGTTCTCTCTATTTTTAAGATGCTTAGGGATATTCCACAGATCTTCTAGAACATTATCCGATTTTCTGGGACTTTCTTGAGCCCCAAACAAGTCAGTTTTGCTGCAGAAACAGTGCACACTTACATCGCTTACTAAGCGCGCAAATAAGCGCCCGTTGCCGAAGCGGAGTCGTCGACAGGCCGGAATTCCCGGCCTGTCGACGACTCCGGTCATTCAAAAGGGATTTTGGAACATTCCCATTGGCTGGGATGCTGACAAATATTCCCTTTTAAAGTAATCTTTCAATCTCAGCTCTTCATGCCGAGTTTTTTGATGGCTCTCAGCCACACTAACTCAGCTCTTACTAGAGCCCCATTAAATGCGCAAAAATACTCAAATAAATACCCAAATATTCCTTCTCCATGGGATACTTCATGGATACTGATGGGTGTCCATATTAGGTATCTTTGAGGGTACTGACCATGAGAAGTGATACTGAGGCATATGAGCAGATCTTGGTAAGCATGTTTACTAGAGAGCTCCACAGGTATGAGGGGAGTCTGAAGCAGACATGGAAACCTGCCATATATGGTTAGTCTCCTGCCCATTTAGGAAGTTGGCCATTGATGGCCTCTGCAGTACTGGATAAATAGCAGGAAAATCAGAGAAAAATCCAGGAGTACTATACATTCATATTGTGCTCACTATTGAGGCTCACATGTGGCAAAAACCCTATGATAGTGCAGAGTTTCCCATGCATGGCCTGATATAAGCCACTCTTTCAGTGAGTCTTTGTATATCTTGTAACCACCAGTATCACCTGGAATTGTCAGGAACTGGCAACTCCAAACAGGATCCTAAGCTGTTGTGTTTAGTTCAACAGCTCAACAGGCCCTGAACATGCAGGCTGCCAAACTTGGGAGTTGAGCTTGAATGCCAGCCACAAGCTCATCAGTGACACTGTATTTGCTGTGCTGTGGCCTCCCAAAAATGAAAAACCCGATTGGGTATATTCTCAGTCACATATGATGTGTCATAGAGTCTGTACATAGTATGCCTTCCCATACTTTCATATAAATATAGCCCCATCCAACAAAGAACAATAAAAAGCACATGCCTCACACTTATTCTTTTACATTGTTTGTGTTTCCTGTGATGCTTACCAATTACCTATGAATTATGTGAATAATATGTAGTAGCTGACCTGGAAAGTTTGAATTACTTGTTGAGTCTGGGCTCAGAAAATGCAGACAAAACAAGGAAATGTTATGTATGATTCCAACCTTGTACTACTTGCTGTAACTAGTAATTGGCTTCTCAGCCCCTTATGTGGACCATGATCACTCAACAATGAGTACCTGCAGCACAAAGGTACCATTCAATGCTAGAAACACTCATAACATTGACTTTGCTTTGCATGTCCCTTGTATAATGGCATAGCCATCACAAATATGGGTTCACACTGTACTGATCCTAGAAGTGACACAGAGACACAGTACTGTGCCCTTGCTACTCTTACTAGAGAACTGTATACACTACCAGTGTCATGAGGTGAGCAACTAGACATGCAGACTTACCATACATCCCAGCCCTTCATAGTTGCTGCAGTGCTGGACAAATGGTGGAGAATGAGATGACATCAACTCTATTCCCTCATGTGATAATTGCTTGGAGCATATCTAACCTCTACCATCATATTATAGGCTGATGTGTTACCAGGTCCTATTGTTCAAGTTATGCAATGAGCCTTGGGTGATATAATTGGCAGCTCTTGGCTTGCTCATATGGGCAGGGAATGATTGTACCATGTATTGATGATGTCTATTTGTACAATGTCTACTGTCACTCAGACTGCCACTAGGCAACCAGCAACAGACCATACTTATAGTGGACTTCTAGGCAAATATCTGACTGTCCTTTTCTAGATCTCGAGTCAATAATAAGTGACTTTGGATCACTCTCATTGGCAGCAACATTTCCCTTCACATGTTAGCATAAAATGTCAGCTACTCATGCTGGATTCTTTGATGGTATATGGAAAGTCACACAATAACACCATAGACCCAGGAGTGAACACGTGTGCCATTTTAACAGTGTTGTATATATCATGGGAGGGTCCAAGAAGCAGGTATTATTACACATGGTGCATTGTGGTAATATCTGGTGGAGTACCTGCCATTCCAAATAAACAGTAGAGAATCTGTATATATTGAGAGGGTGGTTGAACAAGAGCAATATGGTGGTGAATTGTGCATGCATACAAAAGAAGTAAGTGTCAGCCAGCAGATGAAACCAAAAGTTATCTCACAAAGGTTGAAAACCTTTGTGTTCATGGGACTTATGACTGGATACCATGACCATTGAGTAGGCATTTCTGGAATACTGAGCAAAGGCAATAATGATTCCATGTGCAAGTCTCAGTGTAAGTATGTGCTCTTCACAGACAGTTTCCTATGAATATAGCAATGACACACAACACATAGTGGCTTACTTTCTCAATTGTAATATTGCTCATGATGGAGCACTGAAATCAACAATGTAGATAACCAGGATGCATAGAGTATTTGGGCTGTCAGGCAGCAACTAGACAGTGAAAATGGGCAATAATGAATTCTTCACACCTCAATGTATCTAAACCAATGGGATCGTACTGCCAGCCATGGCCCTCTCCCCAGCAAGTAGTGAAGACGTGGAAGGCATACTTTGAGGTGGACAACCCAAGTGGAGAGGACACCATGGACGTGGACGGTCCTGAGGAAGACAGGATGGATGTTGATGGGGAGCCAAACAAATCCGACAATGGCCAGAAATGGCGGCCTTTTGCGTCAGAACTGGACTGGCAAGTCGCTCATTGGATCGTTCTCGAGGACGTAGGCCAGAACTCTATCAATAGATTTCTGAGCATACCGGGGGTGAGTACACCCTTCTAATTGAGACACTAGTCAAGCTAATCATGAGGGTTTTACGACAGGTTGTGGATAAGTTGGGTCTGACATTCAAGGACATCCACCAGCTATTCATCAGGTTGGACACCATTCCTGAACGAGCCGAATGGAAGACCACAGCACTGACGTTCCCCGACCACCTGGATGTGACACACCTGGTATGATATTGCGATATTCTTGAAGCCGTCAAGGCGCTGCTGGGAAATCCGGCGCATGCCAAGCACCTCATTTATTGACCGCGGCGGGTCTTTGCTGATCGCTCGAGGCAGAAGAGGATATTCTCAGAGATGTGGACAGGGGTTTGGTGGAACTCCATACAAGTACGCTACACGCTTGATGCCTTTTCACTCATCACTGACCAACGGTACACCTAGCAACTCCTTCCAGAGGGGGCAACCATCGCGCCAATCATCATCTCCACAGACAAGACACAACTCACTCAATTCTCCAGACACAAGACAGCTTATCCAGTGTACATGACACTGGGCAACCTTCCGAGAGTGTTGCGCCGCAAACCATCGGAGCATGCTTGCATCCTGCTGGGGTATCTCCCGGTTCCAAAGATCAGCAAGGTGAAGCTCACCAAACGCGAACGCAAGGCTAGATCGCAGTGTCTGTTTCATGCAGCTATGAGTATCATTCTGCGCCCGCTCCTTTGCGCTGGCGTGGATGGTATGGAGGTTACCAGTGGTGATGGCACTGTGCGCCGAGTACACCCTATCTTGGCTGCCTACGTGGCCGATTACCCGGAGCAGTGCCTCGTCGCCTGCTGCAAGTATGGCATGTGTCCCAAGTGCAACTGTCCATCAGACAAGCTCGGCAACAGCCATCCCAGTGAAACACGCACCTCCAAGACGACCGCGACAACCATAACCGAGGCCTGGGCGAGCGAACGTAGCGCTTCTGCTGTGGAGTCCGTCTGCATGGAGCAGAACATAAGTGGTTCAGTCAAGAAGCCCTTCTGGGAAGGCCTACCCTACACCGACATCCATATGGCGATCACGCCCGACGTCCTCCACCAGCTCTATCAAGGCATCTTCAAGCACCTTGTATCCTGGTGCCAGGATCTCCTTGGTCCTGATGAGCTCAATCGGCGGCTACGCTGCCTTCCACCCACCTTCGGTGTTCGCCATTTCAAGCATGGCATCTCCTCATTGGCGCAAATTACAGGAAAGGAACGGAAGGACATGGCCAGGGTCCTTCTAGGCTGTCTCATAGGCAAGCTCCCTCGCCCTGTAATCCTCACGTTTAGATCGCTGCTGGACTTCATCTATCTGGCACAGTATCCTATGCACGATGACGCAACACTCCAGTATCTAAAGGACGCACTCAAGACATTCCACGCGAACAAGGATGTCCTCGTCAGGCTTGGTATAAGGGAGCATCTCAATATACCAAAATTCCACTCGCTAATGCACTATGTCGAGTCCATTTGCCTCTACGGTACAACCAACAACTACAACACTGAAGCCTTCGAACACCTGCACATTGACCTCGCAAAGGATGCTTGGTGAGCCAGCAATCATCGCGATGAATTTCTGCAGATGGTGAGGTACATCTCTCGCCGCGAGAAAGTCACGCTGTACGAGGTGTTCCAGAATGAATGCCGTGCAGACGAGCAGCACGAACATGTCATTGCGGTGGATGATGAAGAAGATGATGATGACTCGCTGCCTAACGTACCGGATGTGAACGCACAGGACACAAATCTTGAAGGAAGCACCATCAAAATCGCTAAGTTCCCCCTTCCCCCCAGCTGCACTTGTCCAGGATCCAGGAATGCCATTGAGCTCCCGGTTTCACAACCGCCCTCGTACACCTCATCAACAACATGCAGCCAAATGAACTATGACTCAACCGCCAGGACCTAGCCCGTACTTGGTTACCGTTTGACCGCCTTGACGTGTACCACCAATTCAAGATTGATCATGCGGAGCTTCACGACGGCAAGGTGGACGTAGACGTTGTCAAGGCCGCACCAAGCACAGGAAGACAGGGGCGCAAGAGTAGGTTCGACACGGTTGTTGTCTTGGAGAATGAGCAGGCAGAATCCACCGGGGTATTAGGTGAGATTCTGTTTGCAGTGTGATTGCTGTTCAGTTGCGTATAACCAAGTTGCATCCCAGGTACATGTATTGGACGTGTTAAAGTGATCTTCAAATTACCAAATAAACTGTCAACAGTCCGCGGAAGCAGCCCTGCACCTTCATGGTGGCCTAAAGGCCCACTGGCTTATGTCGAATGGTTCACGTGATTCCCCCGCGCGGCCAATCCGGCACATATGATGTATGGTGTTAGTAAACCGACTCCCCTGGTGGATGGCCTGCCACCAAGCGGCGGCAAGCACCATCATTCCCCTTTCACAGATACGCCAATCATACCAGCTCATACCGGCCTTTCCGGATGGCGCAAGGGGCGAGGTTTTGGCGGACTGGATGACAGAGAATGTGCTTGATTGTGCGCATAAGTTCTGGCTGAACAACTGGGCTGATTTGTATGCATATCAGACCCTGTGGTAGACAATCATCCATTTCTTTGACCTCTACGCACAACAGACAGTAGCAACGTATCCTCCTCACAGCGGCCCTTGGTACACCAAACCCAAACCCATTCAAGCCCTCAAGATTTCACGCAGCTTGCCCGCAGACCGTATCAATCTACCGGCACTTCATTGGGATCTAGACGTGTGGCCGTTCCCACACGCTTCAACCAACTCTCAACCACTCTCAGAACACTCTCAGACCGCTCCCAGCGAATTCTGGCCGGCTCTACTCAACGCTTCATCATGGCAGCCTTCTCGCGCATCGACCCACGCCTCGTGAACATTCTAGTCAAGAATGGCATGCCATCATGGCCGCAGCTAGCCGGAAGCGGAACCACGCTATGCCCTTACAGCAACGGTATAGCGCACGTCACCATTGTGTGTCTTGAGAAGATACATATCAGGGAGTTTTACGAATGTGAGTGCTAGGAATCTACGTACAGGTGTCTTGCTAATGGTGTTATTTGTAAAGTGTCCTATGTCTGAGACGACCGGCTGTGCCACGCGGTGGGGCCCGGATTGGATGGAGCCTCGGCGAGAAGTACAGCGGACGATCTTGGATCAAGTGTGAAGCACGGGTAAGGGGCCTGGCAGGCCTATCAGGATGGGAGGATGGGTCTTTGCGGGCGCAATTGGCGACTTCTACCAGAACTGGGTGATTGTCCCGCGTCTCTTGCAGCTGTACCGGCCCGAGGATGCAGTCGCTCCGAAAACGGCTGTGGTGGAGGCCCTATTCTTTATCTCGGTACGTCCCTTACAGTCAGTGTTGCAATCATGCTGACGAGCTGTACAAAACTACAGGATTTCAAAGACCCCATCTCCATCCCGCTCCTGTGCGAGATAGACAAGACGTGTCTCCAGATGCTGATACCCTGCATTATGGAGCAGCCGCTGCTGGGCCAGATCTTCCCAGGTCTGAGCCCATGGAGGCCGTTGCCCCAAAAGGGCCTTGGGGACTCGGGATTCGATTTCTACAACTACGAGAAGCAAACATTCATTCCCACCACCATGCTTCCAACCAACCCCCTTTCCCTACCCCTCCCACTGCCCCACATCCCCACATTCAAGCTCAGACACGTCCGCGTCATGCTCTACATGAGGGACCATGCCAGGGGCACTTGTTTTGAGCACCCTCTCTGCTCCATGAAACATCAGTTCATGGACCAGGAGTACGTCTGGCCGGCGGACTTACGAAAGCCACGGACGTACGTGCAGGGCCAATGGAAGATCACGGGCCCAGGATCCCCACTGGGCATCATAGCGGTAAGGCCCATGCCTAGAGAGGAAGGATGTATGGTCCTACCAGGGGTGGAACACGGCGGCAATGGCAAGGATACGGATGCCAGGATGGCCTCCGAGGCGTAGTAGGATTCGACCGGGATGAGTATGATTAGTACATTGTGCAGCAGAATTGATTGTTCACGTCTTGCTATCTAATGTACTACTTAGTATCAAAGATTGTTTTACGCCCACTCACGCATGTCGGCGAGTCAAGCATTAACACATCACGGTTACATCTGCTCATTACGATCCCTGAGGTACGAAGGAATCATTCTTATGACTGGCGGAAATGTAACACTTAGCATGGAGCCCAATGTGGCAGGTTTTTCCCACAGTGCACGTGACTGTTTGAGTGCCAGATAAGCAGAGATAAGTAACACTTACTATGCTGTCATTAGCTCAGTTGCAATTTTCAGACTCTGAGACAACGTGACTTGCACCAACACACCCAAACAAATGATGTGGCTGACAATTCCCCATGGACTTGGGCCTCCTGTAATGTCTACCTTGGAGCCCAATATGGAAAGTGGTGAAGATGGCATGTGACCTAACCAGCAGCACTGCACTCCAATATAATCAATCACTTTTTGGAACAGTAAGCGCTCACAAATAGATATGGCAAGTATATAGTCAACTTGTCGCCCTTGTTTCGTAGAGTCTACAGTAATTTTGTTGTGCCCCAATAGTGGCTAGTTAGGCCAGGAAATGCAAAATACAAAAAAGAACAAGAGACTTTGCAGAATTCAAACTGCTCATTTTCACCCTAGATATGTAGCACACAACCCATACAGTATAGCCATGTGTGTCAGACATCATGAAAATGCTTTATGATACCACAACAGAGCTCAAAATGGGCAAGGACTGCTCATTTCATGCTTGTACATGGTATTATTGCTCACCTTCCATATATGGTAATATGTCGTCAACATCACAGACCTCATCAACATGCCATAGTGCTCTATGAATATCTTCTGATTTATCTGCAATTTATGAAGCATTGGACATCCACTTTATTGAGAATTACTGGATTTGGAAGGTTTCTCACCATTTAGGGCAATGTGAGCTTTGTGATACTTCTTGTGCAATAAGCCCTCCCACAACTTGCCTGAAATGTACATTTCCATGGTTCACATTAGCTACACATCACTGTCTTTGTATACATGTTGTACCAGAAAAGGCACAATGGCCACTGGGTCTGGCCAGTCACATGATCAATGACGTGGGGTCACAGCAGTTGCAGCGGTGTTTTCGCTGCATCTGCTGCGACCGCACGTCTTTGGTCATGTGACTGCAGAAATGCGGTCAAAAATGCGCAGAATATTCATTCCCAGTACAAAAACCACTGTTTTGGGGCCATAAAAATCGCATAAATCCCCAGTAAATTGCGACAACCTCAGTACAGCTATCCTAGAGTATTTTAAAGTCATTTGAGACCAACATCATCTCAATTGAAGGCCACAAGGCTGCCAGTTGGCTTTCAAAATACAGTGCCACATTGGGTTGTTACCTGTAGTCACTCCATGGTATCTGGGAGTGATTTGCTTATGATGAGAGCAAAGCTATCTGAGCATTCAGCCAATGTGACATTGAGGTATCCAGTACATACATGGCTTGGTGGGTTAGAGTATGCACATTATGATCCCTGAGGTACGAAGGTATCGTTCTTATGATGGACCACCATGAAACACCTTAGTGATTCCTCCGGAATGGCAGTTTGTTCCCACAGTGCACGTGACTTGCAGCCACCCTGATAAGCAGAGATAAGTAACTGTTAGTATAGGTTGCTTATCTGAGTCTGAAATTTTACACTCACAGACGACGCGACTTGGACCAACAGATACAAACAAATGCAGTGGCTAAGCACTCAGTTATGGATATGAGGCCCATGAAACACCTTAGCAGTTCCCCCAATAAGGAAACTGGTAAACATATCATGTGACTGGCAGCTTGGTGGGCCATTACTCCAAGCGCTCACACACTGTAGGGCCTATATAGCCTCAGCCAGTAACAAATCATAGTATACATAGTATGCTCATCTGATAGCCCTTCATTCAGAGAGTATACAGAAATTCTATTGAGTGTATACAATGGCTGGCTAACCCAGGAAATGCAAAGCAAAAAAATGCACATGTGCCTCTTCAGATTCAATCTGCTTGTTTATGACTCAAATATGGTCTATATGTACACTGCAATGTATATGTGTAGTTCAGACACTGTGGACTACTCAGTAGCTTCAATAATACAGGTAACAAGGACTATAATGGGTAATCTGTGCATCTTTTGCCATATTATGGCCCTTGCATACAATGTAATGGTAACCATTGCAACTCAAGGCAATCATACACTTGTCTTTGATGTGTCTGTATATTTCATAGATTTTCTGCATTTTTCTGAGCCCTACATGCCCCTGTTTGTGTATGATTCCTCTTTGGGAAGGTCACATACTCCATATGGTAGTTATGCATCCACTGCTGGCTTTGTCTTGCTCACAGACACGATCTAGGGATACATACCTGAATGTGTACTTACACTATGATCTTATAGGGTTGTCCAGTACATGAGCAGTTCCAAGAGTGAAGTAGCAGGCTTATATAAGCTCACTGGGGCCACAGCAACCATCTTACCAGGTTATTGAGAATGCTATCTTATCTGATGTCAAACCCATGCCATATACAGCTTTATTCACATTGCCTGGATCATTTTGAATATTGTCTCAATTTTCCGCTTTTTTCTGAGCCTATACAAGCTCTCTTAAGCACAGTAACAGTCCGCACTTACATCGCTTACTAAGCGCCCAGATGCCGAGCTGCTCTGATTGGTGCAACAAGCCCTTTTCTGCCCTAATCAGGCAGGCTGCCGAGGTTTTGAGCTGAGTTTGAATCTCAGCCACAGGCTCCATAGTGGCACTGTACCTGCTGTACTGTGGCCTCACTAAAATGCGGAAAATTCCCAAAATAATCTCTGTGATAGGTATGATGTCATAGAGTCTATAGCTGCTGTGACTTGCCCATTACCTTCACTGGTCATGGCACAATTCACAAAACAAAAAAACATGCAAATGCCTCTGTGCACATGAGTGCATACATTTTCACCTCAAAAGTCTCTCTTTTGAAGCCTATATGCTGCCCACAGATTCTCTGACATCTCAAACCTGCTAAATAGGGTAGCTGACCTTCCTAAAATGGTAATTTTGCTTAACCTGCTCAGTCTGGGCTCACAAAATGCAGATAAAATCAGGGAATATTATGTGTAATCAGACTCATCTGTATTGCCTTGTATATGAAGGCAATTCATCTTGTATGGAGGCCCCCACAATATATCACTAGTATGACTTGCCCAGTTGTTTGAAATTCAGGAAACAGAGAAACACATGCATGAATGTGTGGCATTTGACTGGGATACACTGACTGAAATCTAATCAACTCCTATAGAGGTTATAGAGATGATAAACTCATTTGATAGCCCATCATTTCAAGGGTTAATCATACATTGGAGGAATGAAGAACAAAGGACAACATTTAGAGAATCACAAGTGACTGTGCAGATATGAATGGCTTGTTGTCTCTGAAACACATTGCCTATGACCTGTATAGATATGTGCATAGTTTACAATGCATGGATGTGTCTGGAAGTTGCACAGCACAGCTATTGGTGGGGAAAAATGGTAATAACATGCATGTTTTGATGTCTCAGCACTGAATGACTATATAGGGAATGTTCTCCACTTGTAAATATGCTCAGGGATGCTCTACATATATCCTGGAATATTGTCTGATTAATCCGCATTTTCTTGACCCCAGAACAAGTGAGTTGTGCTGCAGTAACAGTGTGCACTTACATCGCTTACTAAGCGCTCGACTAAGCGCCCGTTGCCGAAGCGGAGTGTCACTCAAAGGGGATTTTGGAGCACTCCCATTGGCTGGAATGCTGACAAATGTTACTCTTTAAAGTAATCTTTCAATCTCAGCTCTTCATGCCGAGTTTTTTGATGGCTTCAAGCCACACTAACTGAGCTCTTACTAGAACCCCATTAGATGCGGAAAAATCCCAAAATATTGCTTCTCCATGGAATGCCCCTTGAGTACTGACAGGGGTGCCCAGATTAGGTGTTCTTGTTGTTTTTTCACATAGTACTGACCTTGGCAAGTGATACTGGGGATATAAGCAAATGTTGGTGTGTGTATGATGCTTGTACAAGACAGTTCCACATGTATGGGCTCTGTGAGGTGGAGGATATCAAATATACAAAACTGCCATATATGGTTAGTCCCCTGCCCATTTGGGAAGTTGGCCATGCATGGCCTCTGCAGGACTGGATAAATAGCAGGAAAATCAGAGAAAAATCAGATAGTACTATGAATTCATATTGAGTTGACTGTTGAGGCTCCAATATGGCAGAAAACATATGATAGTGCAGAATGACCCATGCATAGCCTGATACAAGCCACTCTTTCAATGAGTCTTGGTCCATCTTGTAAGCACCATTATCACCTGGAATTCTCAGGGACTGGCAGCTCTAGACAGGATCCTAGGCTATTCTGTTCAGTTCAACTCTTCAATAGGCCCTGCAAAGGCAGGCTATTGAGCTGAGTTTGAATGCATGCCACAAGCTCATCAGTGACAATGTATTTGCTGTGCTATGGTCTCACAAAAAACAAAAACAATTGGGAATATTTCCAGTCATGTATATGATGTCAGAAAGGCTGTACATAGTATGCCTTCCCATGGATTCATATAAACATGGCACCCGCCATACACAAAGCCAAATAAAATACATATGCCTCTGTACACACTGGTTCTTTCACTTTGTTTGTGTTTCCTGTGATGCTTGCCAACTGCCTATGGATTGTGTGGCTATATGAGACCTGAATGAAACATGCCATATGTGGTACCTGACCTTCTCAAAATGGAAAGTCCGAGTTATCTGCTGTGTCTGGGCTCAGAAAATGTGGATAAAACAAGGGAATATTCTGGATGAGTCCATTCACCTTGTACTGCTTGCTATAAGTATTGATTGGCTCATGTCTAAACCCTTTGGCAGGCAATGGCATATGCAGAAAATGGTGAACACCTGTGGCACAAAGGCCACAGTTAATGCTGAGTATGTTCATAATATTGGCTCTGTCTCACATGTGAATGGCATAGCTATCAATATTATGGGTTCGCAGAGCTTTATGACACTGTACTGATCCTAGAAAGTGATAGAAAGACATTGTACAAGTTGTGTTGTGCATCTACTACTGTTGCTAGAAAGTCTATAGGCTAGCAATGTCATAAAGTAGGGACACCACACATAGGTGATCAAATGCTTTGATGGTCTCTGCAATGCTAGATAAATGGTAGGAAATGAGATAAAATCAGATGATCCCATGACATCATATTGTGCTGACTGTTGTAGGCCAATGCATGACAGTACATCTCAGATGTGCTAATGCAGAGTTCACAGCCTGATGTCTGCAGCTCTATTGTCCCAGTCCAGTATAAGCATGTCTTTGACTGATTGTATCAATATGAAGCAGTGCCAATTATACAGTATGATGGTGCTATGCTTGATTGTTAATTGCTCATATAATTTTTGCCTGGAGCATATCTAATGTCTGTATGCACTACCATCATCCTATTCTCATGCAATGGCCCTTGGTATGTGAAGATAGAATAGGCAGCTCTTGGCTTGTTCATATGGGCAAAAATGTATTGACAGTGGTGTCTGTTTGTGCAGTGTATGCTGTGATTTCTTCCTGATTGGGCTCAGAAGAAGTCATGGTTGCCATGGAAATAATGCAGACTTGCATTGCTTACTAAGCAACAGTGAAGAGGCCATATTACAATGGATGTCTGAGCCAATATATGGCTGTCCTTTTATAAATCTCTAGTCAATAATATGACTTTGGGAGTACTCTCATTTGCTGCAACTGTTTCCTTTTACATGTGATGATAAAATATCAGCTACTCATCTTGGGTCCTTTCATGTTATATGGAAAGTGGAAATATAACACTTTAGACCCAGGTGTGAACATGTGTGATATTTGAACAGCATTGGAAATTTGTGGCACTGTGCCTACCAGTACACCATTTGGCAGTTGATCCTGGGTGGTATCTGCCATGCCCAAGGAATGTCAACATAAAAATATAGTGTCTAATCCAAATATAGTACCATACATTGTATGTGCACACAAAATAATGAACAGTCAGCCAGAAAATGACACTGGTGATTATCTTGGGAGTATGTCTGAATCCTTGGACTTATGATCAGAGAGCATGACCATTGATAGTATGCATTACTAGAATACCCAGGAAAGGCCCATGTGCAAGTCTTAGTATGCAGTCTGTTGTTAGGACAAGGCATTGAAAACCCTTTTTTTTACAAGAAATTCCATAGATATGGTCTTTGACTAGGGTAGGCAGCAGGAATTGTTATCACTCCTGGGCTTTGTTATCTTTATTCTAGATTCTTTTAATGGACTTCATTTGGGGTTCACAATGCTTTCTGACCAGATTTCAGTGATCTTTTTTCCCCACATTGTTATTCTTTGTGGCACCTATTGGTGTATGTTCTGACTGGACTATTACCAAGCTTCTAGTGCTCTCCTTAGACCCCTTGTGACCAGATGCTTTGAAAGATATTACTGGGGTTCTATTAGCTCAGACTATGTTATCTATTGATATATTATCTCAGCTGGTAGGTAATCTATGAGTGACTTGACAAGCTGTACACTATTTCTGAGTGTTCATAAGGCTGTGCTAGTGTTTCAGGATAACATGCAAGTGGTGTGTCATGAATCACAGAGCACATCCTTGATGATCAGTGAGAATTATTGGCACATCTACCCTTGCCTTACAATGAGCCTGTGAGCTTATTGTGCATCTTGAATGGCCTTGGAAAGTGGTGTACTGAGTCTTCTACTATTTTGTAGGATTCTATGAAGTATTTTATGTAGCTAAAAGGCTGTGCATGAATGCACAAAAGGAGCATCCCTATGAGCAAGTCCAAACATTTATCTCATCTACCACTTGCTTCTGTACTCTTTCTTATGCCAGTGTACCTTCAATTCATCAGTGATCAATCCTGCCCATGACTCTATCAGTCTTGATGGCACTTACTATGGTGATACATTGCTTCACATTGTACTACATGAGCCCATTACTATTGACTCAGGAGCTGAGCTCCAATCCAGTAACATACCTTAGTATGGCTTTGTACTACTGGTCAGTGTCTGGTAACTGTTCACTTATGGTGAGAGCAAACTGCACATTCTTTGGTTGTATTCCTTGTATAACACATCAATTCTTGACAGGCCTTTTTCAGAATTCCTTACTGGTATACTTCTCCTCTGTATATTGGTTCCATCCTCCACTGTTACTTGGTTTGGACTTGGGGAAGTACTGTTAACAATCTACTGAAAGACATCCTTTGGTATCAGAATTTCTCTGATCAAGGGCTAATACTTGTACAACAGCACTGACAGCAAGTCCCAACTGAGTAGTGGTTACTGTAGTCAACCCCCCAGATTCCCCTTCCTTGAGTTCTAGTTGATCTAGAGGCTCTCCTTACTTCTTTGCAACATTCCCAAGCTATTTGCTCTATGTTACTATCAATACAAACCAGTAACACTGCTCATTAGTATTCAGATCATATTGATAAGCAACTTGGCAATTTACCAAGTAAGAAACAGATCCATAATGTCTGTTGCTCATGATTGCAAGCTATGATCCTCATATTACAACAACCTAATAAATTAGCAGGCTACTCTGAAGTGCAAAATGTGGAAGATATGGCAGTACTCTATGCATAGACAATATACTAGCAGTCTTGCCAAGCATGACTTCTGATGCGGGCAGCATGAAGTTGTTCATAAATGTTCATAAATTGACATATCTCCTACCAAAGGGATCATACTGCCAGCTATGGCCCTCTCCCCAGCAAGTGGGTGACAGTTGCCTCGGAGCCCGCAGATTCAGTGCACGGAATACCTGCTGGGTGAGCGGTTATTGAAGAGGATCAAGTTCAACCGCATCACTCTGCACTGTGCAGATGAGCGGAAGAGAGATGGGCGGATACACATCCTGGAGTGAACGTGAGGTAGTAAGACCTACAAAACTAAGTACTAGGCTGGAGCCACCTGTGAAGCTGGGAGGATGGATCCTAGCCAGGTCCATCAAGGAGTTCTATGCGGCAGAGAGCACAGTGCCACGGTGTCTGCAGGGACCCAGAGTCAAAGCTGTTGTGAGGTACTCGTATTCACTGAGGTGTGTTGCCACAAGTTCCTATCAATCATCGAGTGAGCAAGGATGTGTTTGTTGTATGGGATTTGAATGTTGCATAGTTGTGCCGGGCAGCACAACATATCATGCATGACACACTGGAACACCCAGATGTCCTGTGAATATACTGTAGAGACAGTGGACAGGTACTCACATAGTGGAAAAGTACGCCCAGGTTCCCCCTCTCCAGGCAGACCACGGTTGCGAGGTTGCCTTCGGACTGGATGAGACATGATCTTGGGCGGGACAAGGCTTTTTCATAAACCACAAGAAGTGGCGCGAGGATGGCGAGGACACAAAGATCAGTGAGAGCAGACATACAAACTTGGGTCGGTGGATGAGGCGGTCAAGTTCTGCGTAGTCTGGGTGGTGATGAAAGCACTTTCCAAGGTAAGCACTCTCTGTTGCAACTCCGTGCCTCACTTGTCATAAACTCTAATAAGATGATCATCTTATTGTAGATATATGTGTGAGTGCTCTACTACCAGAGTGTCTGGTATGCGTACATGCCCGCCCAATTATTGAGGTAAAATCTATCTGCGATGTCAAGGACACTGTCCAAACTCCATTCACTAGGTACCATCCCGCAAGGGCGATCAGGAAAGGAGGGAATCAATTGACAGGACTGTCTGATTTGACTCAGCGGGATTATGGCCCCCTGAGGTAGGCCATCACCGCGCCTGGGGGCTTTCTTCAGTGAGTACATGAGGTGGACTGGATCTGCTTGCGGGGCGAAGCGGGTGTACCACTCCACGTATGCAAGTGGTGTTTGCGGCCAATAAGACGGTGCTGGCGCACCGTGATATGCATTGGACAGTTTTTTGGGGAGGCAGAATATTATCTTGACCCGCCCTCCCCTTGTACCTAGGATATCGTAGTTAGAGTTGGGACTTGTAGTACGTAGGACCGGACAGAATGATATCTTACCGAGAACTCCAGTAGACTCACTTAGTCTCAGCCTCCCCCTTCTCTATCACAACTACTGTGTCAAAGTGGCTCATGCACCTGACGCGTGCCGTGGTGGGTATTGTTGGCTGCAGTGCACCTCAGAGCGATTCCAAAGGCCTAAGTCGAGCTCTGTAAAGTCTTTTTATTCAAAGAAGCAAAGATACACACCTAAGACGAGCTCTGTAAAGTGTTAGGGACTCAGAGCTCGACGAGGCGGACTGTCTACGGTGTGCGTTACATAAGGTGACCATAAGTGTACAGTAGAAACAGCCACAAAGTCGAACTCAACGAAGCAGTGAAAAATCGGATCAGTGCAGGGGTTCAAATCCCTGAAGATGCAAACATTATGGAAAATGGTAGACTGAAGGGAATGACGTCGGAAAAAGTACAATATGCACGGTATAGTGATGGCGTCCATGTAGAATAAAGGAGAACACACCAGGACGTGTTCCACAACTTGGACAGGGCAATGGAGCTCAGAATAATTCGCAGAAATGCGGAATAAATTCCGAGCTCAACACTCCACCCTGACCTGTCAAGTCCCCAGCCCAAGCATCTTCACCATCTCCAGCACCTTCGGTTTAGCCAGCGACTTCGTCAGGATATCAGCAGGCATGTCAGAAGTGCGAAGGTGTATGATCTCAATTCGACCTTTGGCGACTTCGTCTCTGAGCCAGTAGAAGTGCAAGTCGAGGTGCTTCATGCGTCCGTGGTGCTCGGAATTTTTCGCAACGGACAGCGCGGGAAGATTGTCAATTCGAAGCTTGGAGGCAAGGGAAACGTCGAAACCAAGCTCTGTGAGGTGATTGCAAAACCAGAGAATTTCCTGGCCTACTGAGACCGCTGCAACGAACTCTGCCTCTGTTGTAGAAAGCGCCACAATCGTCTGAAGATGACTCGACCAAGAAATCGCACCTGTACCCATTTTAATGACGTATCCAGAGGTGGATCGACCAGTGTCAGGGCAGCCAGCATGGTCAGTGTCGGTGTAGGAGGCGAAAATCTCGGAATCGGACGAAGGGGAATAGGTGAGCGTGTAGTTGAGGGTTGATGTATCGGAAGAGGTGCCTGACCACTTTCCAGTGCGTCATGCCAGGGTTCTTTGTAAAATGTGCCAGGTTGCTCACAGTGCGTGCAATGTCTGGACGAGTTGCCACAGCAAGGTAGAAAAGCGAACCCACTGCCTGATCATATATATGGGATGTTCTGCATCTCCCTGACCTCGGACGACATCTTGGGAGCCTTGTCTGCACTGAGACGAAGGCCAGGCTCCATCGGAGTGCCCACAGGGTTGCAGTTTGCGAAGCCATAGTGCTCCAGGATGTCGAGAGCGTACTGCTGCTGCGAAATCGAAAGCGAATGCTTCGCTCAATCACGCTCAATATTGACTCTTAGGATCCAGGACGTCGGCCCAAGGTCCCTGAGCTTGAAGTGTGTACGAAGGTCGTCCTTGACGCGCTGGATTGTGGTTTTCGACTTCGCTGCAATGGTGATATTGTCGACAAAGACAGGGATGATGCTGCGCACTCCATCTCGCAGGTAGACCCAGACACTGTGCTCACAAATCAGCCACGAAAATCTGAGTTTTGTGAGTACCTCGTGCAGCTTTTCGTGCCAGCAGCGTCCAGCCTGCTTCAGACCGTAGAGGGCCTTCAGAAGACGCCATACCCGGTTCGGAGTTTTCTGCTCAAAGCCCTCTGGCGGCTGCATGTACACCTCCTTCTTCAGTTCGCCGTTTAGATAGGCTGAGGAGATGTCCACAGACTCGAGCTCGAGGTCCTCCAGGGCTGCAAGCGCAAGAATGGCTCGAATTGACGCCCACTTCGGTGTAGGAGCGAAGGTCTCATTGTAGTCGAAGCCAGGACGCTGGGAGAACCCTTTGGCGACGAGGCGGCCCTTGTACCGCTCAATTGAGCCGTCAGCATTGCGCTTGACACGGAAAACCCACCGGGAACCAATGGCTTTGCATCCAGGAGGCAGCTGAACGAGCTCAAAGGTCCCATTTTCAACGAGGGACTGGATTTCGTCCTGAGGAGCCTTGAGCCACTTCTCTCGCTCATCTGGGGGTCGCTTCATCGCGTCTGCAAAGGTCCTAGGCTCGCCGAAGTGCTCCTGGTGCGCCTTGAACGCATTCTGGGCCACAGGCTCGAACGCAAAATCGAAGGCTTTGTCGTAGGACAAGAAATCCTCGCTTTCAGCGGAGTACACGTGCTCAACGCCTGCGATCATCGCGTCAAGCGAGCAGCCAAAGGTGTCCTCATGTCCATCTCCACGCAGGAAATTGAGTTCGTCATCGCTCTCCGGAGGTAGGAGAGGGTGGATAAACAGGCTCTGGAAGCGGAGCAGGTGCAGCAGGTGGACTCAGTGGCGCTTCAATGAGAGGATCAGGCGACGGAGAATTGCGCTGAGGCGTTTCGTCGTGTTGGCCAGGCTGGGGCGTCGAGGCAGGGGACTGAGAGTCGACTCTAAAACACTGGGGCAAGAGATTTCGCCGCTGCAAGTCGTCATCATTCAGGGAGCCTTGAAAACACGTAGAACGAGCTGGGAGTTGACGTGAAGGCGCAGGATATGGCCTGTATCTGTCATAGTTGTCAAGTTGACAATGAACTGCGGGACACTGTGGTGCCAGCGGAGGTGCAGCAGGTGCTGGGCGAACGTGCTGGATGGTCAGGGGAAGTTTTGTGGAATCCTGGGGTGCAGGGAGCTGATTTGGCGGTGGAGATGCAGGAGGTGCAGGATCATCAGAGTCGTCTCCCCCCTGATCATGCAGCTCTGGCGCATCAGGGGCATCTTCAGCGGGTTCGCTGTCGTCGAGAGGGAGGCCGAAGACATGTATGAAGGACGAATTCCTGGGAAATAGCATTCATCAAAGACAGCATGCGACGAAATGATGAATTTCTTCGCAGCAGGGTCCCAGAATTGCCAGGCCTTGGTGCCCTCAGGATAGCCGACAAAAATACACTTTCTCATGTGCGGCTGCATCGCGTTGCGGTCCCTCTTTCGTACCAACACATAGGCAAGGCAGCCAAAAATGCGGAAGTAGGAGACATCTGGCTTGCGCCCATCGCCTTTCCAGGCAGCCCAGGGCACACCTTGCAGGGACAACGTAGGCATGTGGTTCCTCATGTGGACGAAGGTGGAGAAGGCATGGCCCCAAATCGACGGAGGGAGCTTCGACTGAACAAGGAGGGCAGTCCCACCCTCAGCAATTGTCCTATTAACTCGCTCTGCAACACCGGGGTTTGTCTGGTTCAGTGTGCTGACGCTGGATGCCATGCTGAGCGCAAAAGTCGACGAACAGCTTGCCCATGTACTCCCCACCCTTGTCATTGTGTGTAGCCTTCAGGACGAGGCCTAGAGCGTTTTCGGCGTACGCCTTGAACGCCTGGAACACAGAGAATGTGTTGCTTTTGCACTTCAGGAAGGCCACAACCCAAAACCTCGAAGAGTCGCAGATAAATGTCATCCAATAAATGTGCCCCTCCGGCGTAGGCGTTGGGAGAGGCCCTTGAGGTTGGTGTGGACGAGGGTGATGCAGACAAAGTTTCTGGACGCAAAATGAGGGATACAGTGTCGATGCAGCTTAACAGCTAGGCAAGGCTTGCAGATGGGATCAGGTGTACACTTCGAACGGATGGTGAGGCCGGAAACGAGCTCCTTCGAGTGCGCCATTCGGAGGTCGTCGAGGTTGACGTGTGAGCAATGCTGGTGCCAAAGCGCGAGGTCCAGATCGCAAGTCGTCGAAGCGGACAACACAGTCTTCGTTTAAGACACAGTCTGGCCTAGCAGGTAGCCGACGTTGTGCTCGTTAACTCACGCCTCAAAGCGGAGTTCTCTCTCCTGGTAGAAAAACGCGTTCGCAGCTTGCAGCTCGACGACATAGCCCTTCTCGTGTGTGAGGTGAAAAACGGATAATAAATTTCTGGCAAGTGCAGGGACATGAAGGACGTCATGCAGTACAACAGCTGGCAGTAGAACTCCGTCCCTCTCCACAGGTTGAACGACCACAGACCCTAGTCCAGCCGAATAGACTACGTGTGAGTTGGCGAGGCGAATGGGGATGGAATGGGGAGAGTAGGAGTGAAACCAGTAGAAAGCCAGGAGGCACAATCCGAGGTGGATAGGAGGGCAGAGGCGCAACCAGCACTCACAGTGGCCGCTCCAGCGGACTCCTGGGACACATCCTGCGCATCCTGGACGGTTTTCGACGCTTCCTTCGCCTCCCTCGTCTTGTCCTTGCCCTTTCCAGGGCGAAACTGCGTGTGCTGCGACACCTTCTCCTTCGCTTTGAAGCTAGCATCGCGTTTGGAGAAGTACTGCTCCTCGGAGTGGCCAGAGCGGCTGCAGAAAGCGCAGATGATGGCGGCAGCGACCTGGGATAGGACCGGGATTGTCGATAACACACCAGGCTGATTTTCTAGGGCGACAAACATGTCCTGGAGCGTCTCAAGCATGAGGGTGTCGTCCAGCAAGAGGGTCTGGCGAATTTGGCGGGCAGGGCGCGGATTAAAGCCATCAGAACGAGCTCATCGTTGAGTTTAGCGATGTTGAAGTCCTGGGGACGAAGGGCTTTCATCTCGGACTTGAGCTGCGAAGCTCGCGTCGAAAGCGTCGACAGGGACTCATCCTTGGCCTTGGAGAGGCTCAGGAGCGCATTGTAGGTGTTAAAAGGATCGTCTCTAATCGCCTCCAGATGCATCTGCTGCTCCCTCTCCACACACCCCCAGATCTCCCCAGCTGCCAGGTCCCTCCTGTTCTCAAAATTGCGCCTATCTCGGCGTTCTGAGGCGTCCAGGGGCTGAGTGAATGAAGGCCTGGTCTCTGAGCCCTTCTGAAGACAATGCAAAGAGCTGCAAGAGTTTGAAGTCTGGCCTCCATGTCAAGCCTCCCCATATCCATGCATTCTGTTCTCGGAAGGGCCGCAGGTGGTGCCTCCCCTTTCACACCGCTATCCTGTCCTCCTGCATCATTGTCATCATCTTCATCCCCGTGAGCTTCTTCTGTGTCCTCCCAATCAGCTCCATGCTGGAACTTCTTGTACATCACCATCTTTTCGTTCTGCAACACCCACTTCATCATCTGCGGGAACTCATCATGATGGTTTGATGTGCGCCACGGATGCTCCGGCGAAGTCAATATGCAGGCGCTCAAATAGCTCGGTGTTGTAGTTGTCGGTTGCACCAAACAGGTGGATTGACTGGACGTAGTGGAGTAGAGAATGTATCTTGGGTATATTGAGATCTTCGCATATCCCAAGGTCGACTAGAACTTGCTTGTGCTTGTGAAACATCGTCAAGGTGTCTTCTAGGTATTTGAGAGTGGTGTCGTCGTGAGTCAGGTACTGGGCAAGATAAATAGAGTCTAAGAGTGAGCGGAATGCGAGTAAGAGCGGCTTGGGTATACCACCTATGAGGCAACCAAGGAGAATGCGCGCCATCTCCTTTCGTTCCTTGCCAGATATCTGTGCCAGAGAGGAGATCCCATTTTTGAAATGTTGGGTGCTATGGGCCAGGGGAAGGCAGCGGAGGTGATTGTTAAGCTCGGATGGCGTGAGGAGCTCCTGGCACCAAGTGACCAGGTGCTTGAAGATGCCCTGGTACAACTGGTGGAGGACGTCAGGTGTTATGGACATGTGGATGTTGGAATAGTCCAAGTCCATCCAGAAAGGTTGTTTCACCATGCCACTGACGTCTTCCAGCATGCACTTGGCCTTGGTCGCACCCGCACCGAGGCCCTCCTCCCAAGTGTTGTGAATGACATCCTCTGTGTGCTCGGACATGCATTGATCACTTGCTCGCTCAGCCTCCAGCTTGTCTGAGGGCACTTGCACTTAGGGTGCATTCCATACTTGGAACAAGTGACTAGGCACTGCTCCGGGTAATCAGCCACGTAGCATGCTAGGATGGGGTACAAGCGCTGAACTGCACCATCACCAGCAGTAATTTCCAGCCCCTCTGTGCCAGCTCAGATGAGAGGCTTCAAGATTATGCGCATGGCGGCATGAAAGATCTTTTGCCCTCTGGCTTTGCATTCACGTTTGGTGAGGTTCTTCTTTCCGATCTTCGAGACCGGAAGGTACCCGAGCAGAATGCATGCATGTTCCGAAGGTTTGTGGCGGATAGCTCTGGGAATGTTGCCTAGGGTAAGGTAGACAGGGTATGCAGCTTTGTTGCCCAAGAACTGCGTAAGTTGTGTTTTGTCTGTCGCTATTATGATGGGTGCAACAGCCGCACCCTCCGGTAGATAGCTCTGAGAAATTCATGGCGAAGATATGTTAGCTATGTGCGCCAGCACAGTCCCGTAATCTTTGGCTTACCTGGATTGTGTTCCACCACAGTCCAGTCCACATTTCGGTGTAGATTTGGACCGCTCAGAACAGACCTGCTTTGGACGATAGACAATGTGGCTGGCATGCGAGGGATTGCCCTGTTGAGCTCGGAATTTATTCCGCATTTCTGCGAATTATTCTGAGCTCCATTGCCCTGTCCAAGTCGTGGAATGTGTCCTGGTGTGTTCTCCTTTATTCTACATGGACGCCATCACTATACCGTGCATACTGTACTTTCTCCGACGTCATTCCCTTCAGTCTACCATTTTCCATAATGTTTGCATCTTCAGGGATTTGAACCCCTGCACTCATCCGGTTTTTTCACTGCTTCGTTGATTTCGACTTTGTGGCTGTTTCTACTGTACACTTATGGTCACCTTATGTAACGCACACCGTAGACAGTCCGCCTCGTCGAGCTCTGAGTCCCTAAGACTTTACAGAGCTCGACTTAGGCCTTTGGAAATCGCTCTGAGGCGCACTGCAGCCAACACAAACCTCCTCCATGACCTCGTGTTCCGGTTGCACCTCGCTCAGAATGGCGGGGCACTCTGTCCCGTGGTAGGATGGACACTAAAGGGTGTCAGTAGTAGTCAAAAGCAAAGATTAAAAGACTTACGTAGTCAAAGACCTTGCCAAAGTTGCTCCTGCTGTTCTCCAGGCATACGACCGCGAGATGGTACACCTCCAAGCTTTTCTCTAAGCTGGGGCATATGGCGGTCAACTTTGCAACCACTGGAAATGGCGGGAGTACGGGCGGGAGTAGGCTGATGAGTCTCTTATCAAATCCGAGACCAGCCATTGAGACGAGAAGCGGTTGAGTGTGGTGAGTGAAGCGTAAGTGTGGTACGCAAGTTGAAGGAAAGCAATCTTTAAGCGCTAAAGAAGCGGTGACTAAGACTGTTTTGAGGCGCCCACGCTCACGCAGCACGGCTAGTAGGTGGTACAAACGATGTTATTGTGTATACGGGCTCAAACACAATACAAAAATGGTACACAGCAATGAAGACTAATAGTACATTTGAACAACTCCACGTAACCTGAATCTCCCGGCAGTCAAACGTGAATGTACTCGGACATCTCCCAGTTGTAGTACGGGGCCCGACACACCCCGTATCCATTCTCCCCAGGCCCGGGACGCATCACTACAACACCCAGCGGCATCCCGAAGTCCCTCACAGTCCAGTCAGCTGCCACGCACTTGCGCAGAATCTGCCGCCCAGATGTAGGGCTGCTGCGTGAAGCTGTGCTTCATGGGGCACGTAGGGGCCGAAGCAACGGCACCCGTGGCGCGGTCGCTCGCGCGGAAGGTAACACTGACGTTGGTCAGCTTGAAGGTGGGGATGTGGCGGAGGGGGAGGTGTAGGGTGAGGCGTTCGTTTGGGAGTGTGGCGGTCGGGATGAACGTCTGCCCTCTGACGTCGTAGAGGTCAAATCCTGCAGCCCCGAGGCCCGTGTGGGGCAACGGCTTCCATGGGCTCAGCCCCGGGAACATCTGCAGCAGCAGAGGCTGCTTGGCGGGACCAGGAATCTCCATCTCATGTCCTGTCTCATCCACCTTGCACAGGAGGGGAACGGACACCCGGTCATCAATGTCCTGGTAAGTTCCATTAGAAACAGAGGTGACATGAGGTGTAAGGGATGTACCAAGACGATGACTACTGTCTCCACTACCGCCACTCTGGGAGCCTCCTCCTCCGGGTGGTACACCCGCAACAAACTGGGGATTCTCCCCCCCATCACTCCGGTGGAAATCCTCGAACGCCCCCACGTAGACCCACCCACCCATCCTAAAAGGCCCCTGAAGCCCAAAGTATGACTCGTGGACTTGGTCCAGGATGACCCTCTGCATCTCCAGCGAGGGCTGCCACCAATCCGGGCACCGTACCATGGTACAGCCCATACTCTCATGCATCATGCACTGTAGTACATCAGCCACGTCGCACCTGTACATAGAAACGGACACTCGCGAAATCAAACAGCTCTCCAATGTGCTCCCTCTCCAGACACACAACCGTGACATGGTTCAGACCGCTTCCATGCGGGCATTGCCTCGTGCAGCCTCGGGTTATCTTTTGATAGGACGGGAGGCCATTTTGCACCAGTATGTTGATCAGGTGCGAGTCGATGCGCGAGAATGCCATGATGAAGCAGTTGGGAGTGACTAATGCATAGTGGGGGTGTACCCATGGGTGTCTGAGGGCATACCCATACCCATACCCACATGGGTTGCATACCTATGGCATGGGTATGGGTTTTGCATGGGTATCATGGGTACCCTTGGGTATGGGTACCATCATGGGTAGATCTATGTGCAGTTCATTGTACTCATAATTTTGCATGATGGGTAACATAATTGGCAAGATATGGGGTGTGTTGATCAGTATCATACTGGCCAAGTGAGCTCAGACCAGACTCACAACTGGCTTGCCAATTGGATGAATAACACCACAGAGCTGACACTGGGCCATGGAGATGGATGTGACTAGGGGCTGTTCTCTCAATGATGGGGTGGCAAGGCAGGATGTCATTATGGCACACATTTACTGCTACCATTATGAGAACAACCCCACTGACTGCATAGTTAATCACAACACAGAAGTTGGAGTTTCCAGTTTTGCAAGCCAGGACATATATCAATTAGATGGGAGGCACCTGCATGAGGGCAGTAGGCTGTTATGCAAGCAGCTTATATACATGCAAGAACAATGGAGAGGAGAGGTCAATTAAATGGGTCAAAGCAAAGTAACATAGGACAAATCCATCCAAGATGTGACAAAGGATTAAAGAACCTGATAAACAGTGACTATACCTTTATTTCCAGTACATATCACTACTTAGGTGGGGAGACCACAAGATTTGGGGAATAGCAAGTCTGTATATACCCCTTTACATGTGTTTGTTTTTGTTTGTTTATTTTCTTTTGCATCACTGAGGGTGAAGCCCTATGTAGACAGTACATACACTAATCCCAACATGTGTCTCTCGGGCTGTGGTCGCTTAGCATCACTGTCCGCTGAAGCTTCAGGCATGTATAGGAAGGGAAATGCAAGGATGGTTGATCAGATCAGGGGGAGTCTCCACCATTTCAAGGCCCATCTCCTGCTGTCTCGACAAGATCATTGCATTGCGCCTATGTCAGTGCCACTTTCGCCTTTCTCCATCCTTCGCTTTTACATGTGATTATAAAATGTCAGCTACTCATGCTCAATCATTTCATGTTATATGGTAAGTGGGAAATAACACTTTAGACCAGGGTGTGAACATGTATGAATAACATTGGAAATATTTCCTGCCATTTGTGGCAGTGTGCCTACTAGCACCCAATTTGGAAGTTGATCCTGGATGGTATCTGCCATGCCAGAGGAATGTCAATATCAACATATGGTGTCTAATGCAAATATAGTACCATTGTATGTGCACACACGGTCCCCCAGAAAATGACACTGGTTATTAAATACCTTGGGAGTGTGTCTGAAGATATAGAAATCCCTAGACTTATGACCAGAGAGCATGACCATTGTTACTAGGCATTACTAGAATACCCAGGAGAGGCAACAATGACCCCATGTGCAAGTCTTAGTATGCAGGCTGTTGTTAGGGACAAGGCATTTTTACAAGGAATTCCACATATGTGATCTTTGAATAGGATAAGCAGCAGTTGTTATCATTCCTGCACTTTGGTATCTTTATTTCATTTCCTCTTAATGGACTTCACTGTAGTATTCACAATGCCTTCTCACCACATTCAGGTGATCTTTTGTTTCTCACATTGTTATGCTTTGTAGCACTTGATTGTGTATGTACTGACTGGACTATTACCAGGCTCCTAGTACTTTCCTCAGGCCCCTTGTGACCAGATGATCTGAAAGCTGTTACTGGGTGACTATTAGCTCAGAATATTGATGATAATATTCCAGCTCATCAAGCTGTACACTATTTCTGAGTTTTCATAGGGCTACACTAGTGTTTCAGGTTATCATCCATGTGGTCCCTCATGTTTCACAGAGCACATGCTTGATGATCAGTGGCAATCATTAACACACATACCCTTGCCTTGCTTTTTCCCTACTTTTTGAGCCTTATTGTGCATCTTGAATTGCCTTGGAAAGTGCCATGGTGTACCAAGTCTTCTACTATTTTCCAGGATTCTAAGAAGTATTATATGTAGCTAAGAGGGAGGGAGTGCACTTGGGAAATTCAACAAAAGGAACATCCCTAAGAGCAAGTCCAAACATTTATCTCATCTACCACTTGCTGCTGTACTCCTATGTACCTTCAATAGTCCCTGACATCAGTGATCAATCCTTCCCATGACTCTATCAGTCTTGATATCATACATTAGCCCATTGCTGTTGGCTGAGCTCCACTCTAGTAACATACCTTAGTATGGCTTTGTACTACTGGTCAGTGCCTGGTAATCATTTATTTCAGTGTACAAATGGTGAGAGCAAACTGGACAGTCTTTGGTTGTATTCCTTGTATAACATGACAACTCTGGAAGGGCCTTTTTTCAGAATCCCTTACTGGTATACTTCTTGGTCTACTGTTGATTGGTTTGTCCTTGGGGAAGTACTTCTATATCAGAAGTTCTCTCTGATCAAGGGCTAATAATTGCACAACAGCAAGTCCCAGCTGAGTAGTTGTTACTGTAGTCAACCTCCCAGATTCCACTTCCTTGAGTTCTAGTTGATCTACAGGCATACTTCTTTGCAACATTTCCAAGCTATTTTCTCTTTGTTATTAGCACAAACCAGTAATACTGTTCATTAGTATTCTGATAATGATGGTCATTGACTTGGCAATTCACCAAGTAAGAAACAGATTCATGTTCTCAATGGAGAGCCTCATATGAATATGCAATTACTTACTCAATTGGGACATTGCTCATGATTGCAAACTATGATTCTCACATAAAAACAACCTCATAAATTAGCAGGCTACTCTGAATGTTTATACCATGAGATGGCAACTGGATGGTGCAAGATGCGGAAGATATGTCAGTACTCTATGCAGACAATATACTAGCAGTCTTGCTGAGCTTAACTTCTGATGTGGTCAAAATGTTTTACTCACAAACTGACACATATCAAACAAAAGGGATCGTACTGCCAGCTATGGCCCTCTCCCCAGCAAGTAAAGGCGGCACACTCTGGTGGTTGGCATAGAGATTATGATTTGATGACCCAGTATATTGTCGACCAGCCATTCTTGCTGGTCGTTGTTGCCGAAGTCGTAAAACAACTTGGCTTCCTGGTTGGGAAACAGATTGTCAAAGCCTGCGCACGCTCGCACTTTGTCCAGGCCCTCCAGCCCCGTCCGACCTTCAGCCACCCATGGCTATTCATCGGCGGTATCAAGGATGTGTTCAAGCTGGACAACCTGCCAAAATGCTGGGAGGGTACCAGAGAGAAGCAACTGGTGGAGGTTCTGGTGTTTTACCAGGTGCACCATGTCATTCTGATCTCTCGCAAGATTTGTACTTACACTTGTGTATTTTGCGCAGGATTCGAACATGCCGCTTTCCCTGCCGCTGATCAGCGATGTTCAAGGCAACGAGCTCGTCGTTTGGTTCCAAGCCGATCACTGCTCAAGTATTCCCCGGATTCCGCTGGTGGAGTTGCGACTACACAGGCCCAAAGAACATCAATGTCAACGCGCAGACCTTCGTGCCCAACTACCTGCGGCCGCAACCCTATTGATTCCCCCTTCCCCTGTGCCATGTCCCCATCATCAAAGGCAGGTCGGTCACTATGGTCAGACCATTCACACCAAGAACTACACCCTCGGCAAGCATCGGGAGATCATCCCGATGTGTTCGATGAAGGCGAGCTTCATGCCGAACATGGAGTTCGTCTGGCCGACCAAGGTCATTCTGCCGTGGCTACGCTTTCGCGTGAGCTGGAGGGTGGGGCATGACCGTCAACTCGGTGCGACTACCACTGTGTGCCCTTTGACGGGCAAGGATGGATGTACAGAGGAACCGGTCAGAGGGTAGGGGCTGGAGGTCCGGTGTTGAGCTGTCAAAACTTTGGTGTGTAGTTACTTGTATGATCTGTATTTGTTGTGCGTCTCCTACTCCATGTGTACGCTAAGTTAATAGATGGTGAGCACCGCACCAAAAAAGCAGTCGCATAAAGAGGACCCACCCAGACACTTTGTCCATTGACTCTCTTTGTAGTTGGAAGTATGTGGGTGCTCCCTGTATCATGGGCTCAGAAAATGTATGATTCCACTGACCTTGTACTCCTTGCTGTAACTAGTAATTCCCCTTATGTGGGCCATGATCACTCAATAATGGATACCTGCAGCACAAAGATCCCAGTTAACACTGAGAGTTTTCATAAGATTGACTCTGGTTTGCATGTCCATTGTATAATGGCATAGCCATCACAACAATGGATTCCAGATTTTGTTCACACTGTACTAATATTACAAAGTGAAACAGATACATTATACAAGTTGTGTTGTGCATCTACTCCTCTTACTAGAAAATTCTATAGGATAGCAATGTCATGAAGTGGGGCCACCAGACATACAAACTTACCATACATGTATATCACAGTCCTTGATGGTGTCTGCAGTGCTGGATAAATGGTAGATAAGATCAAATCAGATCTCCCCATAGCTTCATCCTGTGCTGACGTAGTCTGATACATGACAGAACATCTGTGCTGATTCATGCACATAGCCTGATACTAATATAAACATGTCTTTGCCTCATCTTGTCAGTGTGAAGCAGTGCCAATTACATGGTATGATGGTGCTATGCTTAGTTGTTGATCCCTCATAGATAATTGCCTGGAGCATATCTAACATCTACCCCATATATGGGCAGATGTAATACCAGATCCTATTGTCATGCAATGATCCTTGGGATATGGAGATATAGTACTAGGCAGTTCTTGGCTTGTTCATAGGGCAAGGAATAATTGTACCATGTATTAATGAAGTTGTCTGTTTGTTCAATGTATACTGTCACACATAGTGCAGTGTATACTGTTATTTCTCTACTGATTGGGCTCAGAAAAAGCCATTGTTGCTCTGGCAGTGGTACAGACTTACATTGCTAACAAGGGGCCATACTATAGTGAATAATTCTCAGGAGATATAGGATGGTCATCTTCTAGATCTCTAGTTATGATCCCTGAGGTACGAAGGTATCGTTCTTATGATGGACCACCATGAAATGCCTTAGTGATTCCTCCAAAATGGCAGTTTGTTCCCACAGTGCACGTGACTTGCAGCCACTCCAATAAGCAGAAATAAGTAACTGTTGGTAGGGGCTGCTTATCTGAGTCTGAAATCTCAGACTCCCAGATGACTCCACTCAAGGACTGCATATCTTTCTGATATTTATATTGTACTCTTCAGGTGTTTTAACATAGCTATGTACAAGACTTTGGGACATTAAGGCCCACACAGAATGAGGAGAGCTTGTTGAGTGCTAAGATGGCCAAGATTGTGACCCAATGTAGTAATGCTTCCCAAATGGCACACATATTCACCCCTGGGTCCATATTGTTATTTTGCTGCTTTCCACATACAATCCAAGAAACTAGCATAAGTAGCCAACACTGACTGAAACAGATAAACTTTGTAGCCAATGGGAATGCTTCAAAGTTACTGATCAGTGACTGGAGGCATAGACACATATAGTCTCATGTTTGCCTACAAGTTCAATGTCAGAATGGCCTCTTGATTGCCTTTGTAAGTCTGCATGATTTCCAGCGCAACAATGGCTTTTTCTGAGTCCAGAAAGTAGAGACAACACAGCATACACATTTAGCCCAACTTTGAAACTGCAATACTAGCAACAGTAGACATCACACAAACAGACACCATCATCAATGCACAGTGCTGATGATACCCATATGAATAAGCCAAGAGCTGCCTATTTTGTCTGTACTTTGGGTCATGTTTCCACATATCAAGGGCCAGTGCATGGCATTGAATGACAATGGGACCTGGCAATACATCAGTGCATCATGTGTTAGTAATTCATATGGAGGTTAGATATTCTCCAAACTTGCTGGGGAGAGGGCCATAGCTGGCAGTACGATCCCTTTTGTTTGATATGTGTCAGTTTGTGAGTAAAACATTTTGACCACATCAGAAGTTAAGCTCAGCAAGACTGCTAGTATATTGTCTGCATAGAGTACTGACATATCTTCCGCATCTTGCACCATCCAGTTGCCATCTCATGGTATAAACATTCAGAGTAGCCTGCTAATTTATGAGGTTGTTTTTATGTGAGAATCATAGTTTGCAATCATGAGCAATGTCCCAATTGAGTAAGTAATTGCATATTCATATGAGGCTCTCCATTGAGAACATGAATCTGTTTCTTACTTGGTGAATTGCCAAGTCAATGACCATCATTATCAGAATACTAATGAACAGTATTACTGGTTTGTGCTAATAACAAAGAGAAAATAGCTTGGAAATGTTGCAAAGAAGTATGCCTGTAGATCAACTAGAACTCAAGGAAGGGGAATCTGGGAGGTTGACTACAGTAACAACTACTCAGCTGGGACTTGCTGTTGTGCAATTATTAGCCCTTGATCAGAGAGAACTTCTGATATAGAAGTACTTCCCCAAGGACAAACCAATCAACAGTAGACCAAGAAGTATACCAGTAAGGGATTCTGAAAAAAGGCCCTTCCAGAGTTGTCATGTTATACAAGGAATACAACCAAAGACTGTCCAGTTTGCTCTCACCATTTGTACACTGAAATAAATGATTACCAGGCACTGACCAGTAGTACAAAGCCATACTAAGGTATGTTACTAGAGTGGAGCTCAGCCAACAGCAATGGGCTAATGTATGATATCAAGACTGATAGAGTCATGGGAAGGATTGATCACTGATGTCAGGGACTATTGAAGGTACATAGGAGTACAGCAGCAAGTGGTAGATGAGATAAATGTTTGGACTTGCTCTTAGGGATGTTCCTTTTGTTGAATTTCCCAAGTGCACTCCCTCCCTCTTAGCTACATATAATACTTCTTAGAATCCTGGAAAATAGTAGAAGACTTGGTACACCATGGCACTTTCCAAGGCAATTCAAGATGCACAATAAGGCTCAAAAAGTAGGGAAAAAGCAAGGCAAGGGTATGTGTGTTAATGATTGCCACTGATCATCAAGCATGTGCTCTGTGAAACATGAGGGACCACATGGATGATAACCTGAAACACTAGTGTAGCCCTATGAAAACTCAGAAATAGTGTACAGCTTGATGAGCTGGAATATTATCATCAATATTCTGAGCTAATAGTCACCCAGTAACAGCTTTCAGATCATCTGGTCACAAGGGGCCTGAGGAAAGTACTAGGAGCCTGGTAATAGTCCAGTCAGTACATACACAATCAAGTGCTACAAAGCATAACAATGTGAGAAACAAAAGATCACCTGAATGTGGTGAGAAGGCATTGTGAATACTACAGTGAAGTCCATTAAGAGGAAATGAAATAAAGATACCAAAGTGCAGGAATGATAACAACTGCTGCTTATCCTATTCAAAGATCACATATGTGGAATTCCTTGTAAAAATGCCTTGTCCCTAACAACAGCCTGCATACTAAGACTTGCACATGGGGTCATTGATGGGTATTCTAGTAATGGTCATAATCAATGGTCATGCTCTCTGGTCATAAGTCTGAAGATTTCTACATCATCAGACACACTCCCAAGATAATTAATCACCAGTGTCATGTTATTATGTGTGCACATAAAATGGTACTATATTTGGATGAGACACCATATTTTGCATGTTGACATTCCTCTGGCATGGCAGATACCATCCATCAACTGCCAAATTGGATGCTAGTAGGTAGGCACACTGCCACATATTTCCAATGCTGTTCAAATATCACACATGTTCACACCCTGGTCCAAAGTGTCATTTTTCCACTTTCCATATAAAATGAAAGGGCCCAGCATGAGTAAATAACATTTTATAATCACATGTAAAAAGATACAGTTGCAGCAAATGAGAGTACTGCCCAAGTCATATTATTGACTGGAGATCTATAAAAGGACAGCTTATATTGGCTCATAAGTCCATTGTAGTTCTTCACTGTTGCGTAGTAAGCAATGCAAGTCTACGCTATTTCCAGAGCAACCATGGCTTCTTCTGAGCCCCATCAGGACGAAATCACAGCATACACTGCAATATGAGTGCTAGTAGACATTGCACAAACAGACACCACTGTCAATACATTCTATATGAACAAGCCAAGAGCTGCCTACTCTACCTCCACATACCAAGGGCCATTGCATGAGAATAGGATGATGGTAGTGCATACAGAGGTTAGATATGCTCCAGGAAAAAATCATATGAGGAATTAACAACTAAGCATAGCACCATCATACTGTATAATTGGCACTGCTTCATATTGACAAGACCAGTCAAAGACATGCTTATACTGGACTGGTACAATAGAGCTGCTGACATCAGGCTATATGCATGAACTCTGCATTAGCAAATCTGAGATGTACTGTCTGTCATGCATGAGCCTACAACAGTCAGCACAATATCAAGTCATGGGATTTTCTGATTTCATCTTATTTCCTACTATTTATCTAGCATTGCAGAGACCATCAAAGACTTTAATATACTATGTGTGGTAATGTGGTGGCCCCACTTCATGACATTGCTAGACTATAGATTTTCTAGCAACAGTAGTAAATGCACAACACAACTTGTACAATGTCTTTGTATCACTTTCTAGGAGCAGTACAGTGTGAAAAAGCTCTGTGAACCCATAATATTTTCACATGTGACATTAACTGTGGCCTTTTGCCACAGGTGTTCACCATTTTCTGCATATGTCATTGCCTGTCCAAGGGTTTACACAGAAGCCAATCAATACTTACAGCAAGCAGTATAAGGTGAGTGGAATCATACAGAATATTCTCTTGTTTTATCCGCATTTTCTGAGCCCAGACATAGGAGGTAACTCAGACTTTCCATTTTTGGAAGGTCAGTTACCACATATGGCATGTTTCACATCTCATATAGCCACACAATTCACAGGCAGTTGGTAAGCATCACAGGAAGCATAAACAATGTGATAGAACCAGTGTGTGCAGAGGCATATGTATTTGCTTTTGCTTTGTGAATGGTGCCATATTTATATGAATCTATGGGAAGGCATAATATGTACTGCATCTGACATCATATACATGACTGGGAATATTACCAATTGTTTTTGAATTTTTGGGAGACCATAGCACAGCAAATACAGTGTCACTGATGAGCTTGTGGATTGCATTCAAACTCAGCCCAACAGCTTGGCAGTCTGCCTTTTTGGGGCCCATTGAACAGTTGAACTAAACAGAACAGCCTAGGATCCTCTCTGGAATTGCTAGTCCCTGAGAATTTCAGGTGACAGTGGTGCTTACAAGATGGACCAAGATCACTGAAAGAGTGGCTTGTATCAGGCTATGCATGGGTCATTCTGCATTATTATATGTTTTCTGCCATATTGGAGCCTCAACAGTCAACTCAATATGAATCCATAGTACCATCTGATTTTGTTCTGATTTTTCTGCTATTTATCCAGTCCTGCAGAGGCCATGCATGGCCAACTTCCCAAATGGGCAGGGGACTAACCATATATGACAGTTTTGTATGTTCAATATCCCCCACTCTCATACATGTAAGAACTGTCTAGTACAAGCATCATATACACACCAAGATTTGCCTATATAGTATCACTTGCCAAGGTCAGTACTCTGTGAAAAACAACAAGAACACCTATCTGGGCACCCCTGTCAGTACCCAAGGGAGAAGCAATATTTTGGGATTTTTCCGCAGTTAATGGGGCTCTCAGTTAGTGCTGCTCGAAGCCATCAAAAAACTCGGCATGAAGAGCTGAGACTAAAATATTACTTTAAAAGGAATATTTGTCAGCATTCCAGCCAATGAGAGTGCTCCAAAATCCCTTTTGAGTGACCGGAGTCGTCGACAGGCCGGAATTCCGGCCTGTCGACGACTCCGCTTCGGCAGTGGGCGCCTAACTGAGCGCTTAGTAAGCGATGTAAGTGCACACTGTTACTGCAGCAAAACTGGCTTGTTTTGGGCTCAGAAAAGTGCAGTAAAATCGGACAATATTCCAGGAGATATGTGGAGCATCTCTGAGCATATTGACAAGTAGAGAGACTTCCCATATATGGACATTTAGTACTGGGACACTAACATATGCATGTTATGACAATATTTCTCCATTCATAGCACTGCTGTGCATGTTCCAGAATCATCAATGTGTTGGAAGCAATGTAAATGGCCATACAAGTTATATGGCATGTGTTTCAGATGCAACAGAACAAATACATATTCACACAGAGTCACCGCTGTTTTTTATATTAGCATTTTGCTACTCATTCAACCACTTCTCTCAGGAAACTATCATAGACACTCTGATTGAAGGTCAATTGGGTGAGCTTACTATCTCTAAACCAGTTGATCATACTTCAGTCATTGTATCACAGTCAAATGCCACCAAATCATGTCTGCAGAGGTATGTGTGTTTCTCTGTTGTCTGAATTGTGAATATGGGCAAGTCCTTCAAATCATAGCCACTGGGGGTGATATACTGGATTGATGTCTTACATACAGCAGGTAGTACAAGTGAGTCCAGTTGCACAGAATATTCCCTGATTTTCTGAGCCCAGACTGAGCAGCTGCATGGAAATTACCATTTGAGGAAGGTTAGCTACCCTTTATGGCAAGTTTCAGATGTCATAAAGACATACAGAATCTATGGGCAGTCTGCAGGCATCAAAAGAGTCACTTTGAAGGTGAAAACAAATGCACTGACATGCACAGAGGCACATGTGTATTTTTTTGTTTTGTGATTTGTGCCATAACCACTGCAGTTGATGGGCAAGACACAGCAGCTATATACTCTATGACATCATACCTATCCTAGAGAGTATTTGGGGGATTTTCCGCATTTTATTGAGGTCACAGTGCAGGAGATACAGTGCCACTAAGGAGCCTGTGGCCGGGATTCAAACTCAGCTCAAAACCTCGGCAGCCTGCCTGATTAGGGTAGAAAAGGGGCTTGTTGCACCAATCAGAGCAGCTCAGCATCTATATGTATACCTAGTCTGTGTCTATGTGCAAGAGAAAGCCAGTGGCTGGATAATTGCCATATGGAGTATGTGACCTTCCCAAAGAAGAATCCAACACAAACAGGGACATGTAGGGCTCAGAAAAATGCATAAAATCTCTGAAATAAAGAGATGCATCGAAGACAAGTGTATGATGACTTTGAGCTGTAATGGTCACCGTTACATTGTATACAAGGGTCGTAATATGGTAAAAGATGCTCACATTGCCCATTATAGACTAAATTTATAGTCCTTATTACCTATATTATAGAAGCTACTGAGCAGTCCACAGTGTCTAAACCACACATATACATTACAGTGTACACATAGACCATATTTGAGTCATAAACAAGCACTTTGAATCTGCAGAGGCACATGTGCATTTTTTTGATTTGCATTTCCTGGGTGAGCCAGTGACTGTATATACTCAATAGAATTTCTGTATACTCACTGAATGAAGGGCTATCAGATGAGCATACTATGTATACTATGATTTGTCAGTAGCTGAGACTATGTAGGCCCTACAGTGTGTGAGCGCTTGCGGCATTGAGCCACCAAGCTGCCAGTCACATGATATGTTTACCAGTTTCCTTATTGGGGGAACTGCTAAGGTGTTTTATGGGCCTCATATCCATAACTGAGCGCTTAGCCACTGCATTTGTTTGTATCTGTTGGTCCAAGTCGTGTCGTCTGGGAGTCTGAAATTTCAGACTCAGATAAGCAACCCATACTAACAGTTACTTATCTCTGCTTATTGGGGTGGCTGCAAGTCACGTGCACTGTGGGAACAAACTGCCATTCCGGAGGAATCACTAAGGTGTTTCATGGTGGTCCATCATAAGAACGATACCTTCGTACCTCAGGGATTGTACAATTACCATATGAGGGATCAACAACTAAGTGTAGCACCATCATCCTGTAGAAATGGCACTGCTTCATACTGACAAGATGAGGCAAAGTCATGCCTATACTGGTACAATGCACTCTCACAGAGTTTTTGCCATCAGGGTATGTGCATGAAACTCTGCCTTAGCACAGATGTCCTGTCATGTATCAGCCTACAAAAATCACCACAATATGCAGCTATAGGAGCATCTGATTTTATGTTATTTCCTGCCATTCATCTAACATGAAAGACTGGCAAGATTACCAATTGAGAATATGGTGAGTTTGCATGTCTGGTGGCCCCACTTCATGACATTGCTTGTGTAAAGAGTTCTTGTTGAGCCCAAATTTATTACACATTTCTGCAGATTATTCTGAGCTCCATTGCCCTGTACAAGTCATGGAATGTGTCCTGGTGTGTTGTCCATTATTCTACATGGACACCATCACTATACCATGCATACTGTACTTTCTTCAACATCATTCCCTTCAGTCTACCATTTTCTATAGGGTTTGCATCTTCAGGGATTTGAACTCCTGCTGTCACGGAGCTAGGTCCAACACAACTCAAAACAAAAGCAAACAAAACTATACTTGAACCTCCTGGTGTTGGATCATAGTCAACAACAGTCTAACAGTGCTGAACGCAATGCTAGCAACTCCAAGTTAGTATCATTGTACTGGTACTTAGTACAACAGTGGGTGCTTACTTAGCAACTCCAAGAGGATGAGCTGGAGTGCTAGGCAGCGTACAGGCTACTATATATACTGTCCAGGTTTAGGGCAGGTCTGCCTACACTGGCTACCAAGACTGAGGTCACATGTATGTATGAGTCAGAATGAGTTAGGCAGGCTAGGCACTGCCACAGGCCGATGATGCAAGTGAGAATACATAAGCAAGGGCACATGACGAGACAGGTCACAAGACAAACCCTAGCACATGATGTGTCACGTGACTAGTCAGAAAGTCGTTCCAGGTAAAGTCTACCATACAGCGTATAGTACAAGTCCGTAGAAAATGAGCAAAAATAGAATAAAACAAGGCAAAAATATTGGGCCTCCGTGTCATACCATGACACCTGCACTCATCCGCTTTTTCACTATTTTGTTGATTCCGACTTTGTGGCTGCTTCTACTGTACAGATGTGGCTGTATTACATAATGCATGCCATAGAAAGTCCACTTCATTGAGCTCTAAGTCCCTAAGATCTGACAGAGCTCAACTTAGGCCTTTGGAAATCACTCTGAGGTGCACTGCAGCCAACAGTTCTCTAGTAAGAACAGCAAATACACAACATGACTTACACACTCTGTGTCACTATGCCTATGCCAATTTACAAGTGACATGCCATTATTTGGCATGTTTTAGGGCCCTTGTACCACAGATGTTCACTGCTGGGACATAATTCTCTGATCATAATGTTTACACAGAAGCCAATCACTATGTACAACAAGCAGTACAAGGTGGGTGGAATCATACATAATAGTTCCTTGTTTTGTCTGCATTTTCTGAGTCCAGACTCAGCAGGTGAATCAGGCTTTCCATTTTGGGAAGGTCAGTTACTGCGTACAGGCTGTACAGCAGGTGCCAGATTACAATCCCTGAGGTATGAAGGCATTGTTCTTATGATGGACCACCATGAAACACCTTAGTGATTCCTCTGGAATGGCAGTTTGTTCCCGCAGTGCACGTGACTTGCAGCCACCCCAATAAGCAGAGATAAGCAACTGTTAGTATGGGTTACTAATCTGAGCCTGAAATTCCAGACTCCCAGATGATGCAGCTTGCACCAACAGATACAACAAATACAGTGGTTAAGTGCTCTGTTATGGATATGAGGCCCATGAAACACCTTAGCTGTTCCCCCAGTAAGGAAACTGGTGAACATATCATGTGACTGGCAGCTTGGTGGCCCACTGCTGCAAGCACTCACACACTGTAGGGCCTATATAGTCTCAGCCAGTAACAAATCATAGTATACATAGTATGCTCATCTGATAGCCCTTCATTCAGAGAGTATACAGAAATTCTATTGAGTATATACAGTGGTTGGCTAACCCAGGAAATGCAGAACAAAAAAATGCATATGTGCCTCTGCAGATTCAAAGTGGTTGTTTATGACTCAAATATGGTCTATGTGTACACTGTAATGCATATGTGTGGTTTAGACACTGTGGACTACTCAGTAGCTTCTATAACACAGGGAGTAAGGACTATAATGGGTAATCTGAGCATCTTTTGCCATAATATGGCCCTTGTATACAATTTAATGGTGACCATTGCAGCTCAAAGCAATCATACACTTGCCTTTGATGTGTCTGTATATTTCATGGATTTTCTGCATTTTTCTGAGCCCCATATCCACCAGTTTGTGTAGGATTCCTCTTTGGGAAGGTGACATACTCCATATGGCAATTATGCAGCCACTGGCTGTCTCTTGCACATAGACACAGATTCAGTTACACATACATGCATCTGTACTTGGACTATCATCTTATGGGGATGTCCACTACATGAGTAGTTCCTGGAGTGGTGTAGTAAGCTATATAAATAAGCTCACTGGGGCCACAGCAACTATCTTACAAGGTTATTGAGGATATCTGATGTCAAAATGATGGCATAGACAGCTTCAATCACACTGCCTGGGCCATTTACAATATTCTCTGATTTTTCCGCTGTTTCATGAGTCTATACAAGCCCTCTGCACAGTAACAGTGCTCACTTACATCACTTACTAAGCACCCAGATGCCGTTCAGAGGTGCATCTGTGCGGAAATTTGGCATGGAGCGCCACAAAGTGTTCATTGGCGGCAACAATATCAAATTGGGCCAGATGAAGCTCACATCCATCTTCACCTCATTCCCCATCAGTGCAGGCATCAAGCCATCCACAATTGCATGCTACAATAGCCACCTCAGCAATAATGACAGGCACAACTTCTCTGTGGAGCCGCAATTCAAGACCAAGGATGTCAGCAAGTGCAGCATCATCGCCTGACCACCTCACCACCAGTCATACCAAGTCCAAGGGTGTGTTGAGAAATGATACCTTTAATGTTCCTTTTTTGTGCGGTGAAAGCTCAGGAACAGGAAACCAGTTCTGCACATTTTCCCAACATTTTCCACACATTTTCCAGCTTGGAACAGGCAAGCTGGCTCCAGCCCAACTACAAACCAGGAAATGTGAGTATTTCCAACACTTTTCTGTACATGTTCTGGAGTGGACAAGGCAATCTCAACACAAGCAGGAAAATGTATGCAATATGGTCAGGAATGTTTACACGTTGCATACCATAAAAGGTTGGTAGCTGTGACTGTGATGGGAGACCAAGTACCTGCTATTTTTCTAACATGTTCTTTGTGGTAACATTCACCATTGCCTGTTGTGTAGCCTGCTATTGTGCAGTCACCTTAGTTTGGGCAGGCTCCATGGCCATGAGAGCTTTTTCCTGATTGGCAGGAAGAAGAGTCTGCAGGTGCTCAGTCCTTGGGCATGGGCTGGGAAGGGCCCAGGTACTGAGCAGCTCCACCCCATGTGATGCCGTGCGTGAAGCCACTGAAGTCATGCAGCAGCATGCAGCTCGGAGCAGATCCGGGCAGATTTTGATGCCACACGTACTCCAGGAATTTCTGAGTAGATGAATTTTTCATCAAGTCTCAACATTCAGCGCTAAATTCCTGCTTGTCTCCTAATAGCCTCCCCACCAAGCCTGTCACTTCATCTGTGAACAAATGGTGGCAACCAAACCTCAACCAAGCCTAGATTTTCCTCACAAGTCAAGCACCAGGAGGAGAGGAAGAGGCAGGGAAAGAGAGAAGGCAGAACTGCTTGGGACTTGCTGGGGAGAGGGCCATAGCTGGCAGTACGATCCCTTTGGTAGGATACATGTCAATTTATGAACAACTTCATGCTGCCCGCATCAGAAGTCATGCTTGGCAAGACTGCTAGTATATTGCCTATGCATAGAGTACTGACATATCTTTAACATTTTGCACTTCAGAGTAGCCTGCTAATTTATTAGGTTGTTGTCATATGAGGATCATAGCTTGCAATCATGAGCAACAGACATTATGGATCTGTTTCTTACTTGGTAAATTGCCAAGTTGCTTATCAATATGATCTGAATACTAATGAGCAGTGTTACTGGTTTGTATTGATAGTAACATAGAGCAAATAGCTTGGGAATGTTGCAAAGAAGTAAGGAGAGCCTCTAGATCAACTAGAACTCAAGGAAGGGGAGTCTGGGGGTTGACTACAGTAACCACTACTCAGTTGGGACTTGCTGTCAGTGCTGTTGTGCAAGTATTAGCCCTTGATCAGAGAAATTCTGATACCAAAGGATGTCTTTCAGTAGATTGTTTACAGTACTTCCCCAAGTCCAAACCAATCAACAGTGGAGGATGGAACCAATATACAGAGGAGAAGTATACCAGTAAGGAATTCTGAAAAAGGCCTGTCAAGAATTGATGTGTTATACAAGGAATACAACCAAAGAATGTGCAGTTTGCTCTCACCATAAGTGAACAGTTACCAGACACTGACCAGTAGTACAAAGCCATACTAAGGTATGTTACTGGATTGGAGCTCAGCTCCTGAGTCAATAGTAATGGGCTCATGTAGTACAATGTGAAGCAATGTATCACCATAGTAAGTGCCATCAAGACTGATAGAGTCATGGGCAGGATTGATCACTGATGAATTGAAGGTACACTGGCATAAGAAAGAGTACAGAAGCAAGTGGTAGATGAGATAAATGTTTGGACTTGCTCATAGGGATGCTCCTTTTGTGCATTCATGCACAGCCTTTTAGCTACATAAAATACTTCATAGAATCCTACAAAATAGTAGAAGACTCAGTACACCACTTTCCAAGGCCATTCAAGATGCACAATAAGCTCACAGGCTCATTGTAAGGCAAGGGTAGATGTGCCAATAATTCTCACTGATCATCAAGGATGTGCTCTGTGATTCATGACACACCACTTGCATGTTATCCTGAAACACTAGCACAGCCTTATGAACACTCAGAAATAGTGTACAGCTTGTCAAGTCACTCATAGATTACCTACCAGCTGAGATAATATATCAATAGATAACATAGTCTGAGCTAATAGAACCCCAGTAATATCTTTCAAAGCATCTGGTCACAAGGGGTCTAAGGAGAGCACTAGAAGCTTGGTAATAGTCCAGTCAGAACATACACCAATAGGTGCCACAAAGAATAACAATGTGGGGAAAAAAGATCACTGAAATCTGGTCAGAAAGCATTGTGAACCCCAAATGAAGTCCATTAAAAGAATCTAGAATAAAGATAACAAAGCCCAGGAGTGATAACAATTCCTGCTGCCTACCCTAGTCAAAGACCATATCTATGGAATTTCTTGTAAAAAAAAAAGGGTTTTCAATGCCTTGTCCTAACAACAGACTGCATACTAAGACTTGCACATGGGCCTTTCCTGGGTATTCTAGTAATGCATACTATCAATGGTCATGCTCTCTGATCATAAGTCCAAGGATTCAGACATACTCCCAAGATAATCACCAGTGTCATTTTCTGGCTGACTGTTCATTATTTTGTGTGCACATACAATGTATGGTACTATATTTGGATTAGACACTATATTTTTATGTTGACATTCCTTGGGCATGGCAGATACCACCCAGGATCAACTGCCAAATGGTGTACTGGTAGGCACAGTGCCACAAATTTCCAATGCTGTTCAAATATCACACATGTTCACACCTGGGTCTAAAGTGTTATATTTCCACTTTCCATATAACATGAAAGGACCCAAGATGAGTAGCTGATATTTTATCATCACATGTAAAAGGAAACAGTTGCAGCAAATGAGAGTACTCCCAAAGTCATATTATTGACTAGAGATTTATAAAAGGACAGCCATATATTGGCTCAGACATCCATTGTAATATGGCCTCTTCACTGTTGCTTAGTAAGCAATGCAAGTCTGCATTATTTCCATGGCAACCATGACTTCTTCTGAGCCCAATCAGGAAGAAATCACAGCATACACTGCACAAACAGACACCACTGTCAATACATTTTTGCCCATATGAACAAGCCAAGAGCTGCCTATTCTATCTTCACATACCAAGGGCCATTGCATGAGAATAGGATGATGGTAGTGCATACAGACATTAGATATGCTCCAGGCAAAAATTATATGAGCAATTAACAATCAAGCATAGCACCATCATACTGTATAATTGGCACTGCTTCATATTGATACAATCAGTCAAAGACATGCTTATACTGGACTGGGACACTAGAGCTGCAGACATCAGGCTGTGAACTCTGCATTAGCACATCTGAGATGTACTGTCATGCATTGGCCTACAACAGTCAGCACAATATGATGTCATGGGATCATCTGATTTTATCTCATTTCCTACCATTTATCTAGCATTGCAGAGACCATCAAAGCATTTGATCACCTATGTGTGGTGTCCCTACTTTATGACATTGCTAGCCTATAGACTTTCTAGCAACAGTAGTAGATGCACAACACAACTTGTACAATGTCTTTCTATCACTTTCTAGGATCAGTACAGTGTCATAAAGCTCTGCGAACCCATAATATTGATAGCTATGCCATTCACATGTGAGACAGAGCCAATATTATGAACATACTCAGCATTAACTGTGGCCTTTGTGCCACAGGTGTTCACCATTTTCTGCATATGCCATTGCCTGCCAAAGGGTTTAGACATGAGCCAATCAATACTTATAGCAAGCAGTACAAGGTGAATGGACTCATCCAGAATATTCCCTTGTTTTATCCACATTTTCTGAGCCCAGACACAGCAGATAACTCGGACTTTCCATTTTGAGAAGGTCAGGTACCACATATGGCATGTTTCATTCAGGTCTCATATAGCCACACAATCCATAGGCAGTTGGCAAGCATCACAGGAAACACAAACAAAGTGAAAGAACCAGTGTGTACAGAGGAATATGTATTTTATTTTGCTTTGTGAATGGTGGGTGCCATGTTTATATGAATCCATGGGAAGGCATACTATGTACAGCCTCTCTGACATCATATACATGACTGGGAATATTCCCAATTGTTTTTGATTTTTTGGGAGACCATAGCACAGCAAATACATTGTCACTAATGAGCTTGTGGCTTGCATTCAAACTCAGCCCAATAGCCTGCCTTTGCAGGGCCTATTGAAGAGTTGAACTGAACAGAATAGCCTAGGATCCTGTCTGGAGCTGCCAGTCCCTGAGAATTCCAGGTGATAATGGTGCTTACAAGATGGACCAAGACTCATTGAAAGAGTGGCTTGTATCAGGCTATGCATGGGAAACTCTGCATTATTATATGTTTTCTGCCATATGGCCTCAACAGTCAACCCAATACAAATCCATAGTACTATCTAATTTTTCTTTGATTTTCCTGCTATTTATCCAGTCCGGCAGAGGCCATGCATGGCCAACTTCCCAAATGGGCAGGGGACTAACCATATATGGCAGTTTTGTATGTTTGATATCCTCCACCTCACATAGCCCATACATGTGGAACTGTCTTGTACAAGCATTTTGCTTATATCCCCAGTATCACTTGCCAAGGTCAGTACTCTGTGAAGAACAACAAGAACACCTAATCTGGCACCCTTGTCAGTACTCAAGGGGCATTCCATGGAGAAGCAATATTTTGGGATTTTTCTGCATTTAATGGGGTTCTAGTAAGAGCTCAGTGAGTGTGGCTTGAAGCCATCAAAAAACTCGGCATGAAGAGCTGAGATTGAAAGATTACTTTAAAAGGGAATCTTTGTCAGCATTTCAGCCAATGGGAGTGCTCCAAAATCCCCTTTGAGTGACCGGGGTCGTCGACAGGCCGGAATTCCGGCCTGTCGACGACTCCGCTTCGGCAACGGGCGCTTAGTCGAGCGCTTAGTAAGCGATGTAAGTGCACACTGTTACTGCAGCACAATTCACTTGTTCTGGGGTCAAGAAAATGCGGATTAATCAGACAATATTCCAGGATATATGTAGAGCATCCCTGAGCATATTTACAAGTGGAGAAGATTCCCTATAGGGTCATTCAGTGCTGAGACATCAAAACATGCATGTTATTACCAATTTTCCCCACCAATAGCTGTGCCGTGCAACTTCCAGACACATCCATGCATTGTAAACTATGCACATATCTATACAGGTCATAGGCAATGTGTTTCAGAGACAACAAGCCATTCATATCTGCACAGTCACTTGTGATTCTCTAAATGTTGTCCTTTGTTCTTCATTCCTCCAATGTATGATTAACCCTTTGAATGATGGGCTATCAAATGAGTTTATCATCTCTATAACCTCTATAAGAGTTGATTAGATTTCAGTGAGTGTATCCCAATCAAATGCCACATTCATGCATGTGTTTCTCTGTTTCCTGAATTTCAAACAACTGGGCAAGTCATACTAGTGATATATTGTGGGGGCCTCCATACAAGATGAATTGCCTTCATAAACAAGGCAATACAGATGAGTCTGATTACACATAATATTCCCTGATTTTATCTGCATTTTGTGAGCCCAGACTGAGCAGGTTAAGCAAAATTACCATTTTAGGAAGGTCAGCTACCCTATTTAGCAAGTTTGAGATGTCAGAGAATCTGTGGGCAGCATATAGGCTTCAAAAGAGAGACTTTTGAGGTGAAAAGGGATGCACTCATGTGCACAGAGGCATTTGCATGTTTTTTTGTTTTGTGAATTGTGCCATGACCAGTGAAGGTAATGGGCAAGTCACAGCAGCTATAGACTCTATGACATCATACCTATCACAGAGATTATTTTGGGAATTTTCCGCATTTTAGTGGGTCCACAGTACAGCAGGTACAGTGCCACTAAGGAGCTGTGGCTGAGATTCAAACTCAGCTCAAAACCTCGGCAGCCTGCCTGATTAGGGCAGAAAAGGGCTTGTTGCACCAATCAGAGCAGCTCGGCATCCCTCTCGTGCCGTTCGGAGGTGCAACCGTGCCAAATTTCCGCATGGTTGCACCTCCGAACGGCATCTGGGCGCTTGATGGGCGCTTAGTAAGCGATGTAAGTGCGGACTGTTACTGTGCTTAAGAGAGCTTGTATAGGCTCAGAAAAAAGCGGAAAATTGAGACAATATTCAAAATGATCCAGGCAATGTGAATGAAGCTGTATATTGCATGGGTTTGACATCAGATCAGATAGCATTCTCAATAACCTGGTAAGATGGTTGCTGTGGCCCCAGTGAGCTTATATAAGCCTGCTACTTCACTCTTGGAACTGCTCATGTACTGGACAACCCTATAAGATGGTAGTGTAAGTACACATTCAGGTATGTATCCCTAGATTGTGTCTGTGAGCAAGACAAAGCCAGCAGTGGATGCATAATTACCATATGGAGTATGTGACCTTCCCAAAGAGGAATCATACACAAACAGGGGCATGTAGGGCTCAGAAAAATGCAGAAAATCTATGAAATATACAGACACATCAAAGACAAGTGTATGATTGCCTTGAGCTGCAATGGTCACCATTGAATTGTATGCAAGGGCCATAAGATGGTAAAAGATGCTCAGATTACCCATTATAGTCCTTGTTACCTGTATTATTGAGTAGTCCGTAGTGTCTGAACTACACATATACATTGCAGTGTACATATAGATCATATTTGAGTCATAAACAAGCAGATTGAATCTGCAGAGGCACATGTGCATTTTTTTGCTTTGCATTTCCTGGGTTAGCCAGCCACTGTATGCACTCAATAGAATTCCTGTATACTCTCTGAATGAAGGGCTATCAGATGAGCATACTATGTATACTATGATTTCTTACTGGCTGAGGCTATATAGGCCCTACAGTGTGTGAGCGCTTGGAGCAATGGCCCACCAAGCTGCCAGTCACATGATATGTTTACCAGTTTCCTTATTGGGGGAACTGCTAAGGTGTTTCAATGGGCCTCATATCCATAACTGAGCACTTAGCCACTGCATTTGTTTGTATCTGTTGGTCCAAGCCGCGTCGTCTGGGAGTCTGAAATTTCAGACTCAGATAAGCAACCCATACTAACAGTTACTTATCTCTGCTTATCGGGGTGGCTGCAAGTCACGTGCACTGTGGGAACAAACTGCCATTCCGGAGGAATCGCTAAGGCATTTCATGGTGGTCCATCATAAGAACGATACCTTCGTACCTCAGGGATCGTAAAACGGCACATACTTACCTGCATCCTCCCCTGTAACGCTCGAGCACAGTCAATCGCAGTGTTAATTGACGCTCACCTGTCGCACGCCAGTAAGTACTACATCCTCGACGTAATTTCATTTGTAGTGTCTCATTGTTGCTTAGCCCGTTAGATCCCCCAGCGTCGGCTTGCAGCACTCAGCACGCCAACAGATAGTTCGACGCAGCGCGAGGTAAGTCTTACCAACTTTGACTCAGCACCAGTAGGAGCTCGCCGCTCGCAATGTAGCGATCGATCATCATCGCGGCCGTTATCGGCACGCTAGCTGGCAGTGGCACGGAGTAACTCAAGTTACCTCTCCATACTGCATGATCCCACGGTTGCGGTGCAAAGGTGGCGCTAGGGTCCGTCTGGGTCCGTGTTACGTACATAAGCCAGGCAGCCCCCCGCTGCGAGGCGTGCGTCCGGAAGTTCCCCCCAACATGTCGAGTCGCAAGTCCCTCTCGTCTTCCAGACTGCTGCCTCCCCGTCCTGGTCTTCGCAATGCCACCTCTCTGATGGGTTCTTCGTCCTGTCCTCGCAGCCCTCGTAGTCCCCTGACAGACGTAGCTGAGCTCTTTCCAAAACATACGGGCGAGTCACGATTACTAGAACTGCCTTGATCTTGCTGACCATAGGAGCACTCAGACCCCGATCCCGCTGGAACTGAGCCTTCGACCTCAGACAGCGAATCTACGACGTCTGAGAATTCACTTTTATCTCCACGCTCCTCTTCGGCCATAAATCTTCCTCTCAACCCGCTGATTCGCAAGGCCTTCGGAGACAGAGCCACCAAGAGCAGCCTTTGGCCTACGCTTTTCGATTTCGAACGTGTGAGTGTGCTTGATCGTATCTCGAGTGCAAGACGGGGCGTGAACTGATAACTGAGGCTCAGGAGGTCGAGATCTCCCTGGACGAGTGGAACACCCTAGTAGTCTACCTAACCGAGCACGTTATTCTCCTCAAAATCTTCAGGTGAGCTGATTATACCGGATGTCGAGATAGCGGCGCGACTCACACTTCACACGTGCGCACACTTTCAGTTTCCACTACAATCCCCAAACCCTGAAACTCTACATGTCGTCCGTAACTGGCATCCACCAACATCTCATCCTACTGTTCTGCGCATTGACTGGGAAGACATTGGGAGATTGCGTCTGCAAGATCGGCGATTACGAGATCTTTTTCGGTAGCGACCAGTTGAAGTCCGTCGCGGGCCCAATCGTGGACCCTTACCAGACAGTCTCCACCATCCACATTCCGGACATTGTGGTCAAGATCACGTACAAACGCGGTGAATACGAGGTGGGGGTGATAGAAGTGGGGTTCACGGAGCCGTATCCTCATTTCATTGACCGCGTAAGCACCGTTGTCCTTCAGTACTGACATTGGCTCATTTTCGCTCATCTAGATGCGGCAGTACCAATTTGTCTGCACCCGGACAGACGACCCACTTGATTGGCCGGTATTCGTGGGTGGCATCAAGATCTTCGAGCACACGAAGTTCAAGAGGCCCAAAGTAACTGGAAAAAGCTCGCGCGAGTTAGACCAGTGGAGGCACCTGCCGTTCTCAGCCCTCACCGAGCTTCCTGAGGCGGAGCCTGTGCCCTCGGCTGGCGATGTCGACGAGGAGGACGTGGACAAGGTAGCAGAGCCCACTCCACAAGGGCAACAGTACGTCTTGACACGCTGCATCATGGAACGGACACATTTGGTGTGGCGAGCTTTCTGCGTGGTTCGTCTTGTTCGACATCTCGAGACATGTGTCGGAACATGAGCGCGCGGTCACGGACCATGGACTGATCAACGGTAAAACCCTCCAGGAATGGGCACTGTTGGGCATGGCTTTGGTAAGTGCGTGTTGTCGGGTAGGTTCTCGGTTACTTACGCCGTCCTCAGCCCATGCTTCCCAATTACGACAACTACCCCAGGGGGCCTTACAACATGTTCTGCTCGCGATACCGCCGGGTCTTCTCCAGGGCACGCTTTACGATCCCTGAGGTACGAAGGTATCGTTCTTATGATGGACGGGCCTGAAACGCTTCCAGTGGCGCCCAATGCGGCAGTTTTTTCCCACAGGTACAGTCATTTGCCCCCAGCTTACCATGTATAGTTAACATTTGTTATGGTCAGTTAGCGGAGTTCAAAATTTTCAGACTCCCAGATGACGCGACTTGCACCAACACCACCAAACAAATGCTGTGGCTCAGTGCTTTGTCCTGGGGTGAGGGCCCAAGAAACACTTCGAGTGGCACCCAATATGGCAACTGGTGAGCATGTCATGTGACTGGCAGCCAGGCAGCTCACTGCTAGCGCTCACACTTATAGGCTGCCCCATAGCCCTAGTTAGTAACAATTGTGAATGGACTTAGTATACTGATCTGATAGCCCTTCATTCAGAGAGTATACACTATCATTATTGAGTAGCTAGAGTGGCTGGCTGGTCCAGAAAATGCAAAATAAAAAATCCACATGTGCCTCTGCAGATGTCAAAGTGCCTATTTGTGCCTCAGATGTGTTCCATATGTCTGTAATGACATACATATGTGATTCAGACACTGTACAACTCAGTGGGTGCTGCACTACAGCCAAAATCAGCCACAATGAGCCATTTGACCCTCTTTTCACATGTTGTAGTCCATCTACATGGTGTAGTGATGTCTATGATAATCCCAAGCACTCAGATTCTCCTATTGGGTACTTCTGTATATTTGACAGATTTTCTGCATTTTTGTGACCTCCATGGGCACCACATCTTGTCCTACTTCCTCTTTGGGCAGGACACCTACTCTATATGGTAGTTGTGGCATGTAGCTGGCATATAGACACATAGACACAATCTGGGGATATATAATGGCCATCCATACATATGTATCCATGCTACTATGATGTCAGGCTTTGTATGCTGCAGAGACACTGTCTGAAGTGTGATCATAGGCTTATATGAGCTCCCTGAATGTGAATTTCACTGTGTTATTGAGTATACTGCCCTAGTTGATGCAACAATTGTATCATGGAAGGCTATAAGGATTTGACCTCATTCATTCTGAATATCTTCTGAATATTCCGCTTTTTTTTTCAAGTCTATACAAGCCCTCTTGACACAGTAACAGTCTGCGCTGACACCGCTTACTAAGCGCTCATTAAGCGCCCATTGCCGAAGCGGACTTGTATACAACTGCAGCCCTGCATTTCTCTGCAACTCAGGTCACCCAAAAGGGATTTTGGAGCAATGTCATTGGTTGAACCACTGGCAAACCTTGCCTTCTAAGGGAATCATTCAATCTCAGCCGAGTTTTTTGATGGCTTGCCCAATGTGGTCAGCAGCACTGTCTAGACTCTGACTAGAGCACATTGAATGTGGAGAAATCTCGGAATATTGACTCCCATGCAATGCTCCTTGCACACAGGTATGGAGGTCCATATTAGGTATCCCAGTGCTTGTTCACAGTGTACTGACCAAGGCAAGTGATGCAGAGGCATATGTACAAATGTTGTTTTTCATTTACTGCCCTTACTGGAGAGTCCTACAGGCTGACAATCTTATGCAGGGGTCTATGGCTACCAGATATGAAAAATCACCATATATGGTAGATCCCTTGCCTGTTTGGGAAGTTGATGATAGATCACCTTTACAGTGTTGCATAAATGGCAGGAAAATGAGCAAAACATTAGATAACACTATTGTCCCATTGTGGGTTGATAGGACTTATGTGTGATGCTGAGTACTTGTGGAGGAGATGGATAGCAGAAACACAGAGTCTGGTGCAATAGGCTCAGCCACATGCCATGTGAGGTTCACTTGTCCACAGGTCAAAATTTTGACCTGTGGACGAGTCATCTTGCAGTGTAGTCTCCCAGACTCCACTGAAATATGCTGTTTAAGGGAATTAGCCTCTGACTGGCCTTGCTGTATTTGGCCAAAGGCTCTCAAGTCCATGTATCTGCTGTACTGTAGCCTTCACAAATACAACAAATCCCCAAAATATTCTCTCTGATAGGTATGATGTCATAGAGTCTGTAGCTGCTGTGACTTGCCCATCAACTTCAGTGGTTATGGCACAATTCACAAAACTCAAAAACCCACATATGCCTCTGTACACATGAGTGCACTGCTTTTAACCTTCAAAGTGACTCTATCAAAGCCTGTAGACTGCCCATTGATTCTCTGACATCTGGGATCTGCTATATAGGGAAGCTGGCCTTCCAAAAATGGCAGTTTCCATTCAGCTGCTCAGTCTGGGCTCAGAAAATGCTGATAAAATCTGGGAATATTATGTACAATTGAATTAATCCATGATGCCTGCTGTATGTAAGAAATTGATTCTGTATAGAGTCCTCAGAGTCTATAACCAGCATGCCTTGCTATATATTCATAATCCAGAAAAGAGAACCTCTGTGGACAATTGCAAAGTGATTCCAAATATGAATAGGTTGTTGTCTCTGAAACACATTTGATATGACCTGTATAGACCATGCACATAGTCCACACAGCATGAGTGTGTCTGGAATGTGCACAGCACTGCTATGAGTGGGGAAATATTGTCATAACATGCCTGTGTTGACTTCCCACTACTGAATGACCATGTATTGAGGTTCTCTCTATTTTTAAGATGCTTAGGGATATTCCACAGATCTTCTAGAACATTATCCGATTTTCTGGGACTTTCTTGAGCCCCAAACAAGTCAGTTTTGCTGCAGAAACAGTGCACACTTACATCGCTTACTAAGCGCGCAAATAAGCGCCCGTTGCCGAAGCGGAGTCGTCGACAGGCCGGAATTCCCGGCCTGTCGACGACTCCGGTCATTCAAAAGGGATTTTGGAACATTCCCATTGGCTGGGATGCTGACAAATATTCCCTTTTAAAGTAATCTTTCAATCTCAGCTCTTCATGCCGAGTTTTTTGATGGCTCTCAGCCACACTAACTCAGCTCTTACTAGAGCCCCATTAAATGCGCAAAAATACTCAAATAAATACCCAAATATTCCTTCTCCATGGGATACTTCATGGATACTGATGGGTGTCCATATTAGGTATCTTTGAGGGTACTGACCATGAGAAGTGATACTGAGGCATATGAGCAGATCTTGGTAAGCATGTTTACTAGAGAGCTCCACAGGTATGAGGGGAGTCTGAAGCAGACATGGAAACCTGCCATATATGGTTAGTCTCCTGCCCATTTAGGAAGTTGGCCATTGATGGCCTCTGCAGTACTGGATAAATAGCAGGAAAATCAGAGAAAAATCCAGGAGTACTATACATTCATATTGTGCTCACTATTGAGGCTCACATGTGGCAAAAACCCTATGATAGTGCAGAGTTTCCCATGCATGGCCTGATATAAGCCACTCTTTCAGTGAGTCTTTGTATATCTTGTAACCACCAGTATCACCTGGAATTGTCAGGAACTGGCAACTCCAAACAGGATCCTAAGCTGTTGTGTTTAGTTCAACAGCTCAACAGGCCCTGAACATGCAGGCTGCCAAACTTGGGAGTTGAGCTTGAATGCCAGCCACAAGCTCATCAGTGACACTGTATTTGCTGTGCTGTGGCCTCCCAAAAATGAAAAAACCCGATTGGGTATATTCTCAGTCACATATGATGTGTCATAGAGTCTGTACATAGTATGCCTTCCCATACTTTCATATAAATATAGCCCCATCCAACAAAGAACAATAAAAAGCACATGCCTCACACTTATTCTTTTACATTGTTTGTGTTTCCTGTGATGCTTACCAATTACCTATGAATTATGTGAATAATATGTAGTAGCTGACCTGGAAAGTTTGAATTACTTGTTGAGTCTGGGCTCAGAAAATGCAGACAAAACAAGGAAATGTTATGTATGATTCCAACCTTGTACTACTTGCTGTAACTAGTAATTGGCTTCTCAGCCCCTTATGTGGACCATGATCACTCAACAATGAGTACCTGCAGCACAAAGGTACCATTCAATGCTAGAAACACTCATAACATTGACTTTGCTTTGCATGTCCCTTGTATAATGGCATAGCCATCACAAATATGGGTTCACACTGTACTGATCCTAGAAGTGACACAGAGACACAGTACTGTGCCCTTGCTACTCTTACTAGAGAACTGTATACACTACCAGTGTCATGAGGTGAGCAACTAGACATGCAGACTTACCATACATCCCAGCCCTTCATAGTTGCTGCAGTGCTGGACAAATGGTGGAGAATGAGATGACATCAACTCTATTCCCTCATGTGATAATTGCTTGGAGCATATCTAACCTCTACCATCATATTATAGGCTGATGTGTTACCAGGTCCTATTGTTCAAGTTATGCAATGAGCCTTGGGTGATATAATTGGCAGCTCTTGGCTTGCTCATATGGGCAGGGAATGATTGTACCATGTATTGATGATGTCTATTTGTACAATGTCTACTGTCACTCAGACTGCCACTAGGCAACCAGCAACAGACCATACTTATAGTGGACTTCTAGGCAAATATCTGACTGTCCTTTTCTAGATCTCGAGTCAATAATAAGTGACTTTGGATCACTCTCATTGGCAGCAACATTTCCCTTCACATGTTAGCATAAAATGTCAGCTACTCATGCTGGATTCTTTGATGGTATATGGAAAGTCACACAATAACACCATAGACCCAGGAGTGAACACGTGTGCCATTTTAACAGTGTTGTATATATCATGGGAGGGTCCAAGAAGCAGGTATTATTACACATGGTGCATTGTGGTAATATCTGGTGGAGTACCTGCCATTCCAAATAAACAGTAGAGAATCTGTATATATTGAGAGGGTGGTTGAACAAGAGCAATATGGTGGTGAATTGTGCATGCATACAAAAGAAGTAAGTGTCAGCCAGCAGATGAAACCAAAAGTTATCTCACAAAGGTTGAAAACCTTTGTGTTCATGGGACTTATGACTGGATACCATGACCATTGAGTAGGCATTTCTGGAATACTGAGCAAAGGCAATAATGATTCCATGTGCAAGTCTCAGTGTAAGTATGTGCTCTTCACAGACAGTTTCCTATGAATATAGCAATGACACACAACACATAGTGGCTTACTTTCTCAATTGTAATATTGCTCATGATGGAGCACTGAAATCAACAATGTAGATAACCAGGATGCATAGAGTATTTGGGCTGTCAGGCAGCAACTAGACAGTGAAAATGGGCAATAATGAATTCTTCACACCTCAATGTATCTAAACCAATGGGATCGTACTGCCAGCCATGGCCCTCTCCCCAGCAAGTCGAAGTGTGGAAGAACGGCTTCGACGACTGGACAACGTACAAAGCGCAGCACACCGATGAAGAAATCGTCAAGACTTCAGAGGACGCCGATCGCGACATAGCCTTCCTTTGTCTCGGCGATGAATTATTTGAGCAGAGAGACACTGGTCTTCCTGAGAGCTTCAAGCTCCCCTTTTCTGACATCGTCGAGGCCATCCATCACGGCGCCAAGACCTGTGCACGCAACCGTTTGGAGACCTTCAAGAGGAACCTTCCTGGAGAGAGCGCATTCAACCACACGTCATTCGGGGTGCGCAATTTCGGCAAGCACAAGGCGCGTACCGACAAGGAGATCTACCGCTCGCTACAGAAAGACAAAGAGGATGCTTTGAGGAGGCAAGTGCTTGTCAGGCAGAGGGAGGAGCAGGAGCAGGTGAATGAGGACAGGCGTCAGCGTGCTCGACAGGGTGGACCCGGTCTTTAGGAGGTGTGTCGACAATTGCAATTGTTTGTCTGCGTTTGTCGCGTGGGTGTACAATAGTCACCGTGCCCTGCGTGTTTGCTGTTACTCTCCCCATCGCTCTCTTCGTCGCTCTCCCCCTCGCTCTCTTCGTCACTCTCATCATCGTCGCTTCATCATCGCTATCATCATCGCTATCATCATCGCTATCATTGCTCTACCAGTCGCTGTACGATACACCATTGCCAATCGCGGTGCGGATATGTTGTATGTTGTACATTTCTCGTTACTCTGTCCGTCTGTTTTCGTCGGTACGTCTGTACGACAGGCTGAGGTTCCGATGTATGATTGTTTGTACCGTCATTATCACAATGCTATCTAGACTGTAACCTAACCCGCGCGTCGCCAGGCAGTTGGTTCTGCTGAACGGCCTTCGAATCTAGTCGATGTTGATGGCACACCTACCGTATACGAGCTGCTCGCCCGTGTACGTACGTTGATGACAAGAAACTACAATACCGGTGAGCCAAAGAGACGAGGCGACCGTCGTCGAAGACCACAACAACACGAGACAAGGCGAACGAACAACAAAAGTTGGATAATGTCCGAGCCTCCATCACTCTGAATCACTTGCAGAGCTCTCCGAGCTTGACTCCGCAGAAGAGTGCCCGCTGTCGTCGGCTGGTGGGGCGTCGCTGATAGGACCTACGGACCCTCGCCCTTCGTAGAGTTTCATCCGCTCCTCGAGGGCGCAGATCTTCGCTGCCTCAACATCCTCGTCCATGCTCTTCCGCTTGAGACCACCGGTGCCAGTGCCCTTGCCTTTGCCAGAGCGTTTGGCCCGGACTTTCATGGGTCGGATGACGAAGTTGTAAAGTTTCGTCAGTACCGTGGCTGGTAGCTCGTCAATCTCGAGTTCAATCTCCTCGGTGCTCTGTGTGAAACGGAATGATGAGAATCGCGGAGGCGCCACAGTATGAACGATACTCACGTCGCGAATCTTGGGCACACGCTCATGGGTAACCTGAACCACCTTCTCCATCTTCGCACCTTCGAGCTTGCCGATCGTGTCGCTCAGGTCCTTCTTCTGCTCGAAGGAGAGCGCATCGTTGTCGCTGATAGGGGAGGGGGAGGGGTGACAACCTTCTTAACGATTGGCTTGGGCTACTCCGCCAGGCGGCAACGAGGTGAGAGTGCATAGCACGGTTGAATGTTTGTAGACCACACTAACAACCGGTGGGGAGTTGCGTGCGCAGCCGCGACGAGGGAGTCTGTCGGGTCGGTGGGAAGTGGAAGGTGCTCTGAAGATTCGAGGAGGTGAGTCTGGGCATGTAGAGTTGAAGCTGACGAACACTCACCTTGTTATGAAGCGGTCGGCGGTGTGCAGCGATGGACGCGGGGAGTGGGGATGACGAAGGGACGGAGGCGTGACGGGGGGCGCTGCTGGCGAGCTCTCGTCTCGCACGTGAATGAGTGGCAGGCGGACAGCAAGGTCGTCGCAGGTGGGTGAGTTGCTATAAAAGGGCGGAAGACACGTCGTTGACGAGTACTCGTCTGCCACGTTATCAACTGCCAATAGGCGTAGTAGATGCGGTCGTAACGAGCACGGGAGTCTGGCAGGAGATGTACATGCTGCTACGGCGAGCACACTTGTCGGCATGGCATCAGCACGAGTTCAACTACACGCAGACAAGTAATGCAACGCACCTCCTCAGGTGGAGGCATCTGCTTGACCTGTTTGTCGAACACCGCCTCGACACGCTTACCCGTTGCAGTGATCGGGTGATCAGGCCCGTTGAACAGCCCGCAGTTAGTGAAAATCAATCGCACGTCGGCGATGAAGTCCTCCGCATTGTAGTAACGGGGATTGACAAGGTTAGGACTGGGCTTCGATGCGTTTGAAGCCGTCAACTTCCGGCCGACGGTAGAGAAGTCCATCGGATGCTTCACGATGGAAGGGTAGTGCGGGCAGTTAAGGGCAACAGGATCGACGGGGTGCAAGAAGGGACTTACATCCTTCATCTTCTTGAGCGTGCGGATGGTAGATGTAGAGAAACACCACTGTGCAAGGCTAAGAGTCGACACAGAAGGCGTACTCGATACGGGTGCGGGCGCAGGTGCAGCAGTCGGGGCTGGAAGAGGGGTCGCCTTGCTTTTGGGAGACACCGACGCTGGAGGTGGAGTACCCGTCTGGGGTGGGCAATGTTGTACCTTCGACGGCCACTCGGATGGCTGATGTGCGGCGAAGCACATTAAGCAGCACAAAGACAGATAAGCATTAGTACACCAATGAAGTAATCTAAGGTTTTCTAAGCAGCTTCCTCGCGGAGTGTCCTTGCCGCAGCACCTCTACTTCGCGTGTTTTGCTCTAGCCTGGCTCTCCCGTGTCTCATCCTCGCCCAATGACACCTCCGCACGGTCTCTCTCAGCCGCATCCGCATTCTGCAATCCACCTCGTCCATCCCCAGACCAAATCGTGAGCAACCAACGTTTTTTGTGGCGGGTAGGACCGCAATCTTGCTGGACCACTCACGCACTGACTCCGCGTACCAGCGGCCTCGCCATCTCGGCAGCTCCATCTCGTCCTGTTGCTAGGTAGGTCCTCAAGCCAGCCAGAGAAGCCTCTACTCACCGCATTCCAGACGAAACGCAAGCTGTGGTCGACACACTGTTGCTCACGCAATTCACAACAACCTATGCTGGGGCAGAATCAGCGTACCGGGCGCGGTACGTACCTTCCTCTCGTCCTCCAACGGACGCGCATCGCTCATGGGGCTGATTTCGAACAGACAAACATGGAAGCCCAAGCAGAACCTAAACCTGCTCCTCACCGTTCCCATAGTGTGTGCCTCGCATCTTCACCGCACGTCATGCAGACGTGGCGACTGGCACCTCTTGACGGGATTCTCGCCAGACACGCGCGAAGCTGTCAGAGCTGAGTAAGCGAGTGAGGTGTGATGCTTTACAGCACTACGCACTTTGACAGTCTGCCTTGCCCGCTCAACCTTGCACGTCAACATTTTGCATGACACCATGCTCCAGAGCTCACGGCCGACGGTGTGTGCATCAAAGACAACTGGCAGCCAATGTCCACGTGCACTTCGCAAGAGTGCTACGGTGGCGATCGACCAGGCGCTGCGGGTGGTGCTCGAGCAGTACGTGCACGCAGCTCTCGAGGCTGCGGACGTGCTATTGTGGGATGTCGGGAAGTGCGTGGACCTGTATGAGAATGCGGGGCTCAGGCGTGGGGGCTACACTCGTTGCGAAGTTCGGGAGTGAGCTCGGGCACCTGTGGAAGAACAGCGAGGGCATGGGCGCGGGCGTGTTGGGCAACTGGCGCACGTCGGGGATGGGCGTGGTGATTGCCACTGAGGCGGGATGAGGAGGCAGTTCATGATGGGTGCGGAGCCGTAGATGCTGGGGGGTGAGAAGCGTGGCCGAAGGGGACACTGAGCGAGTCGGTCGCGGAGCAGTACAATGGGGAGGAGGAGAGGGTGAATCGGTGTCGACGTGGACGCACAAAGTGCTAAGCGCCTCGGACACGAGACATCACGTGCGGTTGCTGTGAGTCGCTCCGAGTCGCTCGACCGTCGACGCTCTTAACGTTCTCAACCCTTCCCTTCGCATCCGCCCTCAGCTTCATCGCCTGCCCCACCTTCGCTTGTTTGCAGTTGATCTCTGGGACAATCACGCAGGCCCGTCCGCAAGAGATATGGTGCACACATCGGCCTGCCGCGCCCCAAAATCACGCGGCTCACGGCGGTAACGAGCTCCAACAACTTTCAATGTGGAGACTCGTGAAGGATAGTAGGCGACTTGGGAGGGCAGGAGGCCGTGGCCGGCGAAGCTAGCATCCCGGGTGAGTATGCTTGGACTTGTCGCCTCAACCCGCAGACGACCCCACTAAGCCAAGGCAGTGAAGACGGCCCCGGCGTGCATGTCAAGTAGTACCAGCTCACTGACGAGAGTCTGGTATGTATGCAGTGGTCGAGTCTCAACTCGCCACGCACGGTAACAGCCAGCAAGAGTAGGCCGCACATGGACACGACACGTCACGCACCAACGCTGGTCCAAAGGGCTTCCGCGCTCGAGGCCGCTCGCATCTGCCGCGCTTGATGAAACCTTCGACCGTGAAATGGAACACTCACCAGCATCCTTGCGTCCCGTAATGGAGTTCGCCTTCGCGATCTCTTCGGGGTGAAGTCCCGTGCAGATACATGGCTGGTAACGTGAGGGCGGATGACGATGCAAGTCCGTCTGTCATGTTATCACCGGGTGAGTCCTTCCCATGTTGTCGGATGGGCTGTGCTCAAAGATCGAGTCTTGCTGGCGTTGCCTCTTGTCCCGAACGGTCGCCGTCTTGCCCTTCCCCCTCCCTACCCTAGGCCTTCTTTAGTCTCAGCCACACCAGTTGCGCGCCTTCGTCTTCAAAACCCGTCAAGGTCGCTACGTCTGGACGTTCGTCACGCCTTCCCTCAACCGTCTCCTCCACCTCGCCCTGCAGGCCGCCTGTCTCGCTGCTCTGGCCGGCATCACGATCCGTGCCCCTCTGCTGTCGCGTCTCCGTTGCCTATGCCTCTCTGGAAGTCTCACTCCTCGGATCTAGTTCAACGGTGGAACCTCACGGCTCGCGTCTACGATGACCTCTCCTACGTCGCCAATGATACTCGATCTGGAGTCGCGAAGCATGTCATCGCTGACTACGACGCTATGCCTTCCACTGCATCTCAGCCGCAGACGAGGCACTGGCAGCCCGTCTGCCACGTTATCAACTCGTCTCACCCGGTGAGTCTTCTCTATAATGTGCATTGCTCACTGGCGAACCTCTGCTCCTCCGGCGGCTGTTTTGTGCTGATGAGGCAGTCGGTTGCCACGCGCGGCGAGTAAGTATGAACGGCGGACAACACAGCTCGTCTGCCGTGTTATCAACTGGTCTCAGTCGGTAGTAAGTCCTTTTTTGACCATTGATGACACTGTACTTACCAACGATCCTTGGTCCTCCAACACGTTTCAACAAGTCCCACATGCTCGGCGAGCGTTGTCAACCAGTGAGTCAGACGACAGCACATGCCAACCGCAAGCGCGCTGGGCGAACACCCAGCACGCACACACGGCCGACGAATGCACACGCAGGCAGGTCAGCGAACAGGCGGAGAAGCGAGAGAGCGAAGAGTTGGAAGAGTGACCCGGCGAACGACATGGCGGGCGAGATGGTAAGCTCACTGGTGGCAAGATCAGCCCGAGGTGTGGTGCAGCAGTAACACTTCGCTTCGTTAATTGTACCTATACAAGTCTTTGATGCATTTTCTACTGGGGGTACTTACGTGGTTCTAAAGGGGCGCGTCGGACAAGGTGTTCTGAAGCTGTATCAATCGGTGGCATGCGCTCGCACTTGGCTGGCACTAACCTAGTCGCGCGTGAGAAAACTCAAATAAATCAAGAAAGTCACAAAAACGCGGAAAAGTCTGGGAAGCGCGATACACGCACTGTAGCCACTATGAAACACCGTGTACGCCCTGTTACAGGTTCGCAGCGTATGCTGCATGTCTGTCAAAGGTAAGTCGAAGGTGATTTTGAACTTGTGCGATGGTCGACGTAGCGGGCAAACGCCGAAGGCCGCACGACTTCGGAAGCCGCGGAAGTACATAGCGTAGGTACTCCGCTCTCACGTACTTTTGCTGTCCTGTCCTTAACCCCCTCTTCGCGTTCTACTCCCTGCTAAGATGGAATCTCGCACTCAATCCGCCGCTCGGAAACAAGCCTCTGCTGCCAACGACGGCTCCAAGACCAAGCGCGGTGCCGGCCAGCAGGATCGTGCGAAGCCCAGCAAAGCATCGTCAAGCAGCGCCTCGATTCCGAACATCGATGCGTCTGGACTATCTCCTGCTGACCGACAGGCTCTTGCACAGCTTCGCAAGATGGCTCTGAACACTAGCAAAAACGCAAAAGACTCACACCGGCTGAGTGAGTCGAGTACACCTATAACGTTAGTCATGGTTAACTAAGTACTATGAACTATCAGATGTACGAAAAAGGTCCGCCACAATAATGGAACACGAGCACCAGTCTGCCGATGAAGAGGAGACACAGCCGCGAATGCGCAAGAAGAAGGCCGTGGCCGTGTTAGACTCGGAGCCTGCCGAAGACGAAGACGACATGGATGTCGACCACGAGGGTGAAGAGGACGATATTGCCGAAGACGGGGATAGTGCGGATGTCTCACAGGAGGCACGGAAGAGTGGAAAGTCAGGCGAAGTGCAGTCCCAATGTCAGTACCATTTTTTTTGATAGCGATAGACCGGCCTGACTTTACGGTTCACCGTTCAAGCCAAGGCTCTGCCCAAGCCTCAGCCCAAGCCTAGGTTCAGGGCATCTGGCAAGGGACATCCTCAATCACCAGGAAAAGCGGCCAAAAAGGCAACCAACCTGGATGACGAGGAAGCCAGTGTCGCCCAGTCGCTCAGTATGTTCTCCGACTACTGAAGATATGCTCAGGGCTGACAGGCTAACAACCCAGGCAAAATGGCGCCATCGAAGGCCAAGGGCAAGGCAAGGCCAACCACTGTTCGCTCCAATGACGAGGGCAGCGACGCCGACGCCGATGGCCACCCACAGGCTACTACCCAAGCCGCAAAGACAGCACAGCAGGCTGTGTCGTCGTCTTCCACCAAGAACAAGGTGCCTCCTACCCCCACATCTCCCTCGTCACCGGCTCGCAGCACGCGGTGAATCGCTTACGTCGCGGTGCCGCCGAAGGTAGTCAGATTTATTCATATTGCTATTTACTGACAATACTTGTGTAGTCTCGAGGAGGAGGAACGTCGTCGCAAGCCACAGCAAAGGGCACAAGGAAAAATATTGCCAGGGTGGTTAGCAAGGCGAAATCGACGATGGACTCAGGCGCAAGCGACCTCGATAAGAGTGACGATGAGCGCGACACCGAATTCAGTGCCGAGGAAGTGGACGCAGACAATGGCGAGCTTGAGGATGATGACAAGTACGTGGAGAAGGGAGAGGAGAGCAGCGAGAATGGTGACGAGGATCGTGATGATGCCGACGACAACGACAACGATGTAGTGGTCAGTACTTACATGATACCAGCGGATGCGTAGCTAATTTCGCAGGTCTTGCGTGACGAGACGACACAAAAAGGAAAGCCCCGGCGATCGAAGAGCACCGGCAACAAACGGGCGAAGATAACTGACCTCCCAATCAACCTCAGGGCGCTCGTCACCACGTCCCAGAACTGCCTACGCCTTCGCATCGCTCTCAACACAGCGTGGACGGCAGAACACTCTATTCAAAGCAGCCGACTTCCAAGCAGAAACCAGATCATCTACGACAGCGTACATGACGCGTATGAGATGCGTGACAAACACGGCCGCCATATCAAAGCCCTCAGATCTGGTTTTGCTATGATCAAGAAGCGCGATCGGAAGGATAAGACGCATAAGGATGAGAAGGAGGAGGTGGAGGAGGAGGCGAAGCGTGCGGAGCTCCAGAAGGCTGTCTATGATGTTGTGAGTGACACGACACACACATCTTCAATCGGGGGCCCTCTGATTCATGTCAAGGTCTGGGCGTGTGCATCCCAGTTTTTTAACGAGCTGAAGAAGAAGGCGAAAGCTGTCGTCGAGACATTGTACGGCCTTCATGGTCTTTCTGCCGAGCAGAGAAGCCGAGCAGCTGCATGGCTGCTCAAGGCGCATCCTACCCAGGTCAACGACGGAACAGGATCGCGAAACATCCCTAACTTCGTTTTCAGCGACATCAATATTGTCTTCAATGACCGCAAGCAGCTGGATGTGACAGTGCGCTCGAAATAACCTACATACGGCTAATCGGTGACACTTGCAGCAGGAAAGTTGACTCAACGAAGACGAGCTATTCCGTAATGCTGCCATTTCGGAGCTGATATTCCAGCACTGGGCGTTGGGAGCGCGCGCGGATGCGAACCTCCACGCCGCCATGGAACAATTCTCTCAGGTCCCAGACAACTTGATTGCTGTGGTCTGCAACGCGGTGCGTGGCGTGGAAACTTGTTCTTTCTAGCCCTGATGTTCCCTGTTGCATAGATTGAGAACACCCTGATAGATATCATGAACCACAGTCAGTCCAACTTCTTCCAGAACAAGCAGTTCGCCGCCAAGTAAGTAGTCTCTCTTCTGCACAGTATGCCAGTTACTTACCCCAACTATAGGTGGGATGGTCTCATGGCCATCTTAGAGACCCTGAAAGAGGAACTTCCGGAGTACTACGACGAGACGAAGCAGGTACTTTGGGGTCATATATCGTGAGTGCGAAGCATAACCTACTCCCAGTGACTGATGCCTGTTCACAGTGGGCGACTCAACCTGAATGTCTTCGAAGAGACCGAGCCTGACGCCAAGGGCACGAGCTTTCTCAAATTCGATCGCATGCGTGCGAAGCTTGACACGAGGGTGACGTCTCCTTCTCCGTCTGTCAGTCGGGTGATAGCTGAGATAATGTTTAAGGCTAAGTCTACGAATGCGAACGCGAACACGGCAAAGCCGTCCTCAAGCAAGGGGCAGCCTCCGAGGTCTACGAATGCGAATGCGGACGCGGACGCAGCGAAGCCGCCCTCGAGCAAAGGGCAGCCTGCGAGCATGACGAAGACCGCGAAGACCGCGTCAAAGTCAGCTAATGCTAAACATGTTGAACAAGACCCTGTCGACGATAACTCTCAGACGGTTGGAACTTCCAGTAGCAAGCCCAGTGCTGTCCAGGATGGCATGGAAGACTCGGAGCGTGAGGAGGCCCAGGAGGATGAGATCGACGAGGAAGAGGGGCCTTGAGGTGCAACACTCGTCTATGTAGGTCACTCTTTTTGAGTTATGCCCGAAGCTTATACATTATGTGACTGTCACTGGCAGGAGCTTCGAATTACGATCCCAGCAGTCTGTCGTCTGTACATACATGTCTGTACCATCATGATTCCTGTACTAGTAGTTGTCTCCTTTGCTGAGCTGTCGTCCTGTTCGTGCTAGGTGTTGTTCTCGCATGCTGTATTGATCTATTGTGTACTGTCATTGTTATCGAATGCGCATGAGATGTAGAGTGATTGCTACTGGGAGGAAAGCAGATCAAAGTGACTGAAGTAACACAAGAGGCATTGGATTTGCACTTGTGATGAAGCAACAAAGTAATACTGGGGGTACCAAGTTTCTCTAAAGTAATCTCTAGCTGAAGGTATGACAGTTCTATAACAGACCTCCAAAGGAAAATTGATACTATAATAGCATGCTGAAGTTTTTGACTTGTCTTGAGCAGCTAGGCTGTCTTGTAGAGTCTATCCGTTCTGAATTAGACCACTTAAGAAATGAAGGTTTTTCCTGATGTCGTTGTCGTCATCGGCATCGGATTCGGCCAGAGCCTTCCTCTTCCGACTGGGCCCAGCTTCCGGTTTTGCGTCAGGCTGCTTGGCGACCTTGTCGGTTGCTGGATCAGTGGTGGTACGATACCTTGGTTTGGGCTTGACGGGCTTCCGGCTGACAGAGGGCTCGGGGGCAGGCTCGGGCCGGTCACTGGTGGGCTTGACACCCGGCTTTGCCGCCCGGGACTTGCTCGCTGCCGGCTTTGAGGTCGTGTTGCCCGCTTCGTCAATGACCTTGCTGCCCGCTGCAACTGCTGCGGGCTTTTTGAGTCTGCCCGACTGACCTGCCGTGACCAAGCTGTCATTTCCGGATGCCCAACGAGTGGGCTCGGGCTTCGACGGCGCAGTACGTGGAACGATACCCTTCCCTTTGTCCTTTCGGGCTGGCGGTGGTGCGTCCTCATCCGGCGACGCGGGAACCACTTCCTTTTTCTTTCCCTTGTCCTTGCGCTTCGGGGACAGTTTCACCGGCTGCTCCTCCTCATCTGTACTGAAGTCAGCTTTGAACACCTCGCCGAAGTCCTCCTCTCCATCGGTCTCCACCGCAGATTCCTCATTGCTGGCGACGTTGGCGGGAGACCGCTGGCGACGTGGGCGAGACGGTCCGGGAGTGGCTTGCCGAGGCTTGGGGCGTGGGCGCCTTGCCGGAGGTTTAGGCCTCAGCTCCTGTGGGACGACGATCTCCATCTTGGAGTTCTTCCACGCCCTGAATCGCAGCACGGGACCCTGTGGGTGCTCGTTTTGCCTTTCGCGCCAGTGGGTGAGGATGGCGTCAAGGTCCCCGGTGCGCATCTTGTTCGGGTCACTCAGGACGATGCCGGCAGGGAGGTACTCGGGATCTATGAAGGAGTTGGACAATTCGGACAGCGACTGCCAGGGCACTTTGACTGTTGATCGTCCGGTGAAGTTAACTGTGGATAATATGTCAACCATGGAATGCGTGTCAATCCCGGACACAAACAGAATCGGTGTAGGATCTCGGACACATGCACCATATGTCTTCCGAACAAAGGTTGCCAGAAATTGCCTCTTGAGCTTCGTCTTCTTGAAGCAGTCGTGGTCGGGTTCCGGCATCAGTGGGTACCCATCCTCATCCTCCTCCCAGTCCATATTCTCGATCAGGGATGCTGGGCCGTGATCGGCTTCGTCTTCAAATCCATGTGCATCTGGTCGCTCATGATTCAAGCCTCGTACGCGTCGCTAAAGCATTTCACATACCAAAGGCGATGTCAATGTACGTCTTCCACATCCCATACATCAGACCGGTTTTGAACTCGGGCTGGCTCGCAGTGAACTTCGGCACCTTAGGGGTGCCTTCCTCAACAAACATCTCGTCGTTGAAGTCGAACCTGGTTTGATCTTTTAACAACTACACCAATGTGTTAAGGTCGGCACACGTACTCCAACACACCACTGGCCCCGTTATCCATCGGGATCCCCAAGAGCAGGAAGCACCTCGCGCCGCACTTCCTCCACATGATCTTCATGAAGTCCCTGATCATGTTGGCACCATGCCTTTCTAGCTGCTTCCGTTGAAGGTCCGCTGGCCAGACCTGGGTGTTCCAATCGGAGGCTACCTGCATGTACTCGGCCTGGTCCTCCGGCGACAGATTGTCGCACAGTTCCTTCAATGCAGTTTGGTAGATGCCCGGGATCCGGCGACTTGCCATTCCCTTGTCTTCTTTCTCCTCCCTTTCCTCGCCCTCGTCGTCATCCTCCTCCTCATCCGATCCATCCTTCCCACGCTCCCGACCAAGCCTAGACATGATCTCCCCGAGCTCATCCTCCCGGTCCCGCGCGGCCACCGTCCTCCACGTTATGTCCTTGCCGAGCTTGAACATCTCCTTCTTCACCTGTTCCTTTGATGCTCTTCGGTTGGAGTACCATTTTTCGACACGCTACCGGAGGTCATCCCTAACTGTCACATCAAGCATGTAGAATGCGTACCTTTCGTAGAGCTGCATCGAAATGAATCCCCCTCCGCGTTTGGAGCCGTTCAATGCTGTTCTCGACGAGCTCCTGACACCGCTGTAGATCCTCGGTAGCCTGCTGATAGTCCTCCAGATTGCTGTTGAGGATCACGAGGTCCTGTTCATTCCAGGTGACTTTCCCCATTGCGAGTGCGGTGACGAGGTCAGGGTGCAGCGTACGCAAGCTGTGATTTCTTGACGAAGATGTTGATGGCAAGAGTTTGGTAGCCTCGGGGTGACCGATTCGGTGACACCCCCCGCCTTGTTCGCCACAACCCTTGGACTCTGAGCTTACATAACGAGATGTACTCGGGTTCACCAAAATTCTACGTTCAATCATAACATTGTATTGATTTCATTAGTTCCTAATCACCACAATTCTGTTGTCTTGGCTCCCCGGCCGCGCAGAATGGGTGCGTGCCGGCCGGAGCATCACAGATGAACCCACATTGGATTCCAGCGAGTCACCAAGGTGTGACTTGTTAGCTCTCCAGTTCCATGGTACTCGCCGCATCGCAGATCCCGCTCGCCGCCGGGTCCGGTCACTGACTCCGGTTACCAGGTTAAGACAAGGCCCATCACCGGCCGTCCCGACCGGGAAGCCAGGGCAGGCTGAAACCGATCTGGCTCCAACATAGCATCCAGGAAATGCTTCTGGCATCTCGTCTGAGTGGATGAAACCCACTGCGTCGGACACGTGATCCGGTAGGCGGGCCGGACCGTTGTGATCGACATCTTGCCGGCCGCATCATTGTATACGCCACTGACTAATGTCCGGCCGGGCCATTATGCGCTCTGTTCTCATGAGAACCATCATGGAAATCATGAATGCTCTCTGATTGAGGACACTGCAACAATTAGCGACTCCACGTCGGTGATCCCGGCCCCGGCCGCACCATACCCGGAACATGTGCGGCCGGCCCGCTGCATACTGCTGCACTAGTGGCAATCGCAATGGTTGCAGGAGTTTTGACGTGAGCAATGGCAATACAGAGCTGAACTCTGCCCTCGTCAAACTGCTGGGCTGTTGATTGCTCTGGTAACACCATGGGTCGACTGCGGCCAACGGCAACCTCTCCTGCAGTGGTAGAACTCACACTGACGAAAAGAAGGACTGCAAGGGGAGTGAGGTCACGGCTTGTTGAGGTGCAGAATAGCGGGTTGCAGACTCCGCCGGCTACACCCCATTGAACCGCTCGGTCGACAACAAGACAGTCCAGCTGGACGCCACCAACCGATGATGTTGCCAACACGACTTTCTGCGAGTTCCCCACAGTTCGACAGAGTGCCCCGCAGGTATACCAAGTGCCCATGTTGTATCGTAGACAGAGCCTCACCAATTCAATCAGACACAACCTGAAATGCTTAGAGAGTGGATTCCCCTCCAGCACAACTACCTCCGATCATTGTACACCCACTACAAGCCTCCCGCGCTCAGTGCCGAGGGGAGCTATATGTGCTCGAGCTGCAACAGTGGCGGCGGGTATGGAAGTGCATGTCGTGCATTGGTTATCCAATTTTCTGCCCAACCTGCTGTCTCGCCGAGCACCGGCGCACACCATTCCACCGGGTTGAGCAGTGGAACCTCGGAGGATACTGGGAGCCCTCATGGCTCCGTCAAGTTGGCGTTTCAATCACTCTCGGCCACCGGGGCAGAGAATGCCCCCAGCCGGCGGTTGTCGTGGAGGATGACGAGGAAGTGGAGATGGACCGGGCGACCGATCGCGCGGCCGACGATGATGGCGATGTACCAGCGGACCCTCTTCACCACGCCGACTCACCTCCGCGACCCCCGCCCGCAATGATGACTATTGTTGACACCACCGGGGTGCATTTCCTCCCGGTGATGTGGTGCGGCTGTCCCGACGCCGGTGACCACACATCGCAGCTTCTCGATGCCGAGTTGTATCCGGCGAGCCAGCGGAAGGCTCGTACATGCTTCACCTTTGGGGCCCTTGACGGTTTCCTGCTGGACAATCTGGAGTGTAAGACTACCGCCATGAATTACTACGCACGGATTCGACGGGCCACCAATCTGGCTTTTCCCCATGAAGTACCGGTGAGTGAGCGTGCAGAATACCAGCACACCACATGATTGAAATGGAAGTAGGATCATACCTTGAGTTGCTTAGAGTGAGCCGCAAATGGGCGTTGCTCCAGGCGAAGAAACAGTTTGGATACGGGCCCCAGTGGCGAGAGGCACCGGGCAACGGAGACCTTGCTCACTTTTGCCCGGCATGTCCGCAGCCCGGAGTGAACATACCCGCGGACTGGGAGGTGGATGATAGGAAGTAAGTAGTTACCCTGTTCACCGGTATACGCCAGCTGACCTGTTTTGGAGGTATCTATATGCCCGAGGATATGTCATGGATGGGAACTTCCACGCCGAGCAAATGAAAATGCGCAAGCCCGAGAACGACGTACCGTTGATGCCGGGGAAAATGTTCATGGTTCATCCCGGCCCATACAAGGAGCACCTGAGAGTAGCGAAGGACGTGAAGATGGTGAGGGTGTATACAGCCGGCATACAACGTGTGGCTAACACGTCCACAGCACTCAAGCTGCAACGACCACAAGGCGGTCTCCCAGGCCAACGCTGACCGGCATAAGCTGGCTGTACCGGGATCGGCGCAACATCTTGTTTGAGGCACGGGTGCTTCCTTCCGCACTCGGTAGTGAACTATCAGAAGGGTGAACGTCAGATGAACATGGACTACTCTCTGTCCAATGCTCTCGGCTACCGCTCGAGAGGTATTGGCACGTCTATGTATCATACGACATCATGTGCCAGTACCACGTCCATCTCAATGACCGATTTGACGACAATCCTTACCTTCAAATGCCGGGGGGCCTCGTCCTATACAAGTGCATTGGCCTCTTCACATTCACGGTCACAAGGCGGAGTGCGAGCTCCGGCACTCTCTCACCTTCACCGAGGGGGCCGGGGAAGCTGACGGCGAGATCATCGAACCCAATGGTCGGGGATCAATCCCGTGTCGGGTAGTACCCGCTCAATGTCAACATCCCACCGGCAGGAAACCCTCAACCGGCACATGAACAATTGGAATTGGAAGAAGATGATCACCATGGGTATGATCTAGCTGATTGTGCATCACACATTGGGCTGACGGAGGACAGTGGCTTCGCTGAGAAGAAAAATCAAAGCCAATCGGCCACTGCTGGCCGATATGAAGGCCGACCTCACCGCGAAGGAGGCCAGTGTCGATGCCGAGATTTTGGGAGAGTGGAGAAGGGAACTCAGGATAGTACAACGACGAAGGCTTCGGGATGTGAAGGTAATGGACAGGTATCAAGCGAAGAAACAAATTAGTTGGTACACTCTGCTCTCCATGCCGAGCTCAGGGCTGATTTGGTGACAGTGCCTTCGTGGCTCGAACTTCAGATTAAGCTGGCAGAAGAAGAGGGTGACGGCGGGGACCGCGTTGGCACAGCGGACTGGATTGCCGATGGCCTTAAGCTTGAAGAGCAACAGTCAGTGCTTTGACCGCCTTTTCCGGGTTACTTCTGATCACCCCCAGACTCGCAATCCAGAAAGACATAAAGCAAATGGGGGCCATTGTGACGGGGGCTCAAGAGTTAAAGCTGGCCAAACGGAGGAAGCCTCTCGAGAGTCAGATCCGGCGGTTCCACCGGCGAGCGGCTGCAATTCACCGAAGGCATGACTGGGGCGTGGCAGAGGAGGAAGCAGTGGATGACGACTCGGCTGCGGAGTGGGAAGAAGATCCCAACGATCCCCCAGCACATGCCGACAATCCATGGTCCATCTTTCCCAGTAAACCGCCCGCACCATACCCAGTGAAGGCGGCGGAACATACGAAACTCGGGCTACCTTCGAATTTCACGCGGAATGCTCTAACCCCAATGGATTGCAACGTTGGCCGCGCAGAGCTCACTCTGCGGCGCGGACAAGCAAATGATGCCTTGCAGCAGCTTCGGATTCTCATCGGCAAGAATCGTTTGAGTTCCAGACAACCATTCGGCACGGGAGGAAAGATGGCAACAAGAAGCGCACCCGATCCTTCACCAAGTTGGGTAAACTCGACCGAGCTGTACAGCTTCAAGCGGCAATCTATCGCCGGGCCCGAGCGGCGATGCAAGTGCTCGGCCTGTCTGCAGAGGATCAAGCTAAATATCAGCAGCTCACCCCAGACGATCTAAAGACAGTAACGCCATTGCGAGCCCAACAAGGCCGGCCAACGGCACAATCCCCCTCGTGGATATGGAATGTTAACGTCGGTGGCGACATACGGAGCAATGACGAGTTGGGAATCAGTACGTGAGATGGCAGTGGTACATTGAATAACTCGCTGACATCGCGCATAGTTCACAGGGTACAGTGGTTCCATGCCCGTTCAAAGGTTGACAGATTGGAGGAAGAAGCCGCCATATTGCGCAGGGAGCTTGACTCCGTGTGCCGATACTTTGACCACGAAGCATGCCGGTGGCGAGAATTAGCGACCAATAACACCGATGCCGAGTACCCTGGATTTTCCCAGCACTGCCGAGCACAAGCGGCACTGTTCGATCGCCTGCGTGAAGATGCGAAAGTGGCATGGCGGGATCTGTACCTGGAGCCAAATCTCATGGCTTGATAGTATCAAGTTAGTAGGATACTCAGTCAGTAGCTCGTCGATTGTATTCCCATTGTGTTTACAAAGGCGATATGCCCCGAGTAATCTACCGAGATTTGAGATGTCATGGTGCCAGCCCCGAGCCCGACAACCTTTGTTAACTCCCGGCCCGAGCACTTCACCAGCCACTCGGCCCTCACGATCTCAGAAACCTCGGACCGAGCCAGCTGCCATACGATCGGGCCGAGCGGTTGTACCCACACTCGGCCCCAGCAGTACACCAAACACTCGGTCCGAGCAGTGTTCCAAACTCTCGGCCCGAGAAATGTCGCCAACTCTCGCCGAGCACTTCCCCTCTCGGCCCGAGCAGCTTTCCCAACTCTCGGCCCGAGCCTTTTCCAAAACCTCGGCCCGAGCAGTTTTCCAAAGTCTCGGGCCGAGCACTGCACCGAAATCTCGCCCGGGCAAGTTTGCGAACTCTCGCCCGAGCAGTTTTCCGAAGTCTCGGGCCGGGCTCGGTCAACCTGATTTCGGCTTGCAATCTCCATGCTCATCTTAGAGGGACTGTCAGTGCCATTCAAATGTTCGCATGCATGATGCAATTACCTCCAAACTCTCGGCCCGAGGATTTTCCAAATCTCGGGCCGAGCACTTTACCATATCTCGGCCCGGGCAAGTTTGCGAACTCTCGGCCCGAGCAACTTTCCGAAGTCTCGGGCCGGGCTCGGTCAACCTAATTTCGGGCTGCATCTGAATGCTTCATCTTAGAGGGACTGTCAGTGCCATTCAAATGTTCGCATGCACGATGCAATTGACCGGGAATGCATGCTGCAATGTCTCATGCCCAGTGGAGGGGATGGAGTCGGTTAAGAACAGCAATTGAAAGCATGACAGCAGGAACAATACACTACGTTTGTGACGGAAGGCTCAGCACACTAACATCCCATCCCGTGCCTCCACCATATCAAACAGCAACATAATACTCTCCAGCCTGGCATCGGTCCTGGGCATCTCAGCGGACCATTCGCTGCTCTCGTAGGTGACCGATAGGATGATTTGCCCAAATAGATACCGGTTGATTGAATACGTGTGTGGCCGGTCGGGCACGACTTCGGCATGGCTGAAGAATGATGTTACAATGCTGAGGTTCATCGAACCGTGGGAACCACTCACGGGGTAGACAACACAAATGCAAGTAATTCCCACCTGACGACTGGAAATGCTTCACGCCGGAGTGACTGCCCATGTCAGTTAATCATGGCGCTGGAGATAGGTGCGGAGCAATTGGAACTTACCATAACGAACTCCCAAGGAACCGACAGTATGAGCTCAATGCGGAAGTGGAGGATGATGGTGGTGAATTATCCCAGCTACTGCCACAGCAGGTGACCTGCAAGAAGGCTGCTCTCGGCAATGTGCGACACGTGCCGAGCAGACCATACTCAAGAAGGCAAGTGTCCCAAAGTCCTTCACGTGGGCAGGATCCGAGATCAGTTGATGATAAGGCTTCCATTGCCACTCGCATCTTTTCAACATCAACTGTTGTCAGTACACTGTACACGTCGTCTTCACCGAACAGCTCAACTACCAATGAACACCATGCTCGCCGAACTCCTCGAGGACAGCAAAACAAACCTCATGATTCCAAAGGCCCTCGAAACTCTGGCCGAGGCGAAGCTCAATCCTGCGACACCCGGCGCGTTCAACAATTTCCTCGTCGGCCTGGTAAGCTAACCCGGTATCACTTGGGAGTTGTGCCTCTAACATAATAATGCAGTCGGTCTCTGCGCTCATGATTGGCCTGCAGGAGTTATTGAAGCCGGAGGTTGCCGCAGCGTATGGTCTCACCGAGGCAATGTCCACTTACTGTGAGATCGTCGCACCCCGGGGAACGGAAGACATGGAAGTTGTCACGAATGTGATCGAGGCTGCATCCGGCGTCGCAAAGGGACAAAGTCCGGTGCCCGGTCCTCTGCCATCCAACGACACGTCTGTGGGAGAGCACGACAGTAAGGAGTTTCAGCCAGAGTACAACTTTCCTTCACGGCTAATTGTGGCCAGTCGAAAGTTCTGTACATAACACCTTCCCCGTGGCCCAGGAGAACAATACTCCGGAAGCCGTGTTGGAGGAGCTCAGGGCCAGCCAGACCAACATGGACCACATCATTGCCGAGCAGCTGAAGGCATCACGAGAACAGTTTCGTCGCCTGGAGCAGCAACTGGACTTGGAAAGGTTGCGGGTAAGATGAATGGATCGCCTTGTTCTTTGACTCACTTACCCACATTTATGTTTCAGGATGGAGTGACCGTTTCCGCCGAGCAAATTAATCGGGCATATCTGCCCTCCTTCCCCATCCCCCCCTCCCTGAGCCCGGATCGGATGCCGAAGGGGATGCCGAGCGATGTATTGCAGTGGTTCAAGCAACTCGGGATGGCCATGAAGACCATGGACATTTACATCCAGGCGGAGCTTAACTTTTGGTACGCTGCCGCCCGAGCGAATGCCGCCGAGCGGGAGGCCTGGCAGCGCGGGATGACTCCCAGAGCCCCGGCTGTAGCGTCTCATTTTCGGGTCAGTGAGGCCGGTCACCAGTAGTAAACATTGTGTAGTCCACGGTGTCCCCGTCCATGTACCTCCCCACACGGATTGCTTGTAACGAAGACGAGTGCATTTCGCCGAGACGATTCTCGTAATTCCCGGCCCGGGATGATTAGTGTTGGCCGGTTAATTAGGGGCATTCGGTCGCTGACGCGGTGCTCGGCCAGCTGAGAAGTGAGAAGTTGACCATATTGGTTTAAAACGGAATACGTAATTCTACGGACCCCAAGTACCCAATCTACAAAGCCCATTTTCGCGACGCCGACCACAAATCCCAATTCCGAAGCACCTTCACTCCCAAGTGTTCCGCCAACTGACGTCTGCCACCCCGGCCCAACGATGTACATTCCGACGCATAAAGTATGCCACACACAGCCGCTCATCGACAGACTGTGGGACATCATGCGGGAGTCGAGTGCCGGAGAATGCGGTAACCGTGCCACTGTAGTAAGGGAGCCGGAGACCTAGCGTCGGGAACTGGATGATCTGCCCATGATCGCCACCGATCGTCACCAGCATATCATACAGATGCTTCGGGGTCAACTTGTCCCGATGAACTGGGCTTGCTCGGTTCGTAATCACGGAAAGGGCATTGAACGGGTTGTGCCACGAATCCACAATGGTGGCCCGGTCGGGATCACTCCGCAAAGCCTCAATGGAGGCCCTTCCAGCGTCATACAAATCCGGGTGCATGATGCGCAGCATACCGGATACGATGATATGCGGATAAGCCATCTCGTCCAACCACGCGCGACCGGCGGGGGCGGACTTTGGATCTGAGAGCAATCGAGAGACTGCGGGAAATTGTCGGCGCCCTACTGATTTTGAGAACACAAATGGAAAGGTGAATCCGGAGACGTACGTCGTGCCCGAGCTGGAACCACCCCGGCGAGAACGAGACACACGCCGGGTTAAGGTCGTCCCCCTCCTGCGGCTGCCGAAAGTTCTCAATATTTTCCCTCCAGTTCGCACTCAATTTGGGAGGGTTGCGAGCCAGGAGGGGATTGAGACCCATTGTGGCATCCCATATCACTCCCTTGCACAAAGTTAGAGACAGTTCGTGATGGACGTATGTATTCCGGCGTACCCCGAAGACCTCCGTGATCACGCCGGGAAGGTGCCACATCAGCACCGGCCCTGGCTGTCGGCGATGGTAAGCGGATCGTCGCAATCTTCGTATTGCACTGAGGCCATTTCATCGTCGTTCGGTACGGTGCATGGATGAGTTGATGCATCCCAGGTAAAGTCTCTGTTTGGAATGAGGGGATGATCTGGAGACTGACAACTCATCAGTACGTACTGTGATTCCCATATGCCTTGGCTAGCATCTCAGCAGCACGCCTGGCCTGGCGAACTAGATACACATCGAGGAATAGTCCAGGAAGCGGCACACACCCGGGGCGCGATGCCGGCGCCGAGAGGAAGTAAAGGTACATCGCCTCCAAATACGAGCAGTACTGGTGGTGGACTTGCGCAACGGTGATCATGCTGGAGAATGAAGCAGAGGAAGAAGGAGCGACAGCGCAACACTCCTGGCAATGCCTGAGGTTTATCAGGATGGCATCACCGCGGAAAACCAGTGTCATGCTTACCTTCTGGCTAGCATGTGGCAGCCTCATGCCCCGGATAAGGTCACGAGGCAATCGCCCGCCGTAGCATAGATCAATACATCAAAAAATTGATGGGAGATGATAATTCTGTCTGCCCATAACCCAAATAGAATACCGCGGAAAGCGACATCATTGCAGTTCATGGGCAACACATCTCGGTCGTTCATCAGGAAAAAGTGGGTCTCGGTGGCAGTGGGGCTGAGTCCCGACCCGCGGGTCGATTGGAACCGTCAATTGCCATTACACACGCGAACAAGGGGTGCCTGGCCATGAGGGATTGCGAGTGTGGGCAAGCCCTCTGGCCGACCGGGGCTGGAGAGCGGCCGGAACGTTGGAGACTAGCAGTGCCCGGCCGGCGAGGCCTCCGGCCGGAACGTTGCAGCGTTGGTGGGGCACCGGGGCTGGAGAGCGGCCGGTGGGAGAGCAGTGCCCGGGGCGAGGCTCCAGCCGGAACGTTGCAGCGTGGTGGGCACCGGGGCTGGAGAGCGGCCGGAACGTTGGAGACGAGCAGTTCCCGGCCGCCGAATGCTCCGGCCGCGACGTCTCAATCGGCCGCTAGAAAGTGTTTGGGGGGGCTATGGCTGGCCGCACCTTTGCGAATGTACGTCCCGGCGAAACTGTCTACAACGTTGACCCGGACCCCTCCAGCCGGCACCGGCCGCACCGTTCCAGACGGCCAGATCTCACTCCGGGTTTACCGTTTGGAACGTCAAATCTTACTCAGTAGGCTCAGCTCTCGAGCTCCACACCGTCGCCCGTGTCTCCACCACCGACCTCGTTCCGTGGTCTTACCAAGGCCCTCAGAACCTCTCACTCGGACGGTCTGCAAGACGAACAGCGGGCAGTGCGAGATCGCCGCACGCCCGGTAGTCGTTCTATACACCCGTCCCCCACCTCGAGTCTTCGTCCCTCAGCAACTGTCGACTCTCCCAGCTCGGATGACCTGCGAGGTGAAGGCCGGACCGAGTGATGTCGCCGCTCGCCCGGTAACATTGTAGCCTCTAGCTCTACAACAAGCCCGTCACCAGCCGAGGTCGAGCGAGTGTCTCCAACTTGCAAAACGCTCAAGGACAAGGCCCCGATTAGAGAGAGTAACCAAACAAGAAAGCAGGTCGGTTCACCACCGCCTAGACGTCCAGTAGCGCCAGTAGACTCGTCCGCGCGGGTTGCGCAGGCTTCATCCCTTACTTCTCACATCGACCTCTCGTCCTCATCCTCGCCCCCGGATCAGTCGACAATCCGCATGGTCCCTCACGCTGGCAGGCGGTAAGATGGATACAACGCCGTGCGAGATCACCGCACGCCTCGTATCCATGCTGTACCTTCCAACTCAACGTGTGCAGTCGAGCGCACGGTTCTCCCTCGACCTTCTGTGCATTTACCGGCTTCTGCACTTGATCGCTACACATCGGCTGCCTCGCATTCGCAAGCTGCGCTGGCCACCCACACATCTCGGGCTGACGCTACACCTTCACCCGTCTCGCGCCACAACCAGTCAGCTGCTCACGGAAACTCTCAAACAGACGGTTCGCAAGACGGTTACGAGGCAGCGCGATGTTGCTGCGCGCCTCGTAGCATCGTCAGCTCAACACGAGTAGCTGAACTATCTCATACCCATGCTCGCGTGCAGGACAACGTCAAAACGGCTCCTTCAACTGCATGTACGAATGGCTTACAGGATGGATACGACACTGTGCGAAACCGCCGCGCGCCTCATAGCCATCCAACGCCTACCAACTCGGTACGCGCTGTCGAGCCCATGGTTCAAGTTCTCCAATCCACTGCACAGGTGTTGGCATCCGTGTATGATTGCCATTGTACCGACCTCATGTCTCGGCCTGCTGATTCCTGGAATCACTCGAGTGCCCTGCATGCAAATACAAATGTGTCATACCGCGAGCAATGTCAAACCCAAGTCCGTGCTCTTCACGAGAGACATGAAGCTGAAGCACGAGCACGACTTGAAGCACGTAGACAAGACTGGGTGCTTAATGACGAGGAAGCCATGCTCGAGTATGTGCAAGCTCAGGCCAACAAGCACTGTGAGAGAGCGAGAGCACAAGCATAATTCTCCCACCCCCCTCCCTTATCCCTCGCACTCTGTCCCTTCACTGCCACTGCCTCTTCCCATTGAAATCTCGAGCCGAAACTCCCCTCGGATCCTTCCGACTTGAGATTGGGGGGCAGGGGGTAGGGGAGGATAGGGAACTATGCCAGGGCCTATCCGAACCTAGCCCGAGGGATATGCATACCCTCCACGAGGATGACAGCTCGAGACGTGGTACAAGCAGGACAGCACATCCTCTGCATGGATGCCAATGGTGCAACTGGGATACCTGCAGGGATGACAGCTAGGGTCGTGGTACATGCAGAACAGCTCAACCTCGGTGTGCCAACACCTTTGTACTACCACCAGGTGCAGTCTACCACCAGAATTTTTTTCTTCCCTTATCCCCTCCTATTCTATGCTCATCTTTACTTCTTCCTTTGCCTTCATGTAACCCTCACCTCCACACTACACACTTCATGATGGGGGGCACTGTTACGGGTAGGCAACACATTGCCAGCCCTCTTAGATTAGATCATGAACCGTTAGTGTAGATAAGATCCCATCATCATGTACCTAGTTATCTCACTTCCATATTTGGAAGTAATCTCATCTTGACACTGAACACCTACCTTGTCCGAGTGCGAACCCGCCGCGCCGTCCGAGTAGTTCAGTAGAGACCGTCCTCGGCCTTGGCTCCTCGCCTCGCCTAGGAATCCCCCTCGGCCTGAGCTCCTCGCCACGCCTAGGACTTCCCTCGACCTGGCTCCTCGCTTCAGGTCTAGGACCTAGGACGCTCCTCGCGCTCCCACCACCTATAGCTAGGCTCCCCGCCTAGTTAACGACACTAACAGGCGCTCCTCGCCCTGTTTACGACTACCCTATTCCATTTCCTTCTCTGGTTGCACCGAGACCGCCAATCCTTGAGGTTCACCTGGCAGCCCGGCCCCCGAGTCAAGGGTTCCGAGCCCACGAACTCTTACAGTGTGGCTTGACAGGTGGTCCAGCACTCATTTGCTCAGAAGTTCTCATGCTGGCCTAGTGCAAGCCTTGTACATGATCCTAATTATCCGAGAAGAGCAAAGCATTCACGAAGGCGGGAGAGCCACCAGGAGAGCGAGAAGAAGAAGAGGAGCAACGGGAGGGAGAGGACCCGGAGAACGAAGCCGAAGGAGACGCAAGCAGAGAGGAGGACCAGGACGAGGACGGGGAAGAGCCTGAGGCGGAGACCAAGGACGACGAAGACTAGGCGGTACTAGCTGCACGGCGACATACCGCCCCCATCCCCCACATACCATCGACATCTCGTGCACTAGGGGGGCAATCCCGGCTTGCGCCCCTAGGAGAAGAACGCTGCAGCGCCGAGTTGTCGTAGTTTGCGCTTTGTGCGCTGTCGACAAGCTGCGCCGCCGCCGAAAGGCTTCGTCACCCCAACGCTTTGACACGATCGTCGCCACACGACGATCACTTTGCTTGTCTCACGGACCACCTACGTTACCCTACGCTTTAGCATGTGTGTGCTTTGTTCTCTTGGCTTTGTCTCTCTATCTCTCGCCACCCACTGTACATGAAGTGGCTATGTATCTACATAGTATAAATAGGGCTCCCTACGAGCCCTGTAATTCATCCTCTCATCTCATTCCCACTCGCGGTGCGAAGTCTACCTTAAACAACACGAGTATGGACTCACATATGCTTTTCTCTCTTTCTCGTTTTCCCTTCCTCTCTATCTATTATCATGCGTGTTACGTCTCGACCCCAAACCATACCATCAGCTACCACCTCACAAACCGATTCCATTGCCCGTCCATTACTATATAAAATGCAGGCATAAACTACTGTACAATCCCCTCGAATGGGACGCAGGTCTGGGTGGCGCGTTTTAACGCCCACATTTGTACAGACCGGTGTCCGCCGCGTCTTAGCACGTTGTTTGCTTGTTGCGGTTAATAAATGCTGAGTTCATCATCATCATCATGATCCTAATTATCTTTGTTCCTCTGTCAGTTCTGCTGTACATTCACTTTCACTTGATTGCCATGGCTTGATTTCACATGCAGAAACCATCAACCTAGAAAATTGGACCATGGGTACTACTGGTAAGTGAATATCTGGTGTTCTGCATTCAGTGGCTAAGTCATCTGCAATTATCTTTTCAAGTTGGTCTTAGGGATGTATGACAAACAGCTGTCAGCACAATATCAAAAGATAAGTGTTTGTCACTATGAAGTGTGAATAACTGCAGTTGTCATGCAATATCACACAGCAGTGAGTTGATCTTGCTTTTTTCTGTCCAGATCAGCAGAATGTACTTTTGCTGATGGAGCCACATGTTCCAAGGACTGGTAGATGACTGTAAGTACCATGGTAGGCAATGATACAGACTCTTAACGATACACTCAATCCTCTTTCTTTTTAGGTACAATGTTAGGATATCTTGAAATGGAATTTGTCCACTGTGATGGTATGGCCCATCTTAATCATACAGCATCACCTATCAATCTGGCTGGAGTCTCCACCCAGCTTCTCCATGCCTCTGCAAATGCCACCAGCTCCGCACCCTCAACAACCCTATGATCAGCACTCCAACTGATACCTATCTTCAACCGCCGTGCGCCACCCTCGAAGCGGTCCACATCCCAAACCCACTTCGCGCGACCGACCGCCATGATAGCGACACCTCCGCCCGGAACGAGTACTGGCGATGCCGAGTCAACATCCCCTACACCGCCTACGTTGGACACAGTTATGGTCCCTCCGCGCTTCGGCATCTCCGCGGGTGTCAAGGCGCAGGGGACTTGGCGGCCGAGATGGGCAAGGTGCTTCAGTCGAGAAGCGATGTCGTACACGGTCGCTCGGTCGACAGCCTGGAGGGTCGGGGTGTACAAGCCTGTCGGAGTGGACAGTGCGATGCTGATGTCCGCATGCGAGCGGACGGTCAGAGTCGGCTTGGCGGATGGAGAGTTGGATGGTGTCAGCGACGAGCGGAAGAGGGGCCACTCGTGCATTGTCTTGGAGAGCGTCTTCAGTAGGAAGGGCAAGTACGTGAGCCGTGTGTAATGCGCAGAGTCGGGTACCGTCGGTGCGTCAGGGGGTGGAAGGAAAGATGCGGGTGAAATGATGGACGAAGGGTGCTTAGAGACGGGCTCGGACGGGCGGTAATGAGGCGGGATATGCGAATTTAAGATGGGCAGGATGTGGTACAGTTCCGTCAGGTCCAGCGTCGTCGAGAAACTATCGCGATGAGTATTATCGCCTCGATGTCCACAACGCAACGGACCAAACTCACCTGAACTGAGGGATTTCTAAACTCTGCTACTCTTAGTATTATCCACATGACGCAGACGTTATTGGCGCTTACCTTCGTCATGGCCTTCCACATATTGAGCCTGGTCCTTCCCAGCTCAACAATCGTCTCGCCTTCCGACACGCGGGTCTCTTGTGGTCCAGGCGGAGGCGAACCGCTTGTTGTTGATTGGGACAGGTGACTATCGATATCTTGTTTCTCTATCCGGCCACCCTTTCCACTCCCTGGAGCCAGGATCGCCAGGTCGACACCTTTCTGTCGTGCATAGTGACGTACAGAAGGTGTAGCGAGAACATTGGCAGCCTGTTCAGGAGACGTGCCAGTTTCCGCGCTAGCACGAGGATCAAGAGGGTGGAGTTTGCTCTTCAAAGCCCGTGGATGCTCTTCGATGTGCGGCTCGAGTGTCGGTGTCGGTTCCGGGGCAGGCGGTGCCGGTGCAGGAGACTCTTCGGGGGCATCAGTATGGTCGCTCCCGTCCTCCGCCTCGACTTCGATCATACAGAGTCCCGCGCCAACCTTGGCCACCTCGCCCTCTCTGACGAGGAGTTCCTTGACTACGCCCTCGAATGGGCTGGTGATCTCGACGCTAGCCTTGTCACTCTGCACCTCGCATAGTGGGTCGAAGGCCTGTATAGAGCTCGAAGGCTTAACGCTCCTGTGCAAACCGCAGCCAGCCTGTCAGCGCGAAGACACTGAAGGCGATCGGGGACGTACCATCGGATGACCTCGCACTCCGTGATCCCTTCACCGATGTCGGCGAGTTTGAACTCTTTGAGGAGCTTCCGCTGAGCTTGCAGGACGCAACATGTGTGGAAACGAGAGATGAGACTGGCCGATCGAGGGCGAATAAGCTGCAGTGTGAACATAGAGGCAGCGACGCGAAGCCTGAGGTGGCTGTGGACTGGAGAGGCGGGCCATGGCGGTCATGCTGGGTGGTCATGCATGCGCGGGGAAGACGGCGCGATCGAGCGCCTCAGAGTCCGGTGTTCGTCAACGCGCGTGTCTCACGCGCCTCTCCTCTTCAAGCTCCCGCCACTCGCGCGGTCCTCCTCGCATCCCTGCAGCAGTACTACTTACAACGCGCTGATCATGGCAGAACACGATGACTCGCTCGTCATGCGCAGGCCAAAGCGGAGCACTGCTGGTAACAGGTCAGATAGCATCGTGCTTCATGCTCAGCATCACAATCTTAACAACATCGCAGGATGGAGGCGGCTTTGGCTGAATTTCGCGCGGAAGATGTTGGCGTAGACGTGGAAGAAGACGTTGACTTTGTCGTTGAGAAAGGTGAGCATACTCGCGCCGTACGATATTCGCCGCTCATGGAACGCTCGCCTCTCAAGCGTAGACGAACAGGATGCCTTTGGTTCTGACTTCGAGAGCACCGACGAAGAGGAGGCTCAAGAGGACACCAATGGTTTGGAGGAGAGGAAGGCTTGGGAGGATGAAAGACGGTCTCGCAAGGTAGCTCGTCCGTCATGTCGCACGTTTGACCACTCATACTCCCGTAGACCGCTCGTTCCAAATTGGACAGGGTAACTGCCGCCGCGCATGCGCGCCACAAGGCCACTTTCAATCCGCAGCTGGAATACCAGCAGACGAGGGAACGTGACGGTAGCAAAGTGAAGAGGAGGGTGTCCATGGGTTCGGTCATCGACGCGGAAACGGGAGAAGTTGTAGAGGGGACTAAGAGACATAGTCGGAGATCGCACACGATGCAGAATACATCAGAGACTGCCAGCCGCATGAAAGACGCAGAAGTGAAGAAGGTATGCCTCAGCGTATCTGAGGGGGCAGCAATGCATAAGCTGATACGTCTGTAGTCTACAGTACCAAAGAAAGCAAAGACCCCCGAACGACTGCCGACTCAACGTGAGCTCATCGAGCGTGCGCTGAAGATGGAGGAAGGCAACATCAAAGAACATCGCGAGTATCTCAGCACGGAAGAAGAGAAGCGCAAGAAAGCGCGTCTCGTGCGCACCGCCGTGCAGGGACCTCTCCTGCGGTGGATCAGCAAAGCGGAAGAGGTCACCGTGCGAGTCGAGCCTCCGCCCCCCGCACCGCCGTCATACACATATGCCCATGCTGCATATCCGTACTACCCGCCGCCGCCGCCGCCTCCTCCACAGAGTACGCGCTCGCCGGCGTCGAATGCTGCACCAAGATCGTACTTACATGTGTCAGCTTCATATCATGCCGACCTCCAGAAATCTGATCCTTCGGCTACTCCCCAGTCACAACCTCAATATCCTACGTACTCTGCGGACTACCACACACAATATTCACCGCCGGCTCCGTCTCATCCGCAGGCTCCATCCTCTGCACCATACACACATCCGGCCTCGCAATATGCTTCTCATCCAGAGCCCCAACAAACGCCTTCGACATCGTACTCGCAGTCGGCTCAGTATACACACCCGTACTACTACTACCATCAGCAATATGCGCAGCCACAAGTGGCCCCTAGCCCCGCGGAGCCCATAGAGCGGACAGAAAAGGTCACGAAGAACTACGTCATACATGAGCTGTCGCAGCAAGAGAAACAGCGCCCTCCGTGGCACTCGACCATGAAGGTGATGTTCGGGGACCATGTCAAATGGGAAGAGCTGAGGGTATATACGTCGAAAGGGAGACCTTTATGTGCGCGCGTCTCTTCCTTCGCCGACACGACATATTGCTCACAGACACACAGCTCGACCTGTGCTACGCTGTCCAATCACTGGGAAGGTGGCGATTTACCGCGACCCTCGAACGAACGTGCCGTTTGCAGACGTTGCTGCGTATGAGACGTTGACCAAGGTCCTGGAGCACGAGTACGTATGGAACGACAGCCTAGGCTGTTATGTTGGCTAGGGCTTGTCGCTGGCGTTGCGTTTCTCCGCTGTTGAAATGCGTACATGCAGCACATCTATTGGTCGATTTTCTTCTGTTGTGATGCTATCCTGATTCCTGAATCCATTGAACACGGCTTATTCACAGAACAGCGGTCGTTGAGTACGTTGAGTTGACGTTGAGTCTGTCGGCGTCGACGTCACGTACCACGTGACTTACAGAGTCGCGTCGCGTCGCGAGTCCCGACGCCGACGCCAACATTCTTAGCTCTTTCCCACAAATACTCTCTACCGGAACTCTTCTACCTGCTCTCAACTCGCGATAGAATATGTCTGAACAACTGCAGCTCACCACGGCCTGGAACTCATCTTCCCGCCCAGCAACGGGTATGTCCCGACCATGGACCGCTCAGTCACGTACAGGTACTGGACGCCCTCAAACTGCTGTATCCTCCCGTCATGAGGCGAGCTACGTGGTGTCTGTGCTCGAAGGTCGAGGTGTCGCCCGGGAAGTCGGTATTGCTGCCCTCGAGAAGGATACGGGTAGGGTGTCGTTGATACAGGTCCGTGGGTGAAGACCACGAAGATGGGCGACAGCTTATGCGCTCTCCTAGCTCGCAGATAGCCCGACCTATATCAAGACTTTACATCAACTCCATTTGCATTCACCGTCGCTCATACTTGTTCCTGATACGTTCTTGTCGATGTCGGACGTCTCGTTGGCCTCGGGTGGGAAGAAACCGTCAACGACGTCTGTCCTCGTACAGTGCATGATGGAGGAGTTCGACGTACCGATTGAACCTGTACAGAGGAAGTACTGGAACGAAACTGCCGGTAGGTTCACTGGCTCTACGTACTGTTCTGAATGGCTGATGGCTCCAGGTCTCGACTTCATCACACAACTCATTGTGGAGGGTGACGAGAGGGCTGGCACGATCGTCGCAGCTTCCACCAAGTGAGTATATGCGCCCGATCTCGATCAAATTCGGTCCTCTAATTCAGCGAGTAGGTACTATGCACTCTCCGCAGCCAGTGCGCTGTTCAAGCATGCTGAATCAAGGCTTAATATACGTTTCGCTTCGGCCTCGTTGCTCATTCGCTTTGGGCAAGCGGATGGCACGATGATGATTGATCCAGAGACATCTCGTAACTTGGAGCTTGTCGGCAATATGTCTAGCAAGAAGTCCACTCACTCACTCTTCGGGTACTCTCATAGCATGGCATTCTAAGTCTTCGACTGATGACTTGAAAACATCAGACTGATGAACCATACGTACACGGCAATGGGGGCTCGGCTGCTACGAGTCAATATTCTTGCTCCGAACACTGGTGCGTCCACTCAGAGCATTTAGACAGACTCTGACATGGATTCCTGCAGTGCAAGGATCGATTGAAGCGCGTCTGGACGCTGTAGAAGGTTTTCGATCATGTTCCACCTATGAACTTTCTTGATCTATCACCTGTAGAGCTGGTGCAAAACGAAGATCGCTTCAATGAAGTCAAGAATGCGCTGAAAGCCTTGAACAAGATGGACTTTGACAAGTTGATCTGCTCGGTGCGTCTCACTTACTATCTGAGCGACGCAATGATTATGACACGCCAGTAGCTCGCTGCGTCCGAAGCACGGGAAAGCGACACTGCAAAACCAGCAGCGGCTCGTGTATCACAGATGCTGAATCTCCGAAACATCGTAAAAACCATGCCTCTTCTGTCTCGAGCCCTAGGAGGCTGCCGTTCTCAGTTACTGAGCGTCATTGCGGAGGTGCGGCGCATGTATCTTTTGCTTTCTGTCTGCCAGACACCGACCGGTATTGCGCGCCTTCGAACAGATGGTATCAGATGAACGGCTGGCGAAGATCGAGAGGCTAGTCACGGATAGCTTAAACGAAGCGGCTACCCCAGCAAAGGTAGCATGATTCCAGTTGATAATGGGATTTATCACTGACGTCGACATAGGCTGGCTTAGGCGCACTGAACGCTCGCGTCTACGCGGTAAAGGTAGCCATAACAACCCTTTCACGCGAACTAGTAGCTTGAACTCGAATTACTTCGTGCAGGCAAATTGCAACCGTCTCCTAGACGTCGCGCGCGAAACCTACAAGAGAATTTGGGAGACATCTTCACCCTGAATCGAGACTTGTCAGAACGTCACAATCTTCCGCTCAGTCTGGTCTATCAGGACACCGGATTTGTATTCGCGCTCAAGAAGAACGAACTTGAAGGCGAGCTGCCAAAAGGGTTCATCAATGTCACCATCCAGAAAGGGCGGTGGCTTTTTTCGAGCATTGAGATGGTAAGCGAACAGCCTTCCTTTCGATTTATCCTCCGTTTCCGACGCCCGGTGTTCACAGAAAAAGCGTAATGCGCGAATGAAGGACGCTTTGGACGAATCACTCATCCTGAGCAACAAGTATGTTCATCAATATTCAAGTTGTTCAACCGCATATGATCACTCACCATTCGATTCA